TCATGTTTATACGTAGGAGTGAAATTTTGGAAATAATGAATCCTCAAGAAATGGTGCTCCTTGAGCGATATGTATAAAATAGTGCCAAAAAGTTGGGCTTTTTAGTTAGCTGCGAGGTTTGGTTTGGGGCTGTTTGCTGGAAGAATTTGAATAACATTTCCGTTAATTTATTCAAAAGTCTTGAATGGGTTGTCTTCCTTTGAATGGAAATCGCAGAGTCCCGTTGTCGTGTTATCTCTGGTTGCCAGACTTACTACGAGCAGTAGTGGAAGAAATGGTGAAACAGTTTTCATATGAAATAGCAAATGTGTAACTTAATGTAGAGACACATTTCAAAAGTTGTTGCGTTACAAACGCAGTCTTTTTGCTGGTGAGAATTTGCCTTGTTTACAGATTGTGATGACAGATACTATCTCGTAAAAACTAGTGAGGATTCATAAAATGTTGTTCTACTACGAGTTCTAAACTTTGTCCAAGTTCTCAACAAACGAGCGTCCTGGAATTTTTCTTTTCAAGAGAACAACAATTCATTCCGATGACATAAGTTGGACGTTGATGACAAATGGGAAAAGTAATTATGTGCCTGTCGCTGTCTCCTTTCAACACTACTTACAACAAGAAGAACACGACACGAGTGTCAATTAGACAACAACTTCAACACCGACCAACCAAGTGCTGGAGTCTGATATTTGAATGTTCCAACTACATATTTTCTTTGGTAGACTTAAAATTCAGACCGGATCTAAAAAATATGTACATTCTTCCGGTAGCATTTATCATTTTTTCTGCGTTCACTACACATTTTCTGATTTTCAATTTTGAATTTCAAGACAATATCATATGTACGTTTCCAAATCTCATCTCGTTTCAATTTCGTTTGATCCTTGTTCTATGCCTGTGAATAAATTCATCTCAACCTCCTTCTTTTTTTACGATGAATGCTGATGATGGGTGTGAGAGAGCTAAATAAAATGGAATCGCTCCCCATATTACATTTCATTGTCTGAAGGAAACATTATGACAACTTGAAAAGGTTCAACATTTGGTCAAAAATATTTTTCAACGTGGTGCGATATTCTGCATGTAATTGACTTTTAAGTGGATGACGGTTCTACAGACACCAAATGTCGAACACATTTTATTTTAGACGTTGCTTTTTATGCAAGTCATTCATATCGTCAACTTTTAGTGCTCGGTATTGTATCTTAAACGCATCATCTTGTAACCATTGTTGTCTCGCTCAATCGACGTTTAAAAGTGATGACAAGCCGAGTTTAAGTCAATTTCTGGAGGGATACATACAAGGTTATTGTTGCAAAGAAGAGAAAAAGTGCATCATGTCGAGGAGTCGTCGCTATTCATTCCAGTAAAAATAAAAATAAAAGTGTGAAGATTGTAGCCAATATTTCACGCTATGCAGTTCTTTACACAAAGAAACGAGAAGAATGAGTGACTGATTTTTAAAGTGAGCTGTATGGAAATATGAAACGGAAGCACTTCTAAATATGAAGCGATATTCATCCATTTTTAACATCAATACAGAAGTCAAATCCAAAATTTCTCTACGAAAATTTTCAATCGGATTAAAAGTTTGTGATTTTCAAAAAAATTTCTAAAGGAAACGGGAAACGACAAAAGTCCATAAAAATCTACGCATGTTTTTTTTTACCGACGACAATCCACAATATTGTGGCGTGGCGTGGGATTGTAAATAATGCCATGTTTCTTATTACAACATGACCAACGCTGAAAAGAAAGAGGTTTCCTAAATCCGTGTCGGCTGTCAGCATTATTACACCGTGGACGTTCCTAATGTATGTAAACACACACATGACGAAGGAGGAAACAATAATATTCTTTTGTTTGTTTGTTTTATTATTCCGTCTTCTTGTCTGATTTTTTGTGTATTCTCGTAGAAATATGGATGGAACTGGAAAAATTCATTGTATATTCTGTATTTATTTACACGGCATCTTTTGTACCATACACGAATGTTTGCCAGTTAAACAGAGGAGAGGAGGAGGAGGGTGCGTGAATAATTGTGCTTATTGTGATCTCCAGACATCCTTTGTCTCGAGGGTGTGGCTGCTGCGACAAGTGAAAAAAAAACTTTTATTTTGGCAACAATCCCACAACCAAAACAAATCATGATTTGACTGGAAAGATACAGAACACAGAATAATTTAGGTGCAGAATATGCATGAAATTGAGGGAGGTGAATTCTCATTATTATTATGAACTTCATCTCAAGAAGAAGTCACATCAATCAATGCATATTGGTAAATTCGATACGATGCAAGATGATATTGATGTCCCTTAATAAAGAGCTGAATCTATAATTTGATTTTCTGTCGCATGTCTAATTTTTGGTGGACAGTTCTCTCTCAACTCCTTGAATTGAAATTCTGCCAGAGTATCGTGTCCACAGATTTTTTCATGGACAAATGGACAGGCGAGTTGACCGTATATTTATCCACTTCAAAAATATGTCATAGTCCAATCACACAAATAAAAGGACACAATTGAAATGTTTTATTCAAATGGAGAGACAGACGGAATAAGAGTAGGAAGCAAGAGAGACTGTACAATTTTGTGCCTTAAGGGCTATATTTTTCTTCCTTTGTGAGCGAGTAAAGAGAGAAAAGGGACGTCGTACATACGCAACGCACAACAAGGCAAAGCAAGACAAGAAGAACTAAATGTCATCTTCTGGACACGGGTCATAAATATTAAAGAGTTTCTTCTTGCGAAGAACCAACAAATGCTCACTTCACTTCACTAGCCACAAAAGAGCTCCCGAGCAACAATGCATCCGTAATTCTGAAACAAGAACAGGAGGTTTTTCGTTCCTGGAAAAGTTTTGGGATTATGATGTTGGTACACATTCTCTCAAAAGAACAATGTCCAAGACTGTGGAGACATTTATTCCGTTTTTCTGTTCGAGTGGACACTTGAGAACATCTTGTACCGTGGTGGCTCGTCCCCAGATAAAGTTTGAAATATATGCTCCCCCGACACTACTTTCTTTCTAGGTAGAAAATTCCCAGATATTTTGTCCGGTTGGTTATTCGAGAGAAAGAAGAAGACACTATTGTGTTCTAGTTCATATCATATTTCATGAACTGCACCCATTTCCTGTGTGGTTCTTAAGTATCACTGATCTATGAGAGTTTTTTTTTTGTAACTTTGACTTATCAACGGGTTTGGGCTTTATACATAGGTACATTTCTCAAATGTACAAAAGATTGATTCTCAACTTTCTCTTGCGCAAAATATTTTCAACTCCGCCCATGTACGAGAAGTACGGCAATAAAAACATATTTCATACGTTTTGCCACTTGAGACTATTTCGACTCTCGAGCTACAAACTAGCCAAGCGAAACGGAAACAAACAAACCAGAAGGAAAAGTTGGTCTCTCTCTGAATTCCTTTCTGGAAACGGAAAGTGGAGCACAAACTTTAGATTTTGTTGATTTTGTTAAGAAGGATGTGGCGGAAAGGGTGAAGAGATTCATGGCGTACTTGGCGTATGCAGTGGCTTTTTGGAAACTTTCGAATCGAAAGTCGCATCCTATATTTCACAACTGGAAAACTAACAGGGTCGGCTTCCTTTCCAATCAAACGTAAACGGAAGTAAACAATTGAGCGATTGTTCAAACTTATTGGACCATATGTATGTGTACCCTTGCGCAAACAATAAGCTAAAATATCAATACGGAAATTCTCACCCAATTTATAAGAATTTTTTACATCTAAACTATAAGCGTTATGTGGATATCGGAAATTGTATAGTTCGTCATAACTTCTCACAGTACAGTTTTTTATTGGTCTGATATTACATCACAAAGTCATTTTACGCAACATCATTACAAAAACCCTGTCACAATTTCATAACGATTATGAAGCTCAGCTCACACTACTTTTGTACATATGTACCTGGAATACATGATCTTCGACAGGAACAAGCCACGCACACTTTCATTCAGTCATCGCCAAAATGTCTTTTACTTTTCGCCGTGGGTTTTAGACGCGTTGTCGAATCCGAAGGTTTAATAAGGTGATGTCTAATGGGTGTTGGGACAGCGGTATCTCCTCGGTTGTTATTATTATTATTGTCGTTGTCGCCTCTGTCTCCTCCTTCATCGAGTAAGGGAAGCGTCTTGTATTTTGACATGGGCATACGCACTGGAAATTTAAGATAAATTTTTATAAAAAAAATTCGTGCCGTATTGAAAATATTTGAGCTATTGTAACGCAACAGCATAAAGTAAAATCATTTACCACACGAAAATTCTGGAACAGCACTCTTAACCCTTCTATTGACTAGGATGGAATGGGATGATTTAGGCCTGGATAGAGCTTCTAGCCTGGGCAATCTATCGTAGAACTGTTGATAATAGCGCATCAATTCCTCTGCTCCTCGCATCTTGTGGGGTTTTGGGTCTAAGATGTAGTCCAACCAGTAGGGTGAGGGCTTATCTGGGAGGAACTTTGCACTTCGGTCCTTAGGCTGGGCGAGGAAATTGAGACGTTCTAAGTTGTAGCCGAGTTGTTGTGACTTTGGGGGTCGAGGGTTGTGGTAAGAGGTATATTTATAATGGGACATACTATTATGTGTGGAAAGAAAGCACGGATTTACAAAAGTACAAATTTTGCCGATTCTATATATTACGAGAAGAGTGAGCTAATTAAGGCATTGTTCAGCGTAAGGCATATTATTGTTCATGGTGGCAGGGGTGTGCTAAAACAGCTACATTTTATCAAATAATTCTCACTGGATGAGCTAATTGTTGGCAAACATGAAGAAGTTGTGAAACTATGGGAAACTTTTTGGTGTTGAATATTTAGTCGGCATTTAATGAAGGCTAAAGGTCCAATTGTCAAATAGCTGAGTATTTAGTTAAATTATGTCAGGAACAATTTTCACGTTGATTGATGAATCATGTCAAGTGCGACACATCCTGCTTCAATGAATCGATGGGCGGCTCAGTGGTCGATAATTCTTTAAAAGTTTCATTGATTAAAATTTATTATTCTATACGTAATTCGTTTATATATAAGATCATTATTGTTGTTCCATAAAAATGAATTGTAAAAGTACAGATATCGTAATCAAAAATACTACAACATAGTTTGGACCCTAACAATTAAAAAACGCACTAATCTCTTATTTTATAGCCATGCGTAGACAGGAATGCTTGTTATAATGCGTGATATATAATATACATTTACTTAAGAACTGGCTAGTTTTCACCGTACTTTGTTTAATTCAGACTATCCCAATTAACACTTTATCTGCTGACCGGGCTATTATTCATCCCACTAATGACATTTCCAGATTTGTCAATTGCAAAATTATATTCCACTTCTGATGATAGTGCACTTTCGATCGCGAGGTCCAGATCATCCAAGCTTATTGCAGATTTGAGCTTTTCCTGTATTCATAACGTATTCCATAAATAATGTAAATCGTTAAACTTTACAGCATCAACGTTAAATTAATAACGTCGTACATACATAAGCACTAAATACTTATATGTAGTTACCATTTCTGAGAGTACTTTCTTCTTGGCAATTTCCAGTCTTAGATCGACATCATTTTCCTTTAGCAGTCTTTTCTGGTTAAGCTCCTCTACGACTTGGACCCATTCTTCTAGAAGTTCTTGATCACAGCGATTTTTTACTCGTACAATTAGTTTCCCATCATCCTGGATAATTCTTCGTAGTTGGATATCTTCAGAAAATTCAAAATGTCTCATTGCAGTAACATGTTTTTGCCATGCCCTGCAAAACAAACGTCCCGAATAAAAATCTAAAAAAAATATGCCGGCCGGAAATGAAACTATTAAACTAAATTAACTAAATATTCAATTACCACAAAGACTTGCTAAAAATTTGCTGTATCTTATTCTTGTCAAATTCTTTTTGAGCAACGCCAGGGTCTTCAACTTCATCATGATGTTCAATATTTGTATACATTATGTTTGGCTTTCTGGTCACTGTCGTCGCCCATTTCGGCTTTCGATAGAACCGGACCGTGGTCGAAGTCATGTTTTCACAACTTCTTAGCAGACTCCGATTTGTAAAATGATTAAATACCGACATTTTATTGTGTCACACTTGTAAAACTTAAATGGACAAGTATTGAATGGAGTGGAACTTGGTGCAATGTTTACTATTTTGCAATAATTGCAAAGAATTAGTTGAAGTGGTCTTATTTCTTAATGCGACCTGACTTTGCGTTACGATCTTGCGATGTTATCATTTAGCAAGAAGGACAAACTAAAGTTAATATATGACCACATATCACACACAAGATGCATAATTTAGTAAAGTACTCTCTGTGTGGAATTGGAATGGATGACTAGTATAATAAGTTGTGTGTGTATGTATATAATATGTAGCTAACACTGTGAAGTATGCAACAGTACTTTATGTGCAAAATTATTTTGCAAAAATGTTTGCAATACACAGTAAGTGTGCAAACTTGTTTCCATCCACTGTCCATGAACCTTCCGAGTGTCGAGTTCATGATCAAATTTTGTTGAGGTTGGTATTGTGAGCGCTGTAGAAGCTGGAAGGATGGCAGGGCTATGTGCAACTGGGTGCCAATTTTCTTTTACATTTAATTAAATAAAATTGTCGAATGTACAAATTTTAGTTAAGATTTACTAAAACATATCTCAAGTATGTATGTATGTGCAGTTTTGTAAATCTAGCTTTTAATTTTTATCAACAGTACTATAAAAATAAGTTACAAGTTACGAGTTACAAGTTACTTAATTATTACGTTATGAATACAATTCGAGTAACATTTATATGCAAATATTTAATTGAGCATTTTTCCTGGTTACGATTATTGTACTCTTAACCTGTACATCCATCTTGTTGTGTTTTCTGCAATGGATCAGTAGGTATTTGCAACTGTTTAAGTTTTGCATAGACGCGACTTCTTATCTCTTCGGAAGGTTTTCTTTCCCTTGACATAAACCAAACGATTCCTGAGAACAAATTAATTTACTTATGTACATCATTTACTTATGTAGGTGAAAAATCGAAATATTGTATCGACTATTATATGAATAATACATAGGACTCACGAAAACTCATAAATCCGAACCCAGTACATGACCAAACAATGGAGTAATTTTTGTAGTCAGTGTCAACAACCCAGTATGGTGCTGTACCTGCGACTATGAATTGAATAGATGCGTGAATATTTTTAAATTTATAAGATTTGTCACTAATTATGTTAAATAAGCTTACTTGCGACTGTGGGGAAACTAACGCCAAGTTTGGCACCACCATCTGCGTCGGTAATACGAGCCATACCCTCAATACTTCTAACTTGACCTGAACTATTTACGCCAAGTTAATGATATGTTAAATATTTTTTAACGGTTACAAACTGAGAATTTATGTATGTTTCCATTAAATTTAATGACTCACTAACATGGTCTGAACTTGTTGATTGCGTACCCCAAGAGTGCCATTTCCTAAATCTGAATACTCTGAGGTTATGCAAATGGCACCGATTTCAAAAACGGTGAAATACTTTTCGATTTCGAACCATTTACCAGAATACTGAAAATATGAAGTAATAAAATATATTGTTGATAAATTTTAACCTTTTTTCACCATTAATAAGTAATTAGTAATCTTACAAACTTTGTGTCAAAATTTGGCACAACTGGAATATCCGGACAGCTTCCGAACGTTGGTATTTGTGCCTTAGCTATACTAACAAGACTCAAAATTAATATAAAACTCTCCATTTTTTCTCGAAATTTCTATAAAGTTTTCTCAACAACAATTTTTACCAAGTCCCAGGAACTCACTGAAAATAAATTAGAAAACGATAGTGTATAAAGCTATGAAAATTTAAAATGCGTAAATGTGTAATGACTACTTTTAAATATGAGATTGTGAAATTAGATCACGCGTCTGTAGTACATATATCCTGAAAAAAATTCATTTTCTTTCGCAACAGTCACGCTAGACGCCTTATCAATTAAACGACAAATACCATAATTTTCTGGATAATTCATATAATTTTGGACGCATGAAGTCAAAATTATATAAAACCTAGATAAAAAACATGCCCAATGAATATTACATTACGCAACATTGTTGTCACAAAGTTTTTCAGATAACGACGAATTTTAACATTTATTTAGTTCATTGGATTTTAGGATTAAAACCTACATACAACATATAGTGTTGATCTAGCCCGAGTCAGGGGGCAGAGTACGCTTATCTATTCTTGTCAGGTGACCTTTCAGTACACAAGTATGACCAATGTCCCGAATATTAGCGTCTGAAACCATTCCGAATGCACCAACGACCCCACCCATCTTTATATGACCCCCTACCGGTCAACAATTTGACCGATTTTACTCATCTAACTCTTCATTTTCAGCACCATACAACATGTGTACAAAATTTCAAATCGAAAAGGAATTTAACGAGAGTCGAGAGACAGACACGGATATGATGGTTCTATAAGCTCTAACTCTGACTAAAAATGTAGGACACAATTTGTGTCACATAAACTAACCTCGGCTATCTCCACGTCAAATGAACTTTATGAAATTTGAAGCCAATGTCGATCCTGGACGTTAAAATAATTCAACCAAAATATGACTAATCTTATTAAGATGACGTTAATTAATTCTTTTGTAAAATTATCAAATAAACTATGAATTTAATTTGCACAATTTCGTTCAGTAAGGAACGTTCATAATATATGTAACGCAAAATTGGGGATTATTTTACCCCTCCCCCTTAAAACGGGTTACACCCCCTTTTCACATGTGGAGCAAGTTAGCCTGAAGCCTCCGGAGGCGTCGATGGGTTGCGTGGGAGGCCTCCCTCTCCACTGTGTTACCCAAAACGTTCCAAGACATTCAGTGAGCAAAAACGTAATTGGGTTCTTCGACCTCTCTGCCCTTTCCAAGCGGATAGAGAAATGAAAACTGCTTCACTTTTCTCTCCTCAAAAATACCACACCACCTGACTCTCTCCTCCTCCTCTCCTGTCGAGTCGACATAATTTCGACACATTTCGCCATCCATCCTCCTTGAAAGCTCGATAAGATGTCGTTCATCAATCTAAGCAGCCCTGGAGAAGAAACTTCTCCTGAAGAATCAACAGTGGAATCAACGAAACTTGAAGAATCGACTGAAATTGTACTGCCGACCATTGACGTTAGAATGGAGGCATTAAAATGGGTTCGTCTCTTTCACGTATATTTTTATAACATAACATTTTACAAATGGTGATTATGAAATTCATATTAAAAGGTAAATTCACTCCAATTAACAACGCCAAAAATTACGTCAATTAAAGAGTTGAGCGATGGCAAGTTTTTCGGTGACGTTTTAAAGATGTTGTAAGTCCAGACTATTTTTATTTGGTACCTATATAAGTGTACAAGTAGAGAATAATAAAGTCGTGTAATTATGGTTTGATTAAATTATGCAGATTTTGCAAACCGGTCAACACCGATGATACAACAGAGACGTTTATAGTTTTGGAAGAGTTTTTACGCTCTCAAAGTCTTGATATGGATACGCTACACATGCAAATCAATTTTGAGAATGCATGCAAAGGAAATGAAACGGATCTTGTCAAAATTTTGATAGCTTTGATGGGTTTATACAGTCTGACGGTACGTATCGAAATTCAGTGTAGTTTTTGTTTAATATATGTGAATGTATGGTTTAAAAATTAAATATTTATGTATGTATATAGTTAGTAGAAGACTCCTCGCATGAATTTGTAGAGTTACAAATGAAATTTCAAGACGCACAAAAATTACTTGAAGTTGCGGAAAATGCTTTGCTGGAGACGACTCAAAAACTCCGGATTACTGAAAAACAACTTTGTGAAGCTAAAATCGCCATACTCGGAATGGATAATAATAATAACAATAAGACACCTTCCCCTCTGAAGCATTTTATTTCAAACCCAAAGTTACGCTTAATTCCAAGTATGAAAAATCTCGACGGCGGACGGAAAATGAAAATGCTTATATTCTTTGTCATCATGGGTCTCCTGTTACTTTTCATTCCCAAAGAGATTGTCAGTCTGACAATTGAAATAATCTTTGGGCGACAGGAATTTGCTTACATTGCAGAAAAATATGGAACATTGGAGCACTTGGGACCACCAATAATTTAATTTAGTGAATTTTACAAATATATTTTTTGCTCTTTTGCTTTCGAAATATCTTTGCAATATACTTTTACATAAACATTTTTACCTTAATTGTAGAGACAAATATGTATACACTTTGCTATGAATAATATACATGGATGATGATATGATATTGTGCATTCCGCGTATCACCAAATCAATTAGCTTTTGTTTAGCTTACATCATTTGTGTTGATTCATTGATCTCTGATAATAGCGAGGCTGATCGAGGTGAGGTGACAAATCCTTCTGACGTGACGATCGGGTGGGGTTGATATTTCATGGTAGCATTCTTGTTTCAAAGATAAGATAACATGATACGCCATACATATATATTTTAGTTGGAATAATGCAATGATAAATTCATGATGCGATTATAATCGATATTTATACCTTATACGAATTTAGTCATATATTTAATGTTAAGTTCCTTAATTTCTCTGGCTGTAAAAAAAACTTAAAATTAGTTACAAAAACGACACTAAAAAATGGCTGCTAGACGTCTCCACGGTCTGATTTACGCGACAATAGCCTTATGTTGTATGGTCATCGTAATTTGCAGGTCAGTTGAAGTTTTAACGTTTTGAAGTGTTTTCATACTTGAGCACTGTTGAACCGATCCGAAGAGTTATTTAATGTAACGTATTTTGCAGTGTTTCATTAGGAACTGACCAGTGGTTTAAGGCGACTGGGTCTTCGGTACAAAGTTCTTCACTATCGATAGAAGTCAGCTATGGATTATTTAAAGGAAAGAAAAAATCAACCAATGAAATAGGATCTCTTGAAGATGAGTTAAAAAGTAAGAAATAATATTAAATATACACATCAAATCATATATTTAATTAAATTATTTTGGTGCAATTTAGTTGTATGTGTATCTTCGAAATGCATGTTCAGTTGTGGAAAATCGGGGAGCCAAAGGAAACAAAATCTGGAAGAAATCATCGCTGGGGGTGCAGTTACAGGGGATACCATAATTTGCGCGTCTGGTCCTGTTGAAACTAGGGATAGTGCGAATAAATTTGGAAACTTTAGCGGACGTCAATCCGATGGTGGGGTATTTTTGTTTACTTCATTCTTTTTCATATAATTAGTAAAGAAGGAACTATCAACTGTTTGGCCTCGGAAATTTTAGGGACTACTACAGACCCAGTATTTCTTAGTTTTGCCTTGTACCTCATTACAATAATATGCTTGTGCGGTGCCATGATTTTTGCCATTGTTGGAGGAGGATTGGCTCTTTACAACACGTATAGAACACCTTTCCGGCCAATTCTTAGCGTTTTTGGGCTTTACATTTGGAATGGAATCTCTGGTAAGTGAAACTGCATGCATAGTTTCCGTTCCATATGGAATGAATATGCCTTTCCAAAAATTATTTCTGACAAATTTACCTTTTCATATATAAATTTATGATATATACATACTTTACGTTGTTTAGCTGCCTTTGTACTGCTGGCAATGATTATCTGGGGTGTGGCATTCGCGACGTCGCTGTCAAAAAATGCCGGAGTTAGTAACACGCTGACGGGTACATACTCAACTAAAGGAAATGGGTCACTTGGGATTTCTTTTTGGTAACCTTTCAATAAATATGACTGACTGATTTTAAATTACTGACCTTTCTAACTTATTCAATTATTTATATTGCAGGATTTTGCCCTTGGCCCTCGTATTTGCCATCACAAATATTGGAATTATTCGGTACCCGACTAATTAACTAATTATTCAATTATTTCAATTTGTGAAATACCTTACTAATTTTATATACATATCGCGCAGGTACCGCTCTTATCGCATAGTCGAAATGGAAGCAAAAAATGTTAAGGTCATGACCGAAAAGCTCGAGAGTGGCGACATATTGCTATTTTAACTTGAAAAAGATGGATCGACACAATCCAAAGTTATTATATACAGAGCATTTTATTATTATTATTCACACGACATCGGTATTATAAAAGTATAAAGAATAAGTATCGAGAAAAAGTTAAAATACCAGTCTCATCACAATTCATGCAATTGAATATCAAAAAGTAAAAATATATATACAGATTACGACTGATTGATACATATGGACGAAGTGGGAGCAATTAATCAACATTTTCATATCACTCTTAAATTTTTACGTTTGGCTGCATATTAACATTTAATCCCTAATAATGACTTTGTTGACCATGACCATGACGCATCTCTTACAAGAAAGCGTTACACCAATCGCTCATACATTGATGACAACTCGTAGCATGCGTTGTACTCATTCCTGCAGTGAGTTTCAGCCAGTCGATGAATAATTCTTGATCTCTCTTAAGCAGCAAAAATTGGCCCAGTACAACGGAAGCCTGCAAATAGTCAGTCCAATGGCAGGGTGTTATCAAAAATTACTAGAAAAATGCAAGAATTGATGCTTATCCAAGTTTATCTTACCTTGTCGTATCCCTGAGAACTGAGGCGCCTCCCGTAAACTTCGCCAATCCCTGCAATATCTGTCACCAATTTTTCAGCCATAGATTCCAGGACGAAATTGCGATGTTTTTGCGATGTGGTAGCCATTATGCGAGTAGTGAGTACTGAGGAGTGAACTTTGATGGATAAGAAATGAAATCTTGCTAATCACAACCAAAAATAATAGTCTTGAAAAATACGACTAATATTTTTTACTCACCTCTAATAGTACTTTATCCAACCAAAATCACTTCGTCCCTTTTCCCCCACCGACGTTTAAAACGATAAGTTCAGGTCAAGTTAATTTACAGAAATTATAAATTGTTTTGGACAACGAAAAACCGGCGGAATTTTTCTCGTAAGTTGCGTCTGTGAGGGTATATTGGTGGTGGGAGATAGTCCCGGGCTGGAGGTTATGCAAACAAAGTCATTTTTGTTTTCGCAAATTGAATTGCGAGATTGCAAATGATATTTTTTGTGTTGGCATGCAAATTTCTTCAAAACCAAAGTCGAGTTTATTCTTTGCGACTATTTGTTATACAAAAGTGCTCACTACACACGACATATTTATGATAGTTGTAAAATCAAATTAGATGATATTGGTTATCAATGCAGCCTTATCTGCTCCCGCAGCCATCACTGAAATTGATGGGAGGTGGTATGAAACGAATTGTCGCTGTGATAAAATATCCATTTATAGTTTTATTTCATAAATAAATCCCATAATTATGTTCATGCATTTTACCTTTACTTTTGTACTCCCATAATCCATATCGAACCCAATGTGGTATTCAGTAAAGATATGACGATTCTTTCTTGGTCTCGCTTCTTAAAGAGAACAGTATTTTTTGAAAAAAAAAATTTTGATTCGAATTTTATCAGTAATAAGAAATGGAAAAGTACCCGTGTTTAGTACGCAAATGATCATAAAAATAATGACAAGACTCCGTAAAACCATTGTTATTTAAAAATTATGGAAGTTCTGTAGTGGGTTACACATATATTATTTTTGCATAATCAAGTCTACGAATCGATGACTAGTACGCATAATATACTAGTTGCTAGTAGTCATCAATTCGCAGACTTGATTATGCAAAAATAATATATGTGATGGTTATATAATATATATAACCCAGTACAGAACTTCCATAATTTTAAATAAACATTCCATTATGTTTTTGTAAACATTTACAACGAATCATATTCATTATGATGTTAACTAAATACTACGTATTCGTCTAGAAGTCGGTGTCATCATATTCATTATTACGAGTGTAAACAGCCTTATTTTAAGTGTCTTGAATTATATCAATTAATTAGGCATTCACAATAAAACTTACACTATTGAAGAACCAGTCTTTCCTCATTAGCCAATGTCAAAGTCTGATCTTGATTTTCTCGTTTTACCTCCATCCAATTAATTGTCATTATCCTCGATTCTTGTGAATAAATAAATGTGTACTATTATTAATTCTTATTACAGTACCCAACAAATGCATTATACAATTAATTTGTCGGTGTTGCATGAATTTGCATGAACCAAAGTGTAAAAAACACGCATGTGGTGGCAAAAATGCCTAATTAATCTACACACATACGTACACACACTAAAACAATTACCAACACTGGCAGGTCACGCCATGGTAGACAAACCATGACCAAAACATACACACATATAGCATGTCGTCCTGTCATGTACATGTATTACGTAATAAAAAGGATTTCAGTCCTCTACAAAAAATAATATATCACATCATCCCAAAATTACTATGCATTACAATTTAGTCTGCTTGTTAGGTCTGCCACACATTGTTTCATGTCGAACTTTTTCATTGTTCTTATTTTTTGATTCCACACTTGAAAAAAAAATTAATTTGAGATGAGCCCATTATTACTTTAACACGTCCCTCTGATGATATGGAGGCATCAAAGCATGGCAACTTTAGTGTACCTTACACACTATTACTTGGGATTTCCAAACTTGTAATTTCGAGTTTTATTAAAAGTGTGTGGTGCTGATGGTGCTTTAAAAAATAAAACAATACCAACCAACCGAATAAAATTTGAGGGGAATCTTTTTTACTGGTTGCCTAAATATTAAAAGGTTTTCTACCAATTTAAGATACCCATCGTTCGTTATTATTGACTCTGACACACATACGCAGACTGATACTAAATACTACCTGTACAGTTAATAGTTCCCTCGTGTAAAGTTAACTAACCAGTTAAATTAAAATACCAAGTGTGGATTGGACGGAGGAAGAAGGGTTGAATTGAGGATTATTTTATTTGCATTATAATGCAAATGGTGCTACAGCTACTACAATGTTGGTTGCGTAATATGAGAGAAGAAATGGGCAAAATTCAGTCAATGATTTTGTTTGGTCTCCTTTTTTCATAGTTGAGTTGCATTGAAGGATGTCAGTGATGGTGCATGGTGAGAGATTCAGTTTGTGTGTGTGTGATTCCTCAAACAGCAGTTCTTTCGTGTTGTTTGGCTGAGCTGTTCAGCCTGAAAGCACTTTTTGCGTCAAGTCAATTATAATTTTTCGTGGTAGAAGGTCAGTAGGAGAGATTTGGCTTAAAAAATTGGAATACCCAAGTTTATTTGTGTGATACGCAAATTTTAACAGTGCAAGAATTTTTGACAAAATGAGTGCGAAACAATTTGAAGGGGTAAGTTTTTAGGTTAAATAGGTAATAGAATAAGTTTTGAATAATTGGATTTTTTAAAATTCTAGGTTGTTAACAAGGCTAGAAATGCTTTTAACTCTGGAAAGACGAGGTCTCTTGATTTTCGAATCGAACAGCTGAAAAATTTCCAACGTATGATTGCAGAATGCAGCGAAGATATTTTAGACGCGTTGGCGAAGGAGATGAAAAAGTCTAAATTAGAAGGTTCGTAATTTTGAAAATCATCTAAACTTGTATGTTCAAAAACGGTGTAATTCTAATTAAAGTGGCATATTCTGTAATATTATGTAAAAGTCAAGAGTGTCATCAGCAGTTGTCACCATATAGTCCAAATCTAGCTCGTTCCGTATCATCCCATGCCATACATAGGCATCCTTCTATGCAATTCATTTTTTCAAGTTGTTATTAACTTTAAATGGACTTTGATAGGATGAGTTGCAATATATAGTTGCACTTGAAAATTGGTTGACCTTTGCTTTGCTTGTTTACAGCCACATTGTACGAGCTGGAGATAATTACCAATGAGCTGAATGCACTTATCAAGGATATGAAAAGCTTGGCGGAGGATGAAAAATTACCCGTAAATCTTTTGGCTGCATTGGACAGCGCTTATATCAGGTACTTTGAGCTTGATGAGGTACTGCAGGACGCTGTAGATAATAATTAACACGGAAAATTCAATTTTTCAGAAAACAACCCTACGGAGTTGTACTGGTTTTGGGTATATGCTCGATGAATGATTAATTGCGTGTGGGTATGATGTGTAGTGTAATTTGATTTTTAATTATAATAATTTTTATAGGAGCATGGAATTATCCATTTCTTTTATCTCTCCAGCCAATGGCAGGAGCAATGGCTGCTGGAAATGCTGTAATTCTTAAGCCGTCAGAGATGGGTAATTAATTTTAACTAGTTAATTAACTGACTATCTGATTACGTATTAACTTATGGTCGAAATTTTGAATCGTCACAGCCCCACATTCAGCAAAGTTGATGGCTGAACTTATTCCGAAATATTTGCATCCTGAATGTTATCAAGTCGTCCAGGGAAATGTGGATGAAACCAAGCAACTTTTAACGAACAAGTTCGATTACATTTTCTGCACGGGGTCGACAAACGTGGGACGAAGTGTAATGCTTCAAGCTGCTAATACCCTGACCCCTGTTACGCTTGGTAAAACATTTCTTATATCTTTCTATCTCTTTCCAGACAATTGCAATATTTTATATTATAAAATAGAGCTTGGAGGAAAATCACCCTGTTACATTGACGAGTCTGCGGATTTTGCTCTCGCAGCTAAGAGAATTTTGTGGGGGAAATATATGAACCTTGGACAAACTTGTATCGCACCTGACTACGTCTTATGCTCCAAAGAAGCGGAAAAAATATTTCTCTCTGTCGCAAATGAAGTCATGAAAGAATGGTATGGGGACGACCTTCAGGGACATCAAGACATTCCAAGAATCATCAATGAGAGGCATTGTCTTCGCTTAAAAGCCCTAATGGATCGCACCAAAGGAAAGATTGTGTATGGTGGCAAGGTCGATGTGAAGGATTTGTGGATTGAGCCTACAATTGTTGGTTAGTTATTAGAAAATAAACCTCAGTATTTAGCGTCTTAAAAATTCTTCCTATGTATAATTAATTATTTTATTTAAAAAACTAGTCAATGTTCTTGCCAACGACGAATTAATGAAAGATGAAATTTTCGGTCCGATCCTGCCCATCGTGTCCGTTAAATCTGTTGACGAAGCAATCAAATTCATCAATGCCAAGTAAGCCCTAGCTTAGCTTTTATGCTATTCGTTTATAACTTCACAAACTTAAATTGTTTTCATTTCGTGTGTAATACAGACCTCGACCTCTGGCTTTGTACTCGTTTGCGAAGAATGAAAAAATCAATGATAAAATCGTGAGAGAAACGATATCTGGAGGCGTATGCATCAACGATGGTAAGTTAACTTATTGAAATACATATGCATGTATGCAATGTATTCATATATATCCTTTTGTACTTTTGAGCTAATCGATCTACATATTTGACTTTCTGTATGATCTTCATTCTTATTGAGTGAGCTAACTATACGAAAGTCCTTGAAGTAGCGCTATTATAGCACCACATATAATTTTACAATGAAATGATTATTCAAAGTATTATGCCCGCATTGTTTCATGAACCGGTATATTTTACTAACCAATAATAAATTTGCCAAATAGTTGGATACAATTTTATTTGAACCGAAAAGTCGCTTACTAACTCTCAGAAATAATTTAAATAATGCATATCTACTAAACTCGTTAACTTTTATTTTTCTAGTGCTCTGGCATATGGCCTGGAAAGGACTTCCATTCGGAGGGGTCAAGTAAGTCAGCATTTTAAAGCTCCCCGACAAATCTACATATTATCTCTGGAGCAATATGTAATATTATTATTATTATTAACTTGTAGTGATTCTGGCATTGGAAATTACCACGGGAAATATTCCTTTGATACCTTTTCCCATCACAGAAGTATCTTGAACAGATCCTTCAGCATGCTCAGTGAAAAACTTGGCGAAGCAAGATATCCTCCTTACACCGCTGGAAAGATGAGATTTTTCCACATGGTTCTGACCTACTTTGACTTATTCGACGTCAAATGTAACCGATTTTGGACGCACAGTTTTGCCGTGTTGTTTGGTGCTTTAATTGTTGCCCTGTATTTCAATTATTTGAAGTAGAATTTGATCTACATGCTTTGATCGCCAATTTTTGTTTGTTACCACCCCAAAAAGTTTCCAGGTACAAAATTTCTATAATAACATATGTACTACCCAGTTGAATACGCAGATTGAGACCCAACGAGATATATTTATGTATGTATATATATGGTCGTCGCAAAATCTTCATTATTTTACTAAAACATCTATCTTGTCTTTGTCATCCAATCCATGATCGTTTATCAAGAGACCCTACTTTTGGATTTTCTTTTCTTATTAGAGTGTATAAAATTATAACAATAAGTGGTGCCATTAATTACAAAAATTAATATTTTATTACACACTTTATTAAATATTGACAAAGAATTGCTAATAAAATTTTAATAGCTCAAATGACATAATATGCATGTAAGTATAGTGGTGTAATTTTTACAGAATTTCATAGTCACGATAATTTTTTCAGACAACACAAATAGGATGACACTGAGATTTTAGACGCATTGATAAATAGAATACACATAAATACATAGATTAAAGATATGACTTAAAGATCAAATTTGTACACATATATATTTCCATTAAAATTACACAAATAGAATTCAATAGTTCTACATATACACACGCTTCCCTGCATATCTATCTACCAACAACATCAAGAATCAAGTCACAACTTCAGACAGAAAGAGTATAAATTTAGAACAAATTATAGAATTTGAAACCTGATCTCATACATCTTCACATTTCTTTCTTATTTTATTACAGTACTTTACGAATTGCTCTGCTCGCCCGTGTCGTTAAAGAAAAATTGGTTCAATTCACATGTAGATTTTTTTTGTACAATAGAAAAAGACACGCTGAGCTAAATCGAGCATTTTCTTTGCATGAAAGGCATATTTCTGATATCATCGAGTTGAAAGAGTGGCCTATTGAGTGTAATTCTTTTTTAGCATTTTATTTAGCTGCATGTGGTTATTTCTTCACACATTTGGTAATAGATAGTGATCCCTGTAAAATATTCCTTTTACTAAACAAAACTACCGGATCGTATTAAATGCTAGCACATCTAGAATTACATTTAGATTGAATAATAATATAGAGAGTACAATAATATAGAGTCAATAAATTCAAGTCTTTCACAACTTGATCTCTCTCTGCCTCTAACTAAAAGTGATCTGTTCTTACTTACAAAGAGGTTAAGCTACATACATAAATTGTCCATTTTTTGGTAGTTAGTAGGTATTTCTTGGGTATGTATTTTTTTGTGGACCTCGTTCAAAGAAAGTCATTACTCGGTGTAGTCGGTTGGTTCAAGGACCCAATGCTGTGTTCGGTCAGAAGGGTCAGGAGCATAGAGGCCGATGGGTTGACCAATCCTGACATTGGGTTATTTGATGATAAGCGTAGGCGGATTAATAAGATAAGATGAGACTTACCCCATATTTGTCAAGCATACATCTTCAGATCGTGGTTTAATAAAGTAGATTCGACTCCCTTCCGACTTCTCGACGGCCACCCAGAGTTGATTCGGGTCCGACCCTGCCACCCCACTTCCGCTCTGTTCAATCAATTGTATGTATGTACTGGAGATGTGGTAGATGCATAAATGTGGATTTTGTTACAAGTTTTGATCATTTAAAATTAAAAGAAAAATATCGAAAAGAAAGATAGCGGACGGAAATATATAAAAAAACGAGACGAGACATTATTACGACACAGTGTTAGCCAAATTGTAAGCGGTACAAAAATTTCACAAGAAGCATGTCATGGTAGTAATTTAGTAGAAATTAATGAGCATGTGACGATTTATGAAACGTCTTGTCCTATTTGTAAAACTTACGGACGATGGAAGTGAGGATATTTGAAAACCCGTAGAACTGGAAGCAGCCGTCTATTTGTTTTCAGCAATACCAAAAGTTTTAATGTTTTTAAACATGAATGAATATTTTCTGAACTAGTTAAATCTTGATAAAAATCTGAATTTTAAGATAAGTTTAGTTGCAAATACTTGTACAAGTAGATTAACGAAATGTAGCAGTAAAGGTTCGTCAGTGATACAAAATTCGTCTCAAATTTCTACATTACATTTTATTTTTATTTAAAGTGCAAAATTGCAATATACAGAAATATGTATGAACTACACATCTAAGTCTATCTACTTTTCATTCTATGTAGCTCTAGACATGTACATATCTAAAACGTCTATCTAAACTAAACTATACATGGATCTAAGAAAGCGCATTAATTGCAAGGTACACAAATGTCTTACATTTTGGACCAAGATTTTGGTATCCTGTCTGTACTCCCACACTTGCACGGGACCGGAAGGATTTTGATGCATGGAGGAGATTTCGAACTCACCACCTTCTTCGCCCTCCCCTAAAAATTAATTAGTCAGTTTGCCAATTAAAAATCAGATGCATTCTTTTTTAATTATTTATTTACTCACGGATTCGCGAAGTCCGAAACCTTTGACAGTCGCTGTCCGTATCCTCTTCAGCCACAATCGAGGCTCCAGGAGTAGTGATGTAGTTTTCCAGGTGGATCACCTTTCAAAATGACATAAAATTTGCAACAACTAATTTTCCTTACTAATAAATATAGCTAAATATTTACTAAATTGGCCAAACTTACGCTGTCATCATACTTATTAATAATCTTGTAGATGTACCCATCATGAAATCCAGTCACGGAGGTGACGCTATCCGTCGAAGATTTATGCGTGTGGTGCCAAAATTTGTTCATCTTTCTCTCTCATAAATTTCTTCGTAAATCCTCGTAATTCAATAAACTCCAAGCTTAAGTTGCCTTTGTCTAAGTAAATGAGTTGGTGAGACAGCTTTCGCAAATTTTTCTCACGCTGGAGAAACCCGTAAAAATACGACTGGATCGAGTCTGTGAATAATAGCGACTGACTGACAATAAGTGTGAGAGAAGAAATGCCGTCCTGTTTTTCTCCTGCTTTCTCCTCTCTCGTGTTCCAACGGAGAAAGTCACTTCAGCCCGGAAAATACGCAATAATAAATTTCTATGTGCCTGCTTTCCTCGGAGCTGCTCGAAACTTGAACATGTATCGATTGACCCAGAGGCTTGGAAACCAGCAGTCGCTTGGTCACGTCGGTCGGTGGTGATGCTTGGCAGCGAGAGAAAGAGAGAAAGCAGTGATGCTTTCCCACTGAGAATTTGATCTCATGCCAGGTTTCTATGTAAAAGTAAAGGTATTTGGATGTCCGGTATTTGCGATCCTTTATCCGGTGGTGATAAGCAGGGCTTTGTAGCTACGTGGATGACATGACGCACAATTAATATGTATGGACCCAAGGCTAATAATAACGTTATAGATTATATCGTTTTGGTGGTTGGTAACAGTAGCGAAAATCAATAAAAGAGAGAGTACTTATATAACTGAGTATGTACGTATGTCGTATAGCAAACAAACATGCAAATCACGCCTAATGGACAAAGTAGCCTTGGGTGGAATAAGGATCAAGTTAAGCAGTGGATATTTATTTACCATGACATGAAAAAATCCACTTTAGCCCACAATCATTCTTTCCAGACGTGACATAATTGAAATCAGGAGAGTAATTAAAATGTCAGCCATCCATTTTGCTAACGAATTCTATTTTAATATTCGACATACTTACGTATGTATAAGTAAGTTGACCCTTGACATTTCGCCAGTCTTACGTTTTACCAGAGTAAGTACATTTAATGCTGGAGAATTCAATCATCCACAACTACAAGTAAGTAGGTGGGTTTAATATGTAGTAAGAAGGTGAAAATGAAATGTCAGGAGACGGAAATCTGGCCAGAAATGTCGAAATATCGGTGGTGGTAGCCTTGAGGGTGTTTAATTTCCATGAAATATTCGGTTTTGTGGAGCTTCTAAATAAATATTAAAACACAGTTTCATTTTCATATCAAAGAGAATAATGCATGTACGTACATATTCCGCCATGAAACCTGCACTTAAATTGGCGAGGCTTAATTTTAACAACGTTTACATTGCACGACTACGTGACGTCTCTGCTTATAACAAACTAAGAGTTTGTTTGGCTTGATTTTGTAACATGAATTATTACGAATCTTAAAATTAGAATTAATGAAGGCAATCAGAGGACAAAATATTCCCCAAATATGAGACTCGACGAATACTCGAGAATTTCTCGAGAACTGCTCAACACAAATCTCAGGTTTGGCATGCCTCAAACTCTTAAGTTTTCAACTTTATCATTTTCTCTCTAATTGTCAACTTATTGTTCAAGTAGTTAACATAATTCAGCCTTAAAGTGCAACCAATCATTTGAAAATACTCCGCCGAAAGAAGAACTTGTTTTAATAATGCAAAGTAATTATTTTAAGTCTGCCGTCGCTTAAAGCGTCGCGACACTTACCTACACACAGGTAAGTTGCACAAGTAATAAGTGCATAAATTCGTAGCTTCTTTCTTGACTCTCTTACTTACCACATTCGAGTCACGAACTTATAAATACGAGAATTCTTCTGTGTATATATTTAAATGCAAATGGAACAAGAAGAACACACACACCAATGACCTGCGTTTAGTTGGAGTGTATGTAATTACTACGTTATGCTGCACACCACACTTCGGCTAAACTAACAAGCAGAAGAAACACATATAAATAATAATTACTTTATTTGGGTTATAAAATACCGTGAATATGAGAGAAAGCCGAAATTATTGCAGCGTGCTTAATCACAGAGCCATTTAAACTCCCATTTTAGGGAAATTTTTAGACGCTAATTACACCCCTCGTATTTAGTAGTACCAGTCTGACATTGACATTGGAGTTAATTAACTCGCAGTTTCATAAATGTAGTAACCCAATGATTTATATTAGTGCTCTTAATTAATTGCAATTACGTACGGTAGGTAGGAGCCAAAGAAGTTTGAACTTTAACTAACTAAACATCATTTTCTTGTCATTCATAAAACATCCTGTCCAACTGAAGTACCTGAGCAAATAAAATGTGTATCACTCTCCTTGCAAAAAAGGGAAGTTGCTTGCAGTTGGAAAACAAAGGAGGAAACTTCTCGCTGCACTTTTTCACCAGAATTCCCATGCGTGAGGACAATCCAACTTGGAAAAAGTGAATGGCTCTGGCTCGATCTATGTACTTATGTGTGCGGTCATTTTGTAGAACAAAGGCTTGATGATGAGACGACCCGGTCGTATTTATTATTTAGCATTTGCTAGGCGAGAATTGTAGTGGATTTACCAATAATAACTTTCTTTTACGAGAAGGAGTCATCATCATTATCATCATCGTTTTGTATATAATGAACTCTGCACTACCCACGCACACCTTTACTGCTCACCTCCATTCTTGCTTGTGGTAGTAAGTACAACAAAGAAATGCAACTTGTACAAACAGTTTGACACGATATACGTACAACAATCACAGCTATTCTTCCAAATTCCCCATAAACTGCAGTGTGTGTGCATTTATGCATTATACTGTCGTCACCAAATGGAAAGTTGGTCACTTTTAGTGTGGTTTTTTCAATAAGTCACTTATTTACGTTCTGTGATGTCCGGCCGGATAAGTAACGTGACTTTAGTGTGTGCCTATTGTAATGCTAAATAATGCCTTTAACACAGTATTTATCTTGAGAAGAAGGGTTAGCCACAAAAAGATTAAGATTACCATGCGAAATGTCACCAATTAGTTTTATGACACTTTAAATTGACTCGCCTACATATGGTCGGTCGGTATTCGAAATAGGAGATTTATTAACTGTGAGCTTTTTTGGTGTTTTATGATTTCCGGATCCTAATAAATAAATAATTGAGATAGGTTTTACGCCTCTCATTACCACGATTAGCACGATTTCATGAGAACAGGATATTCGGGTTTAGCATTCTTAAAAAGTATTCATTTTATTTATTAAGAAATGTTTTGTTTGATTGAATTTGCAAATTTATTCCTGGCCTCAAAACTGTTGTTACACACTTACAAATATTTTTTTGGAACCACGTACCCTTTATTTTTCAAGTTTAACAGTTGCACATACATGCATGTAACATTATTCCCACGTTATTATCAAAATCAACCAGTGGCTTGACTACTGGTCGGATGATTCAGTTACAGGAAAATATAGTCTCAAGTAGATATTTTGGCAATATAGTGAGAAATTGGCACAATGTGACCGCATAAGAGAGGACACTCATTTAGCAGTTGACAGCTCATTGGGAACCCATCATTCATTCACCGAATTGTTCTTTCTTTCTATTCCTTACTTACTCCCACTTATTTTTACCACAGAAGAACGACGACGAGACGACAGAGTAACAAGAATATATGTATAACAAGAATAAAATTGGGTCAAAAATAAATTAGTAATGCATTTCATTGCCTGAATTGGTTACTTGCTGGTGATGAATAACAACCTGCACCACACAAACACACACTCACACGTCAAAGACAGTGAAGGAAATTGAATTGAATTCCCATTTGAAATTTAGACCATAACCAAATGTTCAATTAGATCCCATTTTTGACTGACTTTTTTGATTTTTTGAATTGGATGATGATTATTATTCTATGTATGCTGAACCAAATAACCACATCCATCCAATCCATGTACTGTACCACCACCACAAGCAATTATTCATTATCGAATAATGTGTCTTTCTTGCTTTTTACTTTTAATACAGCGATAGATTCGTAATTTTCATGGTTGCATGCATTTCATTTCATATCGAAAGACCGAATTTTTGTAAGGTTGAGGTTTCCTCGAGATGAATGGTTCATTTTTTTCTATTTTTTTCACTCTAAACGCACAATCAACTTTTACAATGGATCCCATTTTACGGATTGAGTGGAGTTTAAATAACTTTTTTTTCTTCTTCCTGAATTTTTTAAAAATATTTTACAACCAATAAATGACAGATATGCATTTGTGGACAATTAGGCTAACCTTCTTATTCCTATTGTTTAATAACGTACGTATGTGACAGATTTCACTCAAGAACAGTGTTTTATTGTGGTTATTACACATGGAATGAGGCACATTTAGTCACAAATTGCGTGCGTATGACCTAAATTTGAAATAAGTTTTTAAGAGGGTAAAATTCGCATACTGTTCAGTCGGCTTATTTAAAATAAGTTATTACTTAAATATAATACACTCGGGTTCACGTTCTTCAGTTCAGTCTCGAAAGCCGATAAGTCGCAATTTATTAGAGAGATGCTTCTTCCTTCAAGTGGTAAAATATTGAAGAGAAATTTCAACAAGTCTCGAGGGCTAAATCTAGCAGCCAGCCAGCAGTTTATTGCACTGTTTTGCATCAGTAATATAATTATAACCCTTAATTTTATGCCATACTAAAACCAACAAAAGTAAATAATAGAGACTTTTCTACGTACATATTTCAGTTCAAAAGTGCAAGTGGTGTAGTGTTTCATTCACCTTCTAATTTTCGTCGGCTCTCTTCTCATTGGAAACTCTCGACATTGACATTGGCACTGCTGACAGAGTTTTCTTTTCCTCGCATTTTTGCAAAATCGAGAGAAAAAAAATATATCGACACTTTTGTTGGCAGAAGCTCTGCTCTCCCATCATTATTATTATCATATCCCACCACCTTCTTCAATTATTGTAAAGTATTTATTACCTCAACTCTTCTACATACGTGAACCTGTTCTCAGTCAGTGCTGCAGTCCGGCACATGGATGCAAAAGAACTGCATTCAAGTCTAGTAGTAAATAGTAAAGTATAAGCTTATTGTTAAAAAATAGACAGATATTTGGCTGTCAATTTCGCTCTATCGTTGGCTCCTAACTGACTGAAGGTGGATGCATTAATTAAATATTTCTCTGACTGTTAGCCGGTAATTCCTGTTGAAAGGGAAGAAGAAGAAAAACAACAAGAATACTTGCCAATCATCGCATCAAAGTTAAATACATAAATTGAAATCGAAAGGATATCAACATCATCTTATCCGTCTTATCCTGTTCAGTTGGTCGTTACCGATGTGATATTATTAAGTAGGAGCGTGCGAGGCCTATTTGGTTGCAATTTGTTAGTTCAGTCAGTATTCTGTTGTGGACCAGTTGAGATGAGACTGCTACCTGAGATTAGTAAAGATTTGTTTGACTTGTGTTTGTGTACCTTTCAAAAAAATAATTAGTGTTTAAATACCTTTTAATTAAATGTTTCCTAATCTAATTAATGTTCCGTTCTGTGAAATATTTTTATCAATTTTCTCAAAATATTACACGCAATAAATCAAGTGGTAGTGATAAACGGAACGGTAAAGTGTGCCGATGGGGAGGATGAGACGCAGTCTTCTCTCTTGAGTGAGCAAAGTGAGACGGATCTATCTCGAGTTGGTTTTTTCATTTGGTTAATTAAAGAGATATTAAGTTTGTAAAGTTTTTTTTGAAATTTAAAATGAGAAAAGTTGGGTCCCTAAATTGTACCTGGGCGACTGTGACTGTATTATTCGTAGTGGTGATAAATATTTGTGATGGTAAATCTAACAGTGGAGGAAATAATGGTGTTCGATCTCGACGGTATTCCCCTAATGGAAGGTCGTTAGTCGATAATCGTAATAATCATGAACAAAAGTATAAGTTTGATCTCAATCGTAAAATTAGTCCGGTTAAAGGGAGGAGAAATTCTGGAAGGGGGCGAGAAAACAGTAAAGGTGTGACTTGCAGCAATAAAGTGCAATAAAGGAATGGATTTCACTGATTTAAATATTTTTGTCGAATTGACAGTGTTGCTCCAACCACCGATTGAAATCAGGGATAGATTGTCGAGACAAATTAAACCATTGTCGTGTAAAGTTCCCAATTCAGATGAGAAGGGAACTTGCATGTTTGTCTTTGACTGTAATCAGGTCGGTGTGTTTTGAAAATCAAATAGCTACAAGTATTGAAGTATGTGTATTAGTAATAAAACATATGTAATGGAATATCTATCCACAGGCGAATGGAAAGCACCTTGGCACGTGCATGGACAGATTTTACATCGGATCGTGCTGCAAACTTCCGGAAGATGAAGAGGACGACAATTTTAATGAGATTTTGCCAAAACCCAAACCGACGACGACGACACAAAGTACTACTTCGCCAAGTAGTGTAACGGAATCAGTCACGGAAAGTACGTTCCAGGAAGAGAAGAGAAAACCGTCAAAAACGACGCCTAAGCCAAAAACCACGACCACGACGAAGTTTACAACTGTCAGGACGCCAACAATATCTGAAACGATAAAATCGAAGAACCGAACTGAACTGCGGGATGCAGATTTCTTTTCGGAGAATGGCACGCTTTTAATTAGTGATTCGAAATTGAGTAAGTAGTTTTGATGTACACTAATTTAAACATGGAATGGAGTGCTTAATTGAGTGTTTGACAGTTTGTGGGAGACAATTTCTACCCGCATCTAGAATAGTTGGCGGAAATGATGCATATTATGGAAAATTTCCTTGGCAGGTATTAACAAGCACACAATTTTCTGCATTCAGTATGCTCTAATAGTCTGCTAATACACATTTGTATTAATTGTAGATTTCTGTCCGCACTTGGCAAAATGAAGCTCGAACATTTATCCATTCCTGTGGGGCTGCCCTTCTAAATGAAAACTGGGCCATTTCAGCCGCCCATTGTTTCGATCGGTACTAATTCCACGAAGTTCATAAATTTGGCATAATTATTAATGACTCGTATCCTATATCTACCAGTGTACTCAACCAGGACGTAATTTTGCGAATGGGAGATTGGGATTTATCCTCCGATAATGTTCCGTTCAATTACACGGAAAGACGTATTCAACTAGTCATTCCCCACCCAAAATTCTTTGGTCCTTCAAAGACCTTTGAGTATGATTTGGCGTTAATTAGATTCTACGAACCTGTTGTATTCCAACCTAACATTGTTCCTGTAAGAGTGACTTCATCTCATTTGACAAAACTTAACGTGCTACTAAAATTATAATGTGTACTTAATTTCTTACCAGATCTGCATCCCGTCCGTAGTTGACGATTATGTAGGGCGAACTGGTATCGTGACGGGTTGGGGTCGTCTTTACGAAGGTTAAATTCATTTCTATTTTTTTCGGTGTATGTATGTAAATATGTGTGCATAATTATCAAGGTGATATACAGTTATTGTAGTATAAGTACTAACATTAAGGTGTGATTTTAATAATAAATTCAAACACATTCATAAATAAATGTCAAATACACCTTAGTTGGTTTGGAGAGTAGAAGAAAAACCCAATGTTGATGGGTTTGGTAACACCTCGATTTGATTCGGATAGGCGTCCGAGATCACGACCCCTTACAAGATATTTGTCAATGAATTGACCTATCACTTAAAATATAAAATAATTCCTCCAGTCAAGCTGATTGGGAACAGCTCCTCATGTTGAATTCACACGTTAAATGGCCGAGCTGATCCTTTTAATCAGAAATTGTTACCGAGATTGGTCCAATGAAATGCTTCATCCTCCTACAATAAATAACTACAATAACTGTATATCGATAATTTAATCATTCTGAACTTAATATTATAAAAAAATAATGTAAATAGGAGGGCCTATTCCTGCACGCCTAAACGAGGTGCAAGTCCCCATCATGAATAATTCAGTTTGCGAAGAAATGTTCCTAAAAGCAGGCTACATTGAGAAAATTCCTCAAATGTTCCTCTGCGCCGGTTGGCCCGAAGGGGGCAAAGACTCGTGCGAGGTATGATTACGTAATTATCATAATAAAATAAAATTCATATTTTTATTATTATTATTCTAATCGCTCTTCCGACTTATTATATTAGGGTGATAGTGGTGGCCCTCTCATTTTAGAAACGGGGTCAGACCACCACTGGACATTGATAGGTGTCATAAGGTTTGATTTATAATTATAAGCATTTAAATATATTTATGTGTTGCTTTATTAATATTAATATTTGTATTCATTCATAAGTTGGGGCATAGGATGTTCCAGGGTCTCCCATCCCGGAGTATACAGTAGAATTACAGAGTTTTTGGACTGGATTAATTTAGTTTCAGAATTCTAAGCATTAATAAGAGTTTAAAGTACTCAATTATAGTAAAACTTATTATTATCGAATGTAATCCTTGTAAATACGTATTATGTAATTTATATTGATCCCTTTAAGTTATTACCAATTTGTTCGTTCAAGCTCTCTGTCATTAAATGTTGTATGAATTGAAGTAATTTCACCGGCATCGAAAGAACATTTTCCATACTTTAAATAGATTGGATTTGTAGGCTTTCTATTCATGTGTAATTGAGTTATCATAATTTTGATCAAGAAAGGTTGTCCTTCTATGTCTTTAATAGTGAATTGTATAGAGGGGTGGAAATTGTTAACTTTTTTTGGAATAATGGTATTTTTTATTCCATTTTTTCGTATAATTGCAAATATGTACTTCATCCAAATATCATCCCTAAAATATTATGTCCCGAAAGTTTCTTGAACTGAAATTATCTAGCATTCGTAAAAATAACTGGTGACAATGGACCTCCTATTTTTTCCCGTACCTTATTCTTCGACGGTAATATTAGTCATTGTATTTTAAATGTATGGAAGCCAGACAGATCTCCAGTAATTCCATTATGTCCTGTATTATCAGTTATCGTTGAAATTATTTACTATGCATTACACATAATTCACATTTTTACTTGAGAATAAATTGTACAAAACTATTTTACAATTTTGCAATTTTGTTTATTTTGCATCTCTTGCACTTATTGAGAGTCTCAACTTGAGACTTGAGACTAGAACATCATGTAAAAATGAGACGAAAAGTTCACATTTACCGTTGTCGCAGAAAGCCCGACTGGGTCTCCGAATTGAGGTGGGATCACAATTGCAACTTACTCGCCGTTTTTAAAAAATCTTGTTTCCAAACACTTTCACAAAAATATTTATAAGATTTGTCATAAATTTCTAAAGTTATATCTTTAAATTTCAAATGAAGATGACGGAGATTATAAATCAAAAGTGTTGTAAAAATGTGGAAGTGTTTCGTAACATGATTCAAGGATTAGTGGACAGAGTAAGTATTAAGTCATCTAATACTGTCAATTATGATTCAAATAGAATTAATTGTTGTTTATTTATGTACTTATAAAGTTGATTGTTTTATTGTGTTCAGCATGATTACGAGTCCGCTACATTCTGGGCTGATAAGCTAGTCTCGATAAGTAACGGGTCACAACAGGATGTTTATACCTTGGCAAAGTGTATGTTTCTTTCCGGCCAGTTTCACAGAGCGGCTAACGTTTTAATTTTCTACCAGTACGAAAGGGTAAGTAGTACTTACAAAATATTAACGTTTTATTGCGTGTAAGTTTAATTGCAATTATGTAATTTGAATTTTGCAGACAAATCTTCACTTTCGCAGCTTAACGGCAAGATGTTTATATAAAGCACGAGAGTACCAAAAGGCCTTAGAAGTGTTGGACCTAGAAAACAAAAGTGTTCATCCGGGACAAAAAGTGAGGGCAAGCGTTTGGGAACCAGCAGATTCTCAGAAATCTGTAAGTGTCGTTATCTACACAATGTTCTGATTTTCTGTAAACTTTTTGAGATAAAATTAAGCCTACCTTTAGATTATGGGTCAAGTTCACTTGATACGAGGCAAAATTCACGAAGCATTGATGAATCGAATTTTAGCAGCACATAACTATAAGGAAGCGTTGGCCAGTGATATTTATTGTTTTGAAGCGTTTGAATTGTTGACACAAAATCAAATGTTGTCTCGAGCAGAAGGTGTGTGTGATTAAATTGAATAGGCTTTAATGTATTTATTATCATTAATTCAATTTGTTTTACGGTTGCAGAGATGACACTTCTTCAATCATTGCCGTTCTCAAAATCATGTACCAACGGAGACGTTGAATTTGTCAGATTTTTGTACACTTCAAAAGTTAAAAAGTACCCTACCGCAGAACCTACCGCTGTTGTAATATTCCCTTCATTGAAGAAAAACTTGGACATATTGACGGGAGAAGCTGAGCGTCATTTCTACAACTGTGATTTTCAGACATCTTTTAAAATGTCGTCACAGTAAGATTACTGATATAATTTATGTAATTGAGTTAAATCACTTAATGTAATTATTCCTTTCGGTAATGGTGCAGAGTGATCACTGAAGATCCCTTTCATATGGGATGTCTCCCCGTCTATGTTGCGTGCCTCGTAGAAATGAGCAAAATTACAGAATTATTCAAAGTTGCCCATAGACTCGTCGAGGTCATGAGCGATTCTGCATTGTCGTGGTATGCAGTCGGTGCATATTATTTCCTCATAGGTAATGATTCAACCGAATTGATTATGCTCGTAATAACAACTTTTGATGTTAATCGATTTTTCTATATCCGGTCCGCAGGGAAACAGGACAATGCACGACGACATTTGAACAAATCATTATCTTTGAATCCGGTATTTGGTCCCGCCTGGTTATTATTTGGTCACTCATTTGCCTCTGAAAATGAACACGACCAAGCAATGGCTGCGTATTTTAAGGCAACTCAATTAATGAAAGGGTAATAATGGTTTTATATTTAACTATTGATTATAGAGTACGTAGAACTTTTCTTGATGGCATATTTTCTTATAGCTGCCATTTACCAATGCTTCATGTTGGAATGGAATGCGGTCTGAGTAACAACCCACTCCTTGCAATGAAATTTTTAGAGGAAGCCAGACTTCTCGCCCCGAGGGATCCATTCATTCGTCATGAAATGGGAGTCGTAAAATTTAGCGAGAAAAAGTAACTGCAAGCGAATTGCGAATATTATTTATTCAGTGGGTGGATCGATGGGTGGATGAATCAGTTAATTAATTGACTCAATTTGGAACTAATTCTAGATATGACGAAGCACATTCATTTTTTATGGAAACTCTTGGCCTTCTTGAGAAACCGAGTTATTCCGTATCTTTTAAAAAATGGGAACCACTCTACAATAACTTGGGGCATGTTTTACGGAAGATGCTGAAATATGATGAAGCTCTGGCCTTCCATCAAAAGGTATTAAACCAAATTCAGTACGAAATGTAGGCCCACAGAAAGCTCATAGTCAGTTCATCTTTTTTAGGCCTTGGTCATTTGTCCATCAAATGCCTCCACCCATTCTGCCATCGGACTGATCCATGCAATTACTGGCAAGACTGAATCGGCAATCGAATCTTTTCATAAAGCACTTTCTATACGAAGAGATGACGCTTGTAGTAACACAATGTTGCGATATTGCGTAGAGAAATTAGTAGAAGATTCGCATGAAGGTTAGTTTTAAAATGTTGTTTGTCTTTATATTCGCCAATTTTAATTACGAAATTATACGTGTGGATCTCGTGGTTAATAGATGACGAGAATGTGGTTGTAATGTCGGACGAGGAAGAAGAGAAAATTTACGATCGGCCAATGAGAACCAGATCTGGAAAACTTAAATCAGCGGACGTGACCCCACGCGGATCTACAGATAGTATTGAGGCACTACCCGAGCCGAAAAGAACACGAACTCCGAGAAAGAAAGACCACGACAAGGATATGGAAGCGCCTGGACAGCTTTCGTTCTTTAAATTTAGTTTGTCGAGTATGCAAGGTGATTTAAAAAAATCTAGTAGTAATCAGTTACACCTGAAAACTATCTAATAATGTATACTTTTGCCCGAGTTCCAGATTCACCTGAACGAGAAAAACGTCATGCACCAAATTCGACGCCATCATCAACCCCGACAGCTACAAGTACTCCGACTGGTAAAACTGATGAACTTTTTCATTATTGTGTCGAGTCAGATCGTCAGATGTTAATAAGACCCCATTTCCTCTAGATAATGACGGACGACGAAGGACACGCAGAGAGCTTAGGAGTACGGTATCTACCCCTGCCCCGCCAGAAAGTACTACTCGAACCCTGGTAGCCAACTCTTCTTCAGATGACACAGATAGCTAATTATTAGTAATCTCTAGCTTTAGATATGTTGTTTTCTAGAATTTTCAAATTTCTGTGATTTCTATTTAAAAATATTGTTACAAACAAACGTTGAGAAATCTTTACAGAATAAAAATTAATTTATTGTCCATTAGTTAATCAATATCAATACTGTAGCGCCCAGTGACTTATAAAACGTGAAATGCGCTTAAATGTAATTTGTACAGTTATTTAAAATTAATACGTTGCTGCGTATTATCCGTTGTGAAAGAGGCCTGAGAACTTTGTCGCTTATTTGTTGAAGCTACGGGTTAACGAGTGAATCTCCACAATCTGTAAGCTCCATACGTCGCTACCCCCGCCACAACGGTTGGTAATCCCACAACTAAAATTACAAACGATTCTTAAATCCAATCTAATCCAGTAAAATATTGTAACATCCTCTTAAAAACTAACCTGAACCAACAGCCGCCGTGGTGGCAGTGGCAGATTGCATCCCTGCAAAAATCGACCCAGCCACGACATTAGGAATTGAGGACTGTGCGGCCGCGGCGAGAGATCCCTTTGCAATTCCCGAAGCTGTGAAACCAATCCACGGTCCAATATACGACGCCCCAAGTCCTCCTAATTTTACGACGGGATAAGCGACCGTGCTCACAATAGCGTAGGCCGTTCCAGGGTCCATTTTACAAATATTTTAGAACAAATCAACCGAGCTGGTACTCGAGGAAGAGGAGAGTATATTTTATTGCATTATATTATTGCTTTCTTTCCACTTTTGTGACGTACGTTAGATCTAAATTTACGATTAGTAGTCACAATTAGCATTGTTTTATAGAGTCCTCATGCTCGTAATTAACTTACCGTGTTACCTGCTTCCAAAATGTGATATCCACAATTAATTATTGAGTTGATTGCAATGGTTTCTTAAAATATCTCTGCTTGCTCTGATTTTGCGTCGTATTCTCGCATTTGTTTATACACATTCTTTTGTGAGAAACATGTGTGAATGAGATACGGCCAAGGCGGCTGGGCGCCACTCACTCAACTACAAATTGTAAACAGGGAACCATTTGCAATTTTAACGAGTTTTCAGTTTTATAGTTTTAAAAATTAATTATACCAATAAGTTTGGTAACTGTTGTGTGTTTTTAAATAGTAGTGGAATTGGTATTAGACTATTCTTCCTGGTGTACAGATCGTGTAGAGGAGATAGGACAATTAGATTTTAATATTTTAACTTGTTTGGTGATTTTGAAGAATTTAAATTTTAACGATTTTAATGATAATGACAAATAGCAGGCAATAGGTAAGAAGAGGTTAGTAGGACAAAGTTAGTTCATGGAATGTAGTTTATATTACAGACGATTTGCAATTGGGGTTTAATTATGGTATTTTAATATTGAATGTTGTTTATTTCTAGTGTGCGATTGTTGTTATCTTCAACCTGGCGGCGAAATACGGGGGAGGATTTTATTTGGAGAGAAATGTCAATTTCTAGTGTAAAGGGGGACCATCAGGTGGTTGGATTAAAGGAATAAGGTTTTAGGACACGTCTTATCTATGGAACATATGGATATAAATTCAATAAGCTCAAACAACATACATGTAGTTACTATTACGGGTATGATGACTCAATAATTTGTAATTAATCTGGATCATCATAATGCCTCATATTTTATGATTCTTCCAGGGGGATGTCATTTACCATCAGAACCTCCCACTGTTTGAGGCAAGGGAACTTAGGGAACCGACGAAGAAACCCAAGGATTTGCAGTGTTAATGCAAAAAATAAGAAAAACGACTTGAAGAAACAACTGAACATTTTAAAATCCAGAAAATCTGCTCGTCCTCAGCCCCCTACATCTGTTAAATGTATAAGTATTAAAAGAACTACAGAACTTCTAAACAGACGTGTTATTCGGGAGAACTCTAATATTCCTGTAGCGATTAAAAGAACTGAACAAAAGTCACAATCTAGAAAACGATCCGGACTAAAGTTAATCCCCCTTTCAGGAAAGTGGGCAAGTTGTCGAGATAAAAGATTGTCTTGTTCTGTTCCAACAGTTTCGATAAGTTCAGAGTGTAAGCGTAAAGCAGAAATGAAGTTGAGAAAAATTCAATCAAAGAAGAAAATCCCCAACGATGAAGAAGAAGAGGAAGAAGATAGCAATTCCGACTTGGAGGATGAGGATGAAGACTCGTCCATTGAAGAATCCCCGCGTTCATCTTCTGATATTGAAACGGATTCTGATGAGGAAGACACACTTGACCACCATTCTAAAAAGAGTTATCCCTTACGGAGAAAGTCACCTCATCTATTTGTTGAAAGACGGCATACGCCTCCCGCAAGAACGGAAAGTCCATCAGATTCCTCGTCCGAATCACTGCTAGATATTCCTCCCCCAACAACTCATCAAAAATGGACTTCATCCCCACCTCCAATTCTACCCAAGGAGAAAGAAAAAGATAACAAACCTTCATCAGCATCAGCAGCAACCTCGCCAGGAAAATCTCCAACGAAACGAGTAGAACATAAAGCACATTCTCTAAAGAGTAGTGAACCAGTTAGAGCTTTGCGGTCGTCCTTTTCGTCATCCGAAGGGGTGGTCATCATCCATGCGAAAGATCTATTGCAGCAAAAACAGCGTGCTTCACAATCTAATCAGAATGCAAAGAAAACGGCACTACCCAGTATAACTCCTACTAAACGTCTTCGAAGATCACCAGAACGTGACAAGTCACGTCAGTCGAGTCAACCTTCCACGTCTACTAATTCCAGCAAACCCTCAACTACGATAAATGATAAACCTCCCACATTAGAAAAATCTTCTTACTCTTTGCGTCATTTGGAACACAAGAGTACTTCACCAACAAAGAAAAAAACTTTGGAAGAATCTACCCCCACAAAAACTCCAACAGTTGCTCCTGTCACCAACAATGTCGTGGTAGTTGACACAATTTTACCTCCAAAAAAGAAACCAGGAAGGCCCAGAAAAATCCCGTTAGATTCAAGTTTAATCCAGGCAGCCACTCCTCCGGTGCAATCTGCTGATGTACCTCCTGCAAAACGAACTCGCCGAACTACATCAAATGAATTATTAGCTTCTCGGCAACAACATGCTCCAGTTATTCCACCACCTCAAACGAAAACAAAAACCTCCCCTGATTCCGAACCAAAGAAAAGATTTCGACGAAAATTTCAAGACCCTGCAAATCAACAACGACGTGACGCCATCGCTTTGAGAGCTCGTCAGAGTAAAATTATGGCAAAATCTCGTGTTTTGCAGTCGAATAAGTACAGTTTTAATGCAAGTTGGAGAAAACCTCTGACTGGTCCCACCGCCACCAAATCTACAGAATCATCTTCTCCCGTTTTACCCGTAATTAATGAGGATGATGATGCCGATCAGTCATCCTCTTCTGGGGATGATGAAAGTAATGACACACCACCACCAGCTTTACCCACTTTAAAAAGTCAGCAGGACATCACCGGGTTTTCCTCTAAGCGACAACCAACAAAGCACAGTCCTGTCGCAAAGTGTGATATTTGCAATCTGACTTTCACCCGAAAGTTCAGGTATGTTGCAACTTTTAATTATTTTTTTCTCATAATTATTAGAAAAATATATAAAAGGTATGATAATAATTCAACAAATATTATAAATTAATCATTATTCAACTTTATTCAGCCTCACCAAACACCTCGCGACGCGACAACATCAAAAAATGCTGAGAAAATGTGGCATCAAGGAGACTCGAAAACTTAAAAAGAATAATGAAGAGAAGCAGCGTAACAAAGTTAAGAGACAGAAGCGACGAGAAATTGTGGCTCCCACTTCCACTGCCAAAGACCCTCTCGTGCTGGAACGCTTTTTCGATGACGAGAACGGATTTGATGGTGCAGTTGACAACGAAGAAGGAGATGAAGAGGATGAGGAAGTAATTGAAGAAGTCAAATCTATCCCTCCTTGGTTATCTGGTCGAGCTGATGGTCCAAATAATTACGTTTGCGACGTCTGTGGTGACATATTCATCAAAAAGTTTGACTTCTCTGCCCACTTGTGGAGTCATCGGGAAGGGTCCGACCTCGTCTGTGTCGATTGTGGATTGAAATTTGCAGAGAGCGACAAATACAATGAACATATTGATCAAGCTCACATTATTGATGTCAAGTTTTGCTGCCAAATCTGTCCGTCTAAATTCAACCGAGAGGATTATCTCGCCAAACATATGAAATCCCACTCTCGGGACACAGACGAGAGGTTTATTTGTTCTTTTGCTCTTTGCGAAAAAAAGTTTTCAGCCTATGAAAATCTGGCGAGACATTTCGATATCAAACATCTCCAGTTGGGGAGGCCAAAGGTAGAAATATTGGACAATGACACGAACAACGATAAGTATTCGACGTTTCCGGCAAGTTTTTTGAATGTTAAGAGACGCCTAGCCGCCCTTCAATCTGAGTATGCGGAAGGAAACTTTGACAATATTAATAATGACTCTGGCGATGATGATGAGGATGATAATGAATATGACGACGAAGAAGAGGAGGAGGAGGAGGAAGAAGAAGAAGATATTGACGAGGATGAAGAGGACGAGGAAAATGAACCAGAAGACGACGGAGCTATTGTTCCACAAGATGACGACGAATGGACTGAGATGACAGCTCAAAAGAAAAGAAAAAGTCGACAGAAACAAATCCAAAAATCAGAAAATGACGATGAGATCTCCTTAAATAACAGTATACAAAATTATCTCCAGCGAAATTGGATCAATGATAACTCAATCATCGGATGTGGTGTGAACCAGTCACGATCCAGCCATCTCAGAACACCCTTCAACTATACCCCACTCTCTTGCAAAGATTGTGGCCTAAGTTTTGATAGTAGAAAACTCCTCGTCGAGCACGTCAACCAGACGGAGCGATACATGTGCCAAGTTTGTAAAAAGAAGTTCAAGTGGAGATACTTGCTGAATCGACACATGACACGACACGCTAGGGGAAAGCAACAGGCAAAGACCAAGTTACTGGCGAAGAAAAAGTTTTCCAAACTGAAACAAAGTTTCCTGAAGCATCGACAAATGCAATTGCAAACCACTAAACCTAAATTAGCACCAATAAAGCCAATAACTCCCACACCGACTCTCCCAACAACAATGCCAACTTCTACTGTAGGAATACAAGTCACAAAAGAATCTCTACCTCCTCCTCCTCTCCACGTTCCTGCTACAACAATTTCTTCCTCAAATAAACCAATAGTAGTAGCAGCGACAGTAGCTCATCAAAAGGTCACTAGTGTGGCCAAAGTGAAGAGCATTTTTTCCGTTCCTGCTCCTGCTCCTCCTCATCTCGTACCAATCCTCCCTGCTCCTCGGCCAACAGTCAGTAAAGCAGCCCTGCCATCAGTCACCCCTCTCTCAACAGTGGTCAAGGTCTCTACTGCTACTCTGCTTCCAAAACCACCAAGGATGTCGTCCTCGAATAGTTTAGCATCGCCGCCAACCTCCACTAAGTCCACAAAATCGGATCCGCTTGGGTCATCGGTGCCCGGGTCGGTGTGCGATTTGGAAGAGCCCTCCACTTCGTCGTCCACCACTTCTGCAACTTCAACCATCGTACGGAAAACCACATTCGAACCGAAGGCTGGACAGGGTAACAAATATTATAGTTGTGAACTCTGTCCAAAGTCTTTCACCGATCGGAATACACTTACAGTTCACACTTGGTTTCATCAAAGCGAGTCCCTCTACAGTTGTCCAAACTGTGAGGCCAAATGTGAGAGGAAGAGCGACTTTGAGCTTCATTACAAATGTCATGAATTAGACCAGCCCTTCTTTCTATGCTATGTTTGCTTCAAGTGAGTTTCGTCTGGATAATACTAGTAAAAGTTTTTTTTGTTTTACCTTTAAATCGTCGCTAATCATAACTATGTATTTATCCATTTAATTGCAGGCCTTTTCGATGGAAGAAAGATATGATTCGACACGTCAGAAAAAAGCATCCGGACGAAGGTACCCTCAGTATTCTTTTATTTTATTATTAACTATTCTAATTTTGACATGATTGTAACTTGATTCTTTTTACTAATTGTAGCCACATATCGATGTCTTTATTGCAATGAACGATTCAGAATTAATGACGAGCTAAATGATCATATTTCCGAGAGCCATGCTAAACATAGATCCTTCCCTTGTGACTATTGTGGGAAACGATATGCCCAAAAACGGTGAGTATACGTAATAATTATGCATGATAAACCTAAAGCATTCATGCATTAATAATTATTGATCGATTTTATCGTCAGATATTTGCTATTGCACATTCGTACTCAACATGGGATTGAATCCGGACTTGCAATGGAGGTCAATCCGGAGCACCTACTCATGGAGGTGGAAATGGACACCGAACCCGAACCTGATGAATCTAGTAGTATTGAATTGGATTTAAATATTCCTAGTTTTTCTATCGTGCATCATCATATTTAGTAAATCAGGTAAATGTGATAATCTATAACTAACTCAGAAATCTACTCAGCATAATTAATTCTCGACGGCTTGTAACAAAAAAATCTACAATTATTTTTATGAGTCAATGATAATTGCCCACCAACCCACCAATATTTTTAATCGTTTTAGTTCAATGTTAACGTCTCTGCAAATTGAGAGATTTCAACTGGAATTTTTTTAAACGTGCTGTTAACAAGTTTTATGTATCGATATATTTTTAACTGTCGTAACTTTTTAACAATGTATACTGTTATAATTATTATGATCTAAATGCATTTTAAAATCTATCCTGTTCCATATGACTTTGTGCAAAATATAAGTATATACTTTCCATGTACATGTGAAAGATTCATATCAGTAGAACATTTCCTGTCTGTATAATATTATTACGAATTTATGACATTCTGGTTGAAATTACTAGAATATTTACGTGCATGCATAATTCAAATGACAATTATAGAATTTGACAAAGGAGATCAATGTTCGTTTGAATAAACTGTAAAACCAAAACAATTCCACGTCGATATAAACTTCATATTGATTGGTTTTATCCTTTGTGTGCACACAAGTCGGCAAAAGTTTACCTGTCATGCACTTTCACTAACGACAAGTTATTGTTCGCGTTTAAACAGCTCAACTTTACTACGCAATTGGACCTGATCGAATATATGTATAAAGTGTATTCGGCCTACCAAAAACTATATAATAATAATAGAGAGATGTCCAATATGTCCATAGTCAAATAATATTATTGATCCTTTAAAATTAATGGTCCCCTCAATCAACATTCAACATTCATCAACATTCCGGGTCCGTTTGTCATGGTTTCACTCGTCACAACAGTTCCGTAATATATACGTATGTTGTGACACAAGGACGCTTAGCAGCTTGTCAACTTTCTGCACCGAACGAGTGAATAGCATACCATTTATTGGACTGAATAGCTACATACATATCACAACTAATGGTCATTTGAAACCCCTTTTTTGCTCGTATAACAATTTGTGATATCTCTCTCGGAAATTGGTTTGTTGTGGTTGTCCAATTGAGCTTTCATTATATAATTGGCCATTAAATTTCATTAATCTCAAATCAGTCATACTAAACAATCATCATGTAGTTCAGTTATAATTATCAGTTAAAAGAAAAACATAGCGTGACCCCTTTTTAAGTGAAAATCTTTATTTTTAAACCAAACTTATCTTTTCTTCGGTATGATTAGAGAAGTAAAAGTCACTTCTTAACTTTTTTTCACAAACTTCCACTAATTTTGACTAATAGGTTCTACTAATGGTTTCACCATTCTCATTATGGCACCCCCACTAATCAGCGAGTACAAGCTTACATTCGTGCTAAAACGCTTACTCGAAACTTTTGTGGGAGGACTTCGCCTCTGTTCGCCAGTGTCTTTCGTGGTCATCCAAATCCTCCTCTTCTCCACCCCGGCCCTCCTCGTCTCCGTCGTCAACCTTGCCGCCGGGGGGTCCAGCACGGAATGGAAGTCCGCCATAATTCTGACGAGCAGTTTCCTCTTCGATTTCTTTTTATCCTTGGTCATCCTTCTGCTGAAGAGGGGGAGGTCAAATATCGTCCAGAGTTTGCCCAGCCTCCGGGTGAGCGATGCGATAAGTGAGAATGGAGGTGGTGAAAGTGGGACCACGAATTCGACGCCTGGAGGGATTCGACATGAACACATCACGTCATTCCTGTCTCAGGAAGACATGGTATTTTGGTCATTTATTGAAAAAAAATCTAGACTAAATTAGACTTTATTTAGGTGCCCAATGAGGGTTGCCACAAGCCATCCACCTGGATTTACATTGCACCCAATCCGACCTTTTCGATATCCTGTGTCGTTACTTTGCTATTATCGGCCCTTTCTTTCGGACTTTGTACGCCTCTCATGATTTCGGAGGTTCGTTCGTTCGTATAAAAATAGAAAGTCATTAATGTGTGTGAAGAAAATCAATTACTTTGTGTATAGGTGATTTCCCCAGTTTTGAGAGGCCTGGCAATATTTGCCATGTGCAATGCTCGTTACAGCTCAATAATAAATTCTCCCTCGGAAATTGTCAATTTCGATACGGTAGCTCCAGAAAAGAGGCATGTTCTGTACCGCACGTTCTACACGTTGTTGATTGGATTGTCCTATTTTGTATTTGCTCAGTAAGCTGAATGTAAACATTGCAAACTAATAAAATTACAATTTTTAAACAATTTTATAAACTTTCTGGTTCAGAATATCTCGTGATCCCCTCGACCACTGTGTCATGTCCTTGCTTGCTGGAATTCTGGCATTCTTTCCTCTCCTCTGGGGACTGGGCATATTGCCCGATACGGATGCCATATTTCCTTGGGCGTTGGGAATGGTAACTATAATTAATTTAATTATTTATTAAAGTCGTTCATATTTTTTTACGGTGGAATTTAAAGTGAATTTCTACCTTTATTTTCTAGCTCCTCCTCATCTTAGGTGGTACATCACCCAGCTTTCACTACGCTGGGACATTACTCAGCCTTATCGTGGTGATAATCTGCCCCATCATCGTGTTCATTGTGACACAAGAGTCAATCAAAATAGTTTTAGCAGAGTGTATTTGCGGTTACATAATATCCTGTGATACGGGTAACTCATATTTTCCATTACAGAATACCTATTATAATGAATCTCCATATTATTGATGAACATTCCCTAAATGCATCTACCTACATATTTGTCCTTCTGCAGGTCGACTAATTGCTGTAAAGTCCACGCTGTGTGAGGAGACTCCAACAAAATCCTTCCTTAACCAGCTCATCTTCCCATTTTTCAACATTATAGCCTCCCTGGCTTGCGTCTCAGTCAGTTGGCTCTACCTGGGTCAAGGGTCGTCCACCTTCGCGGCCGAGATTACCCTGCTCACCACCACCCTGACAATCACCTGTGTGTCGTGGGCCTTCCGCTATTTTGCAATGAGCACCGAACTGAAAAATAAAAAGGTTCTCGTCCCGATCCACATCCTGCACGGGAGCGTGACCTTCCTTCTCCATATCTGGCTTACGATTTGCATCGAGCACGAAAAAATCGCATGGAGTTCTGTCAAAATGATTTCAGAGGAAGAGTCCCAATCACTCCTTCGTCTGGTTCCATACTTATTGTCCATTCGAGGATTTGCACTTGCAATTTCCGAACCGAGGAAGAGTTGTCTCGACTTTTCGGTGGCGTTTATGCTGCGACATTTCTATTTGGAAGAGGCAAAGTCCTCCTTCGTCCTCCTCCTCTTCATCTGCTCCCTCGTGACAGGGAGGATTAAACGTTTTTTTCGAGCTTGGAAGACCTTCTGCTCAATCTGGTACGCATTTTGCATTTCAATCCTCATGGGGTCGAAGAAAGCAAAGCTTGTGGTCGCGTGTCTCCTCCTCCTTCCGGTCTCCCTCTGGTCGCTGCTTGTGGCTGTGATTGTGGAGGGAATGACGCTCATCCCGTTGTTCACGTTGCCAATCTTTATCCTCCAATCTCCTCGACCTTCGACCTTCTGGAGCGAGGGCTGGTTTCCGGTGAAGAAGAAAATTGCAAACGCAAAGAGAGGCGTGATTAAGCATGTCGTACATGAGGTTGAAACGCTGGACTGGAAGATTTATGCAGAAATTGGTCCCTTGTTGGCAGGATCGCTTGGGAGGAAGGCACATATGACGAAATTTGGTGGGTTTTATACTGAAGTGTGTGTACATGAGTTTCAAAAATTTGTGCATTCATTTATTGACCTTGAAATTTGCTGCTTAGCTCTAGAACGAGGAGACGTTTTTCTGGCGAGATATGAAGATAGACTTCTCTTTATTCGGGTGATATCTTCCGGATGGAACTTTGCATATTTACAAATTAAAGGGCTGGAAATGCAGGAACAGACTTCGTGCCATCATCATGTAACTTTGTGATCCAAACTTTGGGAATCAAATTTTATGACAAGTTGTAATTAAAATTACTTATTTATTAGGAGGCCGCAAAGGTGGATGAAATATTCGACGCTGTGCTTTCCGATGAGAGGTCGACCTGCTCCAAGCTTATTCTGGACCTCCTATCCCTCCTCATCCTGTCCCCAATGTGCTCCCTCAGCCTTCCCACCTACTCAGAGGCCAAGTCCAACATCTTCGCCCTTTCCATTCCCGAAGAGAAAGCCACGTTTCGCGACATATTTTCTCGGGCGTTCTCCTACATGTGGATAAAGAACAATCCGGCCCTTAAAGGGGAGTCCTACCAGAATGGAATCACCTCCCGCAAGTCCGTCGTGGGAACTCAGATTTCGTCCAACAGTTTCATCAGTACGGGCGCGGCGGACAATGCGATTCCAAGTACGGATGGAAATTCTGGTGGGAGTGGTGAAAATAGTGCGAGTTCGGCTACAATGACTCCTGTCAAAAATGAACAATTTTCCGTGAAACATGCTCTCCTAAATTTTACAAAGCCAACGCTAGCGTTTTTTAAGAGGATGGACTCCGCCGATAGGAAGAATAGTACAACTACGATTGTGATTCCAGCCACTGTCGAAGAGGCAGAAACTAATGCTGGGGACCAGCCTAATAATAATTCAGTGGATAATAATTTCGGTACGTGAAATAGATTTTGCAGTGACATTTCTCGAAATTAAGTCATTTTAAATTGTAATACAAATTCGTATAGATTCCGATATGAAATCGGAGGAGGAAGAAATTCCTGAAGTTATTAGAAGACGGAGCGTAATATCTCGACAATCGACGATACAGTCACAATCAGAGTATTCTATGGGGCGAAGATTTTCGACGACGACTCCTTTGCCGGCCAGACTCGTGGATGTAGAATCAGAGACCTCACATCCTGTGGTTAACAATATTTCCGGGGGCGGAGGTGTCCCTACGGGTGGAAGGGATCGTCTAACCACAATCTGGGTAAAACTTTGTGTCGGAGATGTTCTACCGTCAAACGCAGTGAAAGCACGGGTGGAGAAAATTTGCAATAATGTGTGGGAAACCGTGGTGGGAGTGGACGATGGTGGGTGAATAGTAAATTAATAGTTGAAGGGTACATATATTTATATTCAAAATTTTGTCTACTTTTTCAGAAAATGAGATAGAATTGTCTCATTTTTTCCAAGATGACTTTCTCCTCAAATTAAAGAAACTAGCAGCTTCGCCGAGAGTGGACATGGCGCAGATTACTCTAAAAGCCTTTCGGTAGTACATGCGTTTAAGAATTTGTGGTTTTATCATCTTAATTATAAAAGTATTTATTTATTTTAATATATTTAGATACGCGTGCAAACTGACATTAGACGAAGTATTCTCGACGACGGACTATTCCTCAAAAGTCGTCACGTTTGACGCTGACATGGAAGAGGAAATTTTCACGCAGCTTAACCTATTCGAACGTGAGTATGAATTCTGCTCACCACAAGAAATTCCGGTAAATAAACTTTCACCCGTTCATCGTCCACTTTCTTTACCTTGATAATTATATAACAATGTGCCTTTTTTGACAGTTTTGGATCCAACAAAATTCCAGTCACATCATCACCATGCACAAATCCGAGGAGAAAAGTGTCATGCGTATTTTAAACTATGAACCGCAAGGGGTGGAATTTAAACTTGGTCAATTAGATCAGTTCTCAGTTGAAGGAATTTGGGCGAATTTGAACTTGGAATTACTCTACTTGACGTCGGATGACGATGAACGATTTTCAATTCAGGTATTTAGTGGTCATAATGTGACTTTCTCATGGTCTACCAGATACTGCATTTGCTGATGAATGTCCAAATTTTTTACAGAATGATCGAGTCTTGCTCAGAAACATGATGACCCAGTGTGCCAAACCCCCACTCGGATATCCCGTTTACGATGCACTATTTAGAGTTAACTTACACAATTTTAAAGTAACACAGATCACTTAAAAATGATGTGCTATAAATATAAATATATACATATACATACATCCGAGCTTCACTCATGTAAATGTACCCTGCAAATAAAATAAATCAGCTCTATGTTTTTAATACATTCATAATTATCAATCTATAGACCTGCTGTAATATTAATTCTAGATTCGATGTCAATAAAGTGAAATATACTTCATTCTTATCAACTTTAGTTCGCTAACTGTTCATCGATAGTTTCATATCCTGTTTCCCAATGAGAAAAAGTTTGTTTTCATTAAATGGTGCCCAATTAAATAATGACACTGACACATGATAAGTTATTATCATTTATCATTTACGTTATCATTGATGAATCAACAATTTTAATCAATTTTCCATGTTGACTTGCATACTACATACTTTTCACCCTGCTTTCACCCTGGAGATTTAAGCGAACGAGAGGCTAAATTCTGCCAAGTCTATTTTCACCTTCACTTCACCCAAGAGAAATCAGGTAGTCTAAAAATATAGTAAATATCTCGTTTCCGGTGAAAGTTTCGCCCAGTTTAATAAATAAACTCAAAATTGACAAGTTTTTAAATTTTTACAATAAGAAAATTAATTTACGTTTATTTAATTTATTAATGCCAACAATACATCCCCGTTTATTGTTATTATTCTCTACAAATAATGGATTCGGATAATACTTCGCCAAAGTTTTCCACATCAATTTTCCCCTCCACGGCCAGCCCTTATCATCACGGATTATCATCATCGTCAGGCGATGCTAGCACAACAGGGTCAAGTTTTTTTCGAACTAATTCCTCCGAGAATAATGCAACCCTGCCGAAACATGTTAGTGAAAATCCTTTTAGTGTGGGGTCGTCGTCGACCATGCATCATCAACAATTCCATCACTCTTGTACCACCGGAAATTCGTCAACGACACAAGGAAAATCTGGGCAGTTTTTGAACAAATCAGTTCCGTCTTCTTCTGGCCCAACCCAGAAGAATTTGATGGACCTTCTCGGAGACTTGGCGCAGAGCAAATTGAGCGTGGAGAATGACCAGAAAGCGTATGAGCAAAGTATGTATGAAATAAATAGGATAGGAAAAGATTAATAGGAGGATTCCGTTATTTATGAAGTAATTTAACTGTATATATATAGATCGTCTTGAGCTGAACAATTTGAACAGTGGATTAAAACAGTTGCAACAAAAAAAGATTGACACCGAGAAGCAAATTGGGGAGAGTGAAATGGAGTATGCTCAGTTATCTGCAGAGTTGTCACTTGGCCTAATCAAAGAGAAGGTGGTGTCGGAGGGTCTGGAGAGGTTGCAGGTTGATCTAGTGAATGGGTGGGACAGCTTGGTTAGTTAAAACAATTTTCTGAACATGTATAACGAAACAACTGGGTTTCATTCCAGTAGTTGCTTGAATGCGATTTTATTTCCACAGACAGATATTAGATCAAAGATGTTCTCTGTGTCTGGACGATACTTGGGCGAATGCACAAAGTTTGCCCAGATGTATAATTGCACTGAGATGGGGAGTGAAAGCAAGAGAAAGTTTTTAATAAATGAACTGGAAGAGTATAGGGTCCAGAAACAGCATCTCGAATATGGTAATTAATTGGGGCTTAGTTCGTAGGTTTTTTTAAAAAAAGATTATCTAATCGATTCTTGCTATGTATTTTTGTGTAGATTTGCAAAAGTTCCTCTCAATGAAGGCCGAAGTGGATAAATCTGAAAAGGAAAATCGAGAACTGCAGCAACAATACCGATTGCAGGAGGAAACTGATCGAAAAAGGGAGAACGAAGCTTATAACAAATTATTGGAAGCTGAACAATGGCTGGGACAATTAGAGAAGAAAAAATCAGCGATGGATAAACAGCTCCAAGACGAAATTAATAAGTTGGTTGATTTGTCTAATATAAAAATAATTATTGCATGTATGTACAATAAATTTGACTCGATATAAAGATTGCAGGCAAAACTTCAAAAGACAAAGCAATCAATTTCATACTGGGAACGGCGAGTTTCAGAAAATCAGCGAATGGTTGGCTTTCAGAATCCATTGTTGTCTTCAACGTCTTGTATGGTCAGCAGTGCTACATCCCCTGGAATCCCCTTCCCAGCTCCAACTATTCGACTGGGAAATGGACAAAGTGTGGTCACCAATAATAAAACAGCACGAGTAGCGCAGTACGTTCGTCCGACACCACAAGTTCAAAATAATAATCAGGCCATTAGTAAAGGTTAGAAATCATATGGAATGGACAACTTATTATCTCATGTTTGAATTGAAATTAATGTTTTTTCAGGACCCTCAAAGCCAAACCCACCCAAAATAATCCAAACGAAACTGCAATTTAGTAACCCCATGAATCCCCCACTCATAAGGCCAACAAAGCCCAAATTTATTTCACCCCTCACTACCTCCAACGACCGTAATCGTCCAACCGGTGGTTGCTTTAAAAATCCAGTTCAATCTATTCCGCAGAATAAAACCGTTGACTCTGATGATGATCCATTTAACGATTCATTTTCGTCATCTCAATACTTTTCCCCTGACCCGATCTTCCCCTCGAAAACTTTACCACAGCCGACATTAACAAGTTTAAGCAATAACAGCACTGCTTCTTCTTCTTCGCTCGGACTACGAACCTTCCAGTTCAAAAAGAAAGCCGTTGAAGGGCCCCACATTTCTGGACCTACCGGACGCTCAGTCTCTGTCACACTTGGAACAACCCCATTTGCTACGTTTCAAAATAGTCGCAGCATCCTTCAAGAGAAACATCAGTAACTACACAAAGTCTTCCCCTTTGATGATGACCAAATGAAAAACGCCAGCTCAGTAGGCCAAACTGTTAATTAGTAAATGGACATTTTCTCATGTTTTTTTATTTACACATCATACTTTCATGTATTTGAGAATTCTTTTAAACTCGTTTATATTAATTAGGGTATCGCTGAGTTAGTTATTCTTTGATTACTCGTCCAAGTATTATTTCCTTCTCATACATATAAATGACATTTGTGTATTCATTAAACAAAGACGTAATAAATTTTCTGTGGATGTAGCATTTAATTGATTCGCCTATTGTACTATGCAATTTTCATAAAATGTGGCATTGTTACTCTGCTGAAATGACAAAGAGAATCTCAGCCTTGGTTGGTGGCTTGCTTGCGAGCGGCTGGAGAGAAAGTTGTTCAAACAAAGATCGAATCAATCGAATGCGCAAACGAACCACATTTTCCCCAAAAAAATTTACCGTGCGTGGTCTTTAAAAGTTGACACAGTACAATAAATAATATTTAATAGATGGGCATTATCATTATCAAGTCCTTGTTTAAGGGTACCCATCACAAGTAGCAATGAGAAGGATTCTAATTTTGAAAGGTAAGATTTTTTCTACGATGATTTTCCGATTTTCCTATTTTGGGTGAGGTGGTAGATGGGTGACACTAATAGACACTAGAACTGGTCCTAGATAAATGGAACGTTATTATTTTATTATTTACTCAAGTCGATTGATTGAAATTCAATCATTGGATTTTGTGTAGTTTCAGTGGGTGCTATATTCAAGTCGGTATTGAAAATGATTGAATAAATGGCGAGCGGGTCACAGTTGACGATTTCGAATTGTACTGGACGATGCGCCTTCACTGCTATTGGTAATAAACATTGTTTGTTTTTCTTCCGGTAACATACTTATTATGTTAGCCATCCTTTTGCTTTAATGTATAATTAACAATGATGAATAATAATTTCAGGATTGGACTGAAATGAACATTCGTAATGACGGAAGATTTTGACCGTGTCAATGTCATCGTTTTCTAAAGGTTGGAATAATTTATATTAAATTAAAGAATCAATTACTTAACCAGGTATTAAAGTTGATATTGTTAAATTCATTAGCATGAGCAGATGAGCTAATCAATGGAGTCAGATTCGGATTCCGAAGAAGACTATTTCACCCCTAAAGAAGTTCCAGCGAAGAAGAAAATGAACCCCCAATCATTACCTGTCCAACTCACGTGGAAGGGGGTGCAAATATACTTTCCCAGCGTTGTACTGACGAAGGATCTCAAAATCATTGCTGATGAAGCTCTCAAGAAACGAATTGCTAAAGAATCGTCTTCATCATCCTCTCGACCATCAAGTATCATCTCAACAGCCAGTGGAGATGATAAGCGTAAACCTCAGTCCACCAGCTCGTCCACCATTGGTTCAACCAAATCGTCGTCATCATCAAAATTTATGTGTGGAATATGTCGCAGCCCTTTTCGTTCAGAATACGCTTTAAATTGTCATGCGAATGCGCATTCAAATTCGGACGGTATTCAAAGAAAGTACGGACCATGCAAGTGTGGGGGTCGATTTACTAAGAAATCCCAATTCGTTCATCACACCAGGGTATGTTTCGTCGCTAAATCTGCTGCAAGTGCTGCGTCTCGAATGGAAGTTGATGACGTTGACGTTTCTCCAATTCGAGTAAAATTTGAAGCATCAGAACTACTTAATTCCTCATTTGAATTAGAGAACAGCACATTACCACCGATAGAACAGGAATCTGAGTCTGAGCAGGTCGACTACGTCGTGACCCCGACTGGGAGTGATATTCATCATGATAATAGCAACGCCGATGACTGGGAGGGTGACAACCAAATTCCTGTCGTCACATCTATCAGCTCAATTGCGTCTAATGCCATGAAATGTGAAAGATGCGGTAATCAGTTTACTCTTAACATCCAGTTCCAGCATCACAAGCTTCATTGTGCTAGAATGTGTCAAGGTAGTGCAACTAGAAGATTTGGATGCAAATATTGTCCCTGGAAATTTAATAGTTTAAACGCACGGAACAGACATCACAGGTCCCACGAAGGCGCAAGACCATACCAGTGCTCCACCTGCTTGGAACGCTTCATCCGAAAGGATTATATGATCCATCATCAGGCAACTTGTACAGTAAACGCACCCACGTTTCATACTTCTCTTGAATCAAATGATAATAATGTTATTAAACCTGAGAATTCATCAATTGAAAAGAAAACGGAAATAACTGAACAAGTCACTGCTTCGCCAGGACCCGAATTAGTCAGTCCTAGTTCTTCCGCATTTAATATAATCAAAAGTGGATTAGAACATCTTGATAACTCGTCTCCTTCTCCTGGTACTTTCTCTGGTGTGCGTTGTGAACAATGTTTGCGGACATTTTCCGCCATGCGATACCTCAAACAACATATATGTCGTCCTCATAAAAAATCCAAGAATGTTTCCAACAATAACGGTTCCAACAATACCAGATCTTTAATTCCTATGAACCTGATAATGAGCAGCATAAATGATATAGTTTGTCCCTTCTGTGGAGTAAAATTCACCAAGTCGTCCGGCCGCTCAAAACACATGCGAACCCAGCACAAGTGTGAAAAGTGTGGTCAAGACTTTCTGAATCCCTCGGATAAAATGATTCATTCCCAAACATGCCATGAAATTCCACCTCCACACGAGTCTGATCTATATGCGAAATACAAGTGCTTCATTTGTCACGAGACATTTTTCCCGACAGACTTAAGCCGCCATGTTCTCATCTGTCGAGGCGACGACGCTGATAAGGATGATGCTTCTACATCAAGTAATAATAATGAATCTTCAAACCGTCTTCAAATTTCCGACAAATTTAAATGTGATTTGTGTGGTGAAATGTTTTCCGATAACATGGACCTATCTCGTCATTGCCTAAATCAACATGTTTTGAGTCATTCCAAGCTGAAAAATCAACCACCAACCAAGCCAAACGAAACTTTGACGCCACCAACTGTATCTTCATCACTACCACCCGTGTTCAAATGCAAATTCCCAACCTGCTCGGTCGGAAATACCTTCAGAATGTTCAGCCACGAAGAGGACCTCTGGTTTCATGTGGATAAAAAGCATAAGAGTGTCGGAAATATTTGTTGTGGTCAATGTGGAGAAGCTTTTGAGACAGAAGAGTTAGTTGTGAATCATGAAGAAAGGTTTCACATCGCAGTGGGAGTGGCTGGAGCAGTTACTTCCTCCCCAAAGAAACGAAATAATCAAGACTTGGAAGATTCAAAAGAATCTGCACTTGCAATTTTGTCGCTGGATATTGCTCGTGTGCTTGATACCTCTGCTGATGGTTCAACACCTTGTGTAGGACCGTCACGGGGGATAGCGCAATCTGTTACAAAACCCATTCCGTCATCATCTGGACCTAAAACAAAAATTAAGAGTCGGATTCTTGTTCCTGTATCTATACCTCGCTTACACCTACCAGTCACTGTTAAAAAGGAAGTTGAAGCATATCAGAACTTAGACGAGGACAATTCTCACTTTGAAGAGGACACGATGCCAAACTACACCGACAACGAAATTCCAGAAGGTTTCCTGTCACATATGCTTGTTCCCGAAAAAGTAGGGAAGGAGACTTTGAACCCGTACGTTTTCATCAGTAGTGAATGCAGAGCACTGGCGGATTCAGCTCTAGAGAAAGCCATGCATGCAGAGAATTTAAATCTGCCTTCCGTGGGAGAAGAAACGGTGGCGTTTACGTGTCACGTTTGTAGCGCCGTCGGAGTGTCAAGAATATTCAGTACCCGTTCAAATTACAGGTTTAATATATTAACTTATTATCTGGTATGTGTACTTGACGTGTTTAAATCAACCTTTAATTTGTCTATGAAACAGAGTACATCTATACTATCATCGGAAAACCGGTAGAACCATACTCAAGACTCCGTCCTCAACAATTCCCGAAGCGGACGAATACTTTTGTAAAATCTGCAACAACAGAAAATTCACCACACGCTCAAATTACCTCGGACACTTGAAATATCACCAACAGTTAAAAAGACGGAAGGGTTTCGATGAGCCGATACCTGCCCTACGTCCCTCCGGCTTGGGACGTCCAGACATTCCCATCCAATTAGAATACACGTGCTCAGCTTGCGAACCCTCCAAGACTTTCAAGGAGCGCAAATCCTACATTATCCATCTTAATTATCACGAAAAAGTGAAAAGAGATCAGGAAAAGAAGATTAGACGAATCCAACTCATGCGGCCAGATATTCCTGTATCTACAACGGGAGAGTACTTCTGTAAGACTTGTGATGACAGGAAATTCACAAATAGAATCTCTTATATCGGTAACCCAACATTTCTTAATCCTTTCATTTGAATTTACCACATGTATGATTTTTCTTAGTGAGGCAAATACCTGACAACGAAAAAAATTTGCTAAGTATGCATTTACCCCACCCAAAAAAAGTGACATAAGTCGATTTCTCAGCCATTTCTCAACCGATTTTGATGAAATTTTGCACAGATCATTGTTAGGTAATTTAGAAAAGATGTGCTAGTCGACTTGGCGAATTTTTGATTTTTACCCAAGTTATGTGCCAAAATGTGCAAAAATTTTCCTCTGAAAACATATTTATTTTTATGACTCATAAGTGGTGTATCCCAGCATGCTCGCTTATTGAAAATATTTTAGTCAAAGTCATTCCGGACATTTTAAGCGCAAAATGACCTAAATCGGTTGAGAAATAAGGGCGTTATTCAAGTTTGAAAATCAAAAATTTAATAAAAATATTCAAGGTGCCGATAATAACGGCGGTTGTGCAGTAAAAATAATGTCTTTGACAACCAAATTACAAGTTTTAAATAAACAAGGCCCCAAAAAATGGGAAATCTTAGTGAGTCAGCACAATCACAGTTAATAAATAAAATTAGATTGAATAACTTTTGCATCACCGCTCTCGGGATAATTTTTACTGGGTCCACTGTAAATTTAGTTTTGCATACGCATGAACTCTTGCATTCATTAAATTAATTGAGATTACAAGATGACGTTTTTACTATTGAACGAGAAGTTGAATAAATTAATCGATATGAAATATAATTGTGAACTGCGAATTTTAAATTTAGAAAGATTTGAAAATCTACAATTTCGATATATAAATTTAGATATCCTATTAATTCCTATTCAGATGAAATCTCCAGACCCTTTGAGGGGGGGGGGCAATTATTCTAAATGATTAATTAATGCTTCCAGGAAAAATTATACCGAGAGCGGTGATGAAAAAATTATTCAATCTAATTTTATTTATTAACTGTGATTGCGCTGACTCACTAAGATTTCCCATTTTTTGGGGCCTTGTTCATAATAAAAAAATATACAATATATTTAATATATTTTCATTGCTTTTCAGGGCATGTTCAGTACCATGAGAAGCTGCTGCAACTTGAAGGAAAAGATCGACCCATAGCACTGGGTCCTATTTCCAAACCCAAAACATCCATGTTCAAGGACGTCCCATTTTCTGATGTCTACACTTGCGAAATTTGTGAAAATAGGGAATTTACTGAACGATCGGCTTGGATCAATCACCTGAAGTATCATCAGAAGATAAAAGCCGACGAAGGTCAGGATCGACCTATTGCTAGCACACCGATCGGAGCATCACGACATCTTCGCCGGCCCGATATTCCGATCTCCGATGTGTACACGTAAGTACTTGTATATATTCCAGTAAAACGAGAAGGAATTATATAATTGGTTTCCTTAATTTATCGCAGGTGTGAGAAATGCGAAGACAAGAGAACGTTCACCATCCGCCGTGACTACCTTTTTCACTTGAACGAACATAAACGCGTGCAACAGAAGTCATTAAAGTCTAATTGGAGGAGAAAACCTGGCCCGAACTCTGGATGGGTAGCAGCCATCCCATTCTTGGACGAATACAAGTGTGAAACCTGTCCGAACCATGTTTTCGCGAACCGAGGCGCCTACGTCGGGCACATCCAGTATCATAGGATTCTGGAGAAACGAGGCCTCAACCGGGTCATCCTTACAAAGGAAGAATGGATCAAAAGGAAGAATTCCCATACGCAATTAATTCCCGATGGACAGGAGAAGTACGAGTGCGAAATATGTTCCGACGGGAGGTTATTTGCCAGCAAATCGTCCTACATTTCGCACTTGATGTACCACGAGAAACTGAAACGAATGGGAATTAACCGCCCTCTAAAGAAAAAGTGGGAAAAATCGACAGACAACACTATTCCAGAAAGTGATTCGTACACTTGCACAATTTGCGAAAATCGTACCTTCGCCAACCGCTTCCTCTACAGTGCACACCTTGCCTATCACAAAAAGATTCGGCTGCAAGAAGGCAAAGACCGTTCCATCCGAACCGATTGGAGAGAATGGCGGAAACGAAACAGTGCATCAAACCAAATCCCAGATGCGTTAACGTACACCTGTGACATTTGCAACGATGGGAGAGAGTTCACTATCAAGGCTAGTTACATGATGCACATGACTTATCACAAGAAACGGGCAGACCAAGGTTTAACGGGTCCACTGCGCAAGAGAGGAGCATATTTGAGACCCGACGTGCCAATCTTGGACATATACACGTGCAATCGATGCGACACTCCAAGAACTTTCGAGGACCGGAAAGCATTTGTTAATCACGACAACTATCACAATATCAAGGAGAAGAAGCCGAAGAAGATCCCCCGGAAACGAGGAAGAAGATCAACTTCTTTTGAGCTTATTCCATTCCAGTCGGTGTACATATGCAAGCAGTGCATTCATTTAAACAAGACTTTTACAGATCGAAAGAAATATATTTTGCATTTGAATTACCACAAGAAACAAAATTTTACAGCTCAATCTGAAGATAACACGAGAAATTACTCTTGGTCATCTTCTACTCTTCAAAGTATGAACTATCATGATTCTCACGTCTCTGATTTTATGACACAGCAGACTAGTAGCAGGGAAATGTTACTCCTAAGTGGTGGGAATGTAGTGGGAAAAACAGAAAATTCTTCTGAATTGGATCTAGAAGACAAATTTTGCTGCACTCGATGTGGATCGGACACCGTATTTACCAGTAGAGAACGTTACGAAGAGCACATGAAGGAGCACAGGGCGATGAAAAATAAGAATTTTCAGTGCTCAATTTGCGAGAAAGCATTTTCTAACATCTGGAACTTGAAATCTCACGCAAAGACGCACACTGGAGAGAAGAATTTCGTTTGTGGTGATTGTGGGATGAGATTCGTTGAAAATTTCCAGTTGCAAAGGCATCAGGCCAATGATTGCAGGAAAGTGCCATGCAAGTACACTTGTGAGTCCCAGAAGATTATTTAAAGTTACACAATCAATTTCAAATAATTGTCCATTCATTTATATATTTAAAAAAAACATTTTCTAGGTCATTGTGGTGACAAATTTCACTCTGTGGACGGATTGGAAGAGCACGTCAAGAAGGACCACACAGAAACCAAAGTTAGCAAGATATTCCGCTGCTACGTCTGCAACGACCAGTTTCTCCAAGCATTTGAGCTGGATCAGCATGTGAGAGAAAACCACCCCGTGGACTATGCAGAATTTATGCAACACAAGTTAGAAAAGCAACAGCAGCGAACAGAGGCGGCTGGTAGTAGTCAAAATCCAGATGAGGACTACGAAGATTTTGAACCACTTTATCCCGAAGTTCTAATGGCGTGTGAGGAAGGTGATGAGGAGCTAAGTACATGCACTGTTGGGGGAACAATAGTTTTTGACAAGAAGGAAGGTGAAGAAGACGGACAATGTATTAGTGCAGCAGCAGCAGGTGCAACTACAGCAGTTGATGAAAACGAAAATGCAAATGAGGCAGCACAAGAGGATGAAGCTAGAACTATAGGAGGAGCAGGATGGAATTTTATTCCAGGACTGACTGGAGAAATTGGAGATAACGATGATGACAGTGAGTCAAGTTACAGTGAAGAAGAGTTCACACCAGAGTCTTTTGAACCTGAAGATGTCGAAGTTCCTGAAGGAACATTGGGCAATCCGAATCCTAATAATAATGTCATTCCTATCGACTCGTCAAGCTTTCCTCATCTCACCGTAAGCACTGGATGTCCACCAGCTCCAAAAACCAGAAGGCGACGTCAATCAGTGGATGAGGACTGGACACCGTCGGGAGAATCAGTCCAAGACCATGATGACGACAACAACAAGAGGCGGAAAAGGTCATACGCAGGTGATGGACAATTCCGTTGTGGCTACTGCACCAAGACTTCACATAGAATTGCCTATATTAAAACACACTCCGCCATCCACGTTGGCCTGCCGTTCAAATACATTGATTTGACGGGACAATCTCCTCAACCTTCAAAGTCAAAAATAGTTCACACTCCTAATTATGCATCCACTAGTGTGGTCGCGCCACAACCATCAGCTCAAACTGTTCGACCGCTGCAATACGTGCGTCCTCAGCAAATTGCACCGGCACCTGGTCAACCAATGGTTGCTACAGTTTCTCCTCTTAGCGTTACAATGCTCGTCGGGAGAAAGTCTTCTGCTGACGATGGAGATGGCACCCGGCAAAAAGCAGCCCCACATTGTAGCTGTATTTTTGAAGATACGGCTCTTGGTTACCACAAGCGTTGTACGGGAGAGACATGTGAGTATAGATACAAGGATTGCAAATACATGTATTTTGATGATTCTCCATAATTAATTAATTAATGTATTGATTGCAGGCAAATGTTACACCAAGTACAAGGGCTGTTCTGATCAGTGCGATTGTAAAAGATCTTGTGGAAATCCGTATTTTCGTATGAAGGCTCCCGTCCCACCCAGCGCCTTACCATGCTCAGCGGCTCTTGCCACTCTCGCTGGGTCACCACAAGTCCAAGCGCCAGTAAATGTCTACTCCGCAAGCACGGTGCTGGATGTTGTGAATTCCACCATTGAGAAAGCATTTCATCAGCCAACTAATTTTACTCAGTCACTAAATACTGTTCCGTCAACTTCAACTCTACTATTTGGTGATCAACCGCATAATAATAGCGAACAACAAATCCGGACATTAGGAAACGTTACGGGTTACGCAAATCCACCTGCTGCTTCCTCCTCCACGGAGACCATAACTCTCAACAGTGCACCGATTGAGGGACAGAACAATTTTTCAATTTTGGCTCAATCACTCACACCAAACGTACTAGTGAACCCAGTCATGGCAAATGTCCAGCCTATTCAAAATGCAACGCTAGGAGGAAGTCGTATCATCAGGATTTCATCATTAGCCCCTTTTACCTCAGCACAATTAATATCATCCCTTACAAGAGCCAACCCAACATATTCGACATCTTCTAACACGTTTAGAGTTCAAGTCCCCACAAATGGAAATAATTCTCCCATTTACAGGATTGAAAATCAGACTAATAACGTCACACAACCACAATACCTTTTAGCCACACCTATACCCACAGCCTCAGCAGCAGAATCTCAAGCATCTCCTTCACCTCAAAATAATGTTCCAGCTAACAATTCCATGATTTATCGATGTTTCTGCCACCAGGACTTTACCACGTTGACCTCCTTCCTCATCCATCAATGGAATCACAACGAAGAGAAGCTATTTTTGTGCCCAATATGTAAACGGCAATTTTCTTCGGTCAACTTCCTCATCCTTCATGCCAAGAAACACGTCGAGGTGGAGAATATTCAAATGGTCCCGTGTCCCGCATGTGACCGGCTGTTGGCATCGAATCAGGCGGAATTAGACCAACACTTCAAGTCTTGCCATGCCGCCCTAATTTGTGACGTTTGTCAAAAATACTGTGCTACACTTGGCCAACTAACTTCACATCGCCTTAGCCATGGGGTCTGTTCCATCTGCGGATTAACTTTTTTCAACCAGACAGCGATGAGGAACCATTTGGCGAGAGATCATCCAAATGTGAATCCCACCAGGATTCGAATTGACCCCTTACCGTCTTCTGCAACGGCTTCTACTTCTTCGCATTCTAGCAAACTGACAACGGCATCGATATCCACTGGGATTTCTGGTTCTAATGAACCGGAAGTAGTGACTTTAATTGATTTGGACGATGATGATGTGACAGAAATAACTGAAATAAGTCGTCCCCCATCTCCAGAAATGCCCATCATCGTCTCTGTAGCTGCGAATTATCATGAGAACGAGAAATTCCCATGAAAAAAAGACTTGCATATTTCCTATTAGAAAATATTTTTTTTACAAATGATGAATAATTTTGCGGCGTCAATATTAATAGACACGACTGATTTCAAGTACATGAGCACGAATATCTTACGAGTATACGTAGCAGCAGCGTATTAAATATTATTATTATATATTTACCTTTACAATATGTTATAAATAATACTATTATACATTATTATATGTATTATTTCAATTATTATATGGTTCTAATTTTTTACGTTAATTAGCACATTAAGTATCTACTATTTCTTTAGTTGACATCGTAAATTGACTATTAAATATTTACAACTTGTATTAAAATGTCATCATTATTGCTTAAATAAAAGTAAAGCGTTGAGCACTTTGAATCGAAATTGGCTACACTTTGTTACATTACATGGTCACATTCATTCAATGGATTGCTGTAATAATTGGAAATACGTAACTGATGCATTACTTAAATTTGTTGCAAAAAAAATCGTTGTCAGTTGTGATCATTTTGCATGTTTTTTTAATGCATAAGGTGAAAACTGGAGTAAGCTGATCGTCTCGATTTACACATTGCTCATGTCTGACGCCGGCACGGGAATATAATAAACAACACGAGTTTCATTCGGGTGAGAAAAAATATTACATAGGTATTTAAAATTTCATTTGCGTTTTCCATTTAAAAAATCTTGCTTCATTAGTTAATTTATTACTAAAATCAATTTTCGTAATGATTGTGTCTAATTTTCAGGTGAATCCCTGCGGAATCCAGAGTATACAGGTACGAGGTACGATATTTTAAAAAATGACTGAAATTCTGTCACTGCATGGTTCAGATAGCTGGCTTATCGTTGTCTGTGCTAAATGTATGCATTCATTTAGCTTAAAAAATTACTTCGTTTTTTAATTGTAGGATAAAATGGAAATCAATATAACCAGCGCAATAGAAGACCTACGCGTCCCCTCGACCCATTTTAACTACCAAAATGGTAGAAATATAGATGACGACATTAGTTGTCCCCCAGCAAAGAAAGTGCCCCCATTTCTATCGGACTGGACGCACTATTCCACTCTTATCTCATGGATCGCTCTTGAACTAAAAACCCTCTGTCCCGAAGTGGACGAAGATGTCACTCCACCAAAAACAACGTCACCCGATGACCTTACCTCCTTCAAAATGGAGTTAAGCTCCCTTCTCAAAGAACTAGGATTTCCATACGTTTCCCTCCTTGAACCCCAACTTCCAGCCAGATTTGAATCTGCTCATGATCGCCAAATACTCCTCAACTTTCTCCTTTCCGAACTTCAAGCGGCCAGGATGATCCATGTACAAAAGGGAAAATCTGGCGGAGGTGGAGACATGCACGTCTCCCTCGATGAATCTCCGACAGCCAAAATATTGAAGGAAATGATGATCGAGCTAGATCTGGGGAAACCTCCCGCAGGATCTACCCCAGGTTTGATATGGACCGGAATTCTACAAAAGGTCAAGGCCCGTAATCCTACCCTAGAGCCGCTCTTTACTGGGGCGCTCAGTGATACGCAGTGGGTCAACTTGGACAATTATTTTAAAGAGTTAAAGTCTGATTATGGCATGAGGAGAGAGATGTTGCTGAAACGGCTGGACGTAACAGTGCAGTCCTTCCACTGGTCTGACAGGCTCAAAGGGGACAAGGAAGAAAAATTAAATGCCGAGTTTAGAAAGTTAAGACCAAAAATGAAGGAAAATCCGGCCGTAGAGCTGAGTCATGTTCTGGCAGCGAGGATTGATTTACCAGTAGTGGAGAAAACGTCGTCGTCATCGGTCAGAAAGAACACAAGATCTGCAGTGAATAGCGTTGTCATCGGAAAGGTGCCAGATCGTGGGGGACGACCCGATGAGGTGGAGCCACCTCCACCAGAAATGCCGAGTTGGCAGCAGAGACAAGGTGGGGCTTGTAATACTTATTGGAATATTATTGCAATGAGGCGTATAATTTATGTATTATTTATTATTGAATTTTTAGGAGCACCTGCAGCTTCCTCAGGATGGACTCAAAATCCAAACCAAGGAGGTGGTGGTGGCCGAGGGGGAGCTAGGGGTGGTGGTGGTGGTAATCGTGGAGGAGGTGGACGTGTACAAGGTGGTTGGGCACCTCGAGGAGGTGGGCAGGGTCAACAGTACCAACATGGTGATAATTATCAATCTCAACAGCAACAACAACAGTTTCATCAAGGAGGAGGTGGATATAACCAAGGGGGAGGAGGTGGGTATAGCCAAGGGGGTGGAGGTGGATATAATAAAGGTGGAGGAGGTTATTATCAACACGACAATAGGGATAATTACGATCAACAAAGGGGAGATAATTACCAAGATCAAGGTTTTGGCCATCGAGGAGGGCGAGGAGGATATCAAGATAATCGTGGTGGGCGGGGAGGTAGGGGGAGAGATAACCGAAGATATTAAATATAAAGTCACTCACTCGGTATAATGATTTAACCAAATAAGCATTTACTACCTCGTCTTATTTTCTTACATAACTATTTTGTCAAGAATCTCCATGTTTAAACAATTATGCAGCGTCGTATGAAAACCAGTGAACTCTAATATTATAAATTGGTGTTAGTAATTAATATTTAATCAAGCTCACAAATTCATTAAGTTATTTATAACACGTTGTTGTCTGAATTGGTACGTATATTTTTTAATAATTACTAAAAACAATAAAGAAAGCTAATAAAGTGATAGAAAATTATTGATTATTTCGAGTTGCGTGTCCCCATTCAGTAGTAGTTGGCAAGCATCCTAGCAATTTTGGCACGATTCGCTCCCGTGTAATAGGCGGAGGGGTCGACTATTCGTAATCGTAATAATTAGTTCTAGGTCAAGTCTCATCATTCATAATTTGTATTTGTGACGTTATCAAATACCTGATGGTCGTTGTGGATAACTGTCATATTCTCCTCTTTGTTGCGACGCTATGTAAGCGTTCGTATTAAAGTAATTCTGCGGAATGGCCACGCATGCCACCACCATCACGGTGACAAGGACAAGTAGAAAAATACTCTGAAAATTGCACAACGACAAATATTTTAAAATTTAATGTTCAATCTGTTTGCACTTTATAGTACTCGTCTTTTTCCAAAGCGTTCCAGTTTTTACCGTTTTCAAGGTGAACATATTGAGACCACAGACAACTACCTGCACAGAACAACTTTTTAGTGGTAGCAACCTTGTACTCGGACAATAGTTTTCATAGACAGACTGACCACTCTTCTCCGATCCGTTCGAGGTGTAAAATCAGAATGAGATAATTCTCCAGAACATTTTGATCAAACCCGACCACCAGAAATCCTCGGCCAAGTCAAGGGTAGTCAGTTAGTTAGTTAGCTAAATACGTATACCTGCGTAACAACAAAACCAAATGCCATCATGGCCAGCGAATTATTATCATGGATTAAAATCAAGCCTGCCTGCAACGACATTCTTCTTCCAGGCAATGCAGAAGTAGCGTCTGATATCCACAACATGGCACATTCATTCACAGCATTTTTTAAAGGAAGATGCTCCAACCACCACATTATTTGTGGTTACCTAGAAGTTAAATAAGTAAGTAGGTAAGTTTTATTTATCACATGCATGCAGTTCAGGTGGTAATTGTAAAAGCACACGACAGACAATGCCTCGAATGTGTGACAGGTTGGGCATAAATAATACGATAATTATAGCCCATCATCAACTAACTATAACTAACTGAAATGTTATTACGATATGTTGATGATGTTCAGTGTCAATGTCAACAACGCGAACGCTTCATGGGGCAGTGTAGTGGTAAGGCTGCTACTGCATTAATTGTCCACCCAACAATATCGTAGTCATACTAAATGTAAATAATTATGAATTTTCATAAATCTCAAAATTCTAGAGGGGTTGCATTGCATCATATTGCTCATTTTACTTGCAGCAATTCTGATATAATCCATATAGCTGCGTCGTAATGAAAGTTTGGAGAAGTAATAAAATAGCAGGAGCAGCATTATTATTAGGATGCTGAGGTGTGGTAAAGCCAGTTTTGGGCGACCTTGTCTTCGGTGATTCTTCCATTTCTTACAATAAAGGATGATTCTGACCATGTCCTCCACGAAGGAAAAAGGAGGAGACAAAAGTTCTGAATCTCTTCCCACAATAGTTGTAATATGGAGAACCAATTGTAGTAATAACAAACAACGAGCTGTATAGTAATAATATAAGCTGAATAATAAGGAAAGAAGAAATGGTGTGAAACATAAAATTAATATGTACGCAAATACCGTTTTATGATCCATCATCACAACCACGAAGTACATTTAAGTATTACCCGAAAGATTTATGGGTTCGCAAGTATCAAATTATTTGCATAAATTACCTCACATCGTAAACAATTTTGACTTTTCATGTCCATTTCCTCTTTGTTAGAAGCCTGCTAACGGGAATTTACTAGAAATTTTATCAAACATTTAAATGCACTTTTACAATTTCTTGAAAATTTAGTACATCCTGTTTTGCAGTTTAATACAATTGTGCATTTTTCATATTTGTTTTTTGCAACTAATATGCATTCTTATTTTGTAAAGAACAGTGTCGATATGAACATACACATATATTATGTCAATCTTCAATGTTAATCGGCAAATCGTGATGGGTTGTCTTGCGACAATTTTAGTAGACTTAACGTCTCAGGGTGTGTGAGAATAAAAAGGCAATACAGTAACGTTTAAGTTGCCCATTGTTTACTTGATTTTTTTTAACTTTAGTTTCCGCAGTCTATGTATCGTATGTACATAATTGCGACCTTATTATAGAACTTTTTGAAGGAAATGTGTGAGACTCAACAATTAAACCTTAACCCTGTGATTACTATGATTAGGATCAGTCGAGACATGCGCTTGCCGACGACATGTAGAAAGGCCAAGTTTAATTTACAAATGTGCTGGACATCATGTTTTATAAAGCTCTGTAAAGCTCATAACTCCACATTGATTTCTTAAGATAATGAATTTAAGCATTATTCATTATGTAAACAGAATACGCCAATCGGCGTTATAATCGCGCATCAAAATATATTATCGGACTTTCACCGATCACGAAACTAGTCAAATTGAGAAAGCAAATAATCATTACAAGTTTATATCGATCCACAAGCTAAATACTGACAAATCATTTCAATCTTGTTCTTACATTCTTAGATGAAAGTTGAAGGATTTCTTGCCTCAAAATTAAGCACATAAATCGGTTATTATTCCCAATGTATTATTAATTACGTGCTCGAAATGGGACGCAGATCGTAAAACTAATTTGTCTCTGTACTCACAATGGCACTGTTGATAAAAGAATGATGACTACAAAATATTGTTATTGCTGATTATTCAATTCTATATACAATGACCTCGTTAATACACATTTGCTCCGTCTCGTGCTATCCGATTGCTTGCAAAAAGCTGTCGTCACCAAAAACAAATCTCCAATTTCACATGTGTGTATGCCTATTTTTTGCGATAAGCTGACTTTGCAATCATTACAATATCTAGAATAGCTGGATATGTAATTCATCTTTAAAGAAAAAATATAAGCCTTGACTGAAGAAGACGCTTGTGCAAAATAGAAATCCAGGCTCAACTATGGCAAATTTCTAGGCTCGAGCTATCCCCGGGTCCATATTAAAATATGTACATTGTGTTTGTCATTGATTAAGAAGAAATGCAGAATTTCTTTCATCACAATCGTCATCATTCATCATGGGTAAAGAGAAGAAGTTGCGTAAGTAAACGGGGGTGAACTCCAAATCGCATGAATAACATGCTGTTTTTTTGTTGCTTCTGTACTTTTACTTTTACTTTACTCCTCGGAATATGGGTGGCATCGTGGCATTACGAGATATTATTGGGGTCGATAAAGAAGAATTGCTCGGAGGAGGATGAATGGACCACAGCCGGAATGGAACCGAGTTGTTTTGTTGCATAATGTGTTGGGTCCGTCGTTTCAATAGGATATGTTGATAGATAATGTTGGAATAAGTAGGACCACCATTGTCTACGGGACAACACGTCATCTTCGTGCAATGTGATCATCACCATCTAAAAAAAACACCTGCAGAACTATTTATTATGCGGACAGAGTACATATAAACTTTGAGTTTTTGTCATATTCGTCATGTAATCTTGGGATATTCAGCAATGGTTTTTTCATTATTGCACTAAATGAAATAGTTGAGTACGCAACTGGGGACGACGAATTTCTATTCATGAATACATAAATGTGTAATGTTAGACTACGATATGAGTCATGAAGATTCATGAAGAAATTTTGGAAAAAAGTGGCAGAATCGTACAAGTTGTGATTCACAACTTGTGAATGTAAATATGTGTTATTATTAGTACATAATAACCTACAAATCTGTGTTTATTACATAACTTGCTACATAAAACAAACACGATATGATACATTTTACTAAAAAAAATCTAAAACATACGTTGCGTTTTACATAATTTTAATATTTAACGTTGTAAAGACTGCTTGCTATCTGAGGACAATGCACCTTTATTTATTTATGTATTTATTTCCGATTGTAAAAATCCAATCTGACTCTGGCAATGACTTTGGCGACTGGGTTTAACGTAGGTGGTTAGTGAATTTAATGTGACGCATTTAATGTTTGATAATACTGAATAATTTGAACGATAAGATAAATAAATCCGTGGTCATATATACGTTAACGTTGCGCTACAATGTATTTACGTGCTAATAGAAGATTGCACAGGCATAATTCATAAAATACACATCTTTCTTTCATCCGTACCACGGCAGATTAGATTATGAATTTGGATACACCCAACAACGCAACTCGAAACCAATTTCAAGTCGATCATCAAATTCCATGAAGAATATATATCTAAAAGTATGCAGACGACTCACTAACCGCAATAGGGACAAATATTATGCGAATAATGATGTTATACATAAAACCTCATCTCCAATTCCGTTCCCATCTCAAACTACAAACTACTTTAAATTCAGTTAGTCCTAACTCGGATTTAATGTAGAGCAACAAAACGAGTAGGTATTTGTGTATAAATCTACATAAATATACAGCACGGACAAAAATATTCATCCCCTGGTATCAATAAGGTCGCCCCATTATTAATTATTATGCTACCTCTGCTACTCGCAAAAATTAATTTAGTCCAAGTTAAATAACTTTGTATCATTGAAATGCGCACGTCTAAATCGATTCTGGACATTCCAAAGAACACCATAATTCATAATTTATGTCATAAAATACTCTGTAATAAGTAATGGAATAAATAGGACGCTTGGAGTCATCTGGCGACGACGACAACGACGACGATCATCGTAAACCACGCTCAGACCCAGTGTTAACCATTCCGTGTACATAATATGTACAGCTTAATAAATAAAGGCATCCAATCCAACGCACGCAAATGCAAACCACTGGAAATATCACCACAGCTTTTAGACTTCGATAAAAGCTGTAGGATAGCTAAACCGTAAGCTAAACCTATGATCACTCGATATACCATCAATGTTGAAAATAAAGGAGTTTACATATACGCGTAGCCCCATGCTCAAAAAAGCTGGATGGAGGGGCTTGCTTTTCCTGCTTGCCACAGGAGACCGCAGTCCATAGTCTGACTCAGAAACGACTCGGCGGAAGATATTGGACAAGCAAAATAATTATTGCCACTGTCGCTCGAAAGCTATTTCACAATTTTGACACCAACAGAAATTATAAGCGGCAGGAATTTGTAAAGTGAAAGTTCCTGCATTAAAGTGATCATCACATTCACATCACAAATCGAGCAGTAATGAAGTAACAGAGAGTGTTGGTTTGGTATTTGTTACGGGAGAACAAAAGTCGTTGTTTGTTTGGCTCTACGTAGTCATCGGCTTTGTGTAACTATTACAATTGAGCTTTTCGTAGTGGGTGTGCCCATGGGCATGGAGTGAAAACATCCTTCCGAAGGGGAACATAATTCCAGTGGAGAAAGTAAGGTGAAAGTTTTATTTCATTTGGTTACGTATATTCCAGCTGGGCTTTCTCTTCTCAAGATCTGGGAGAGATCAGGAGATTCGAGATCCGAGTATAGGCGTGTGTCGCTTGGTGTGGGGTAGAGCATTGATTTTGTATGATGAGGCAACTCCTCTTTCCGGTGTGCAATGCAGTAATAAGATTGCCAAAAATTTGCCGCATGGCTAAATACGTTGCATATTTAAGGGCACATGTTTAATTTAGCTGTGCCATTCGGGATATGTACTTATTTAGAAGGGCAATGATCAACGATATATAACGAGAGTCGGGACCAGATGATGATAAAGGTTGCATTCAACAGCAAGGGATAGTATTTATCTCTGGTATCGAGGGGTTTCTACATGCATTACTTATTAAATAGGGACATCCGCAAGAAAAGCTTGAGGGTGCACTGTGGTAATAACGGTGGCATCATTTGAGACGTGAAAGGGCTCTCTCCCTTAGTTTGACTGGTTAGCCTGTCTGCAGCAGCAGCGTGGGTTGGATTTGGATATATAACCCTGGTCTCAATTCGAAAAGTGGATGATAGGGGGACTTTGCACGTTATATATAAATGTGATGTGCAAGTAGTTATGCTGCTGCAGAATGAGGAACAAATATATTTATCTATAACACCGGCTTGTGTGCTATTGTAATAGCGGCTTTCACCGAAATGCACCCAAGAAATGCAAGCAATAATTTTGGAATGCATTTATTTTCTAATAACATGCGGTTTCAATTTTGCACAATATTCAAAATGAAGACAAGTAGTTTAGCTATAACTAGTCCATCACAGGTTTAGTTATATTTTTTTATTATAATATGGACGTGGAAAATATGGATGCAGAAAACTTTCAAAACTTCTATTATCTAACAAGGGAATCTTGTATGTTGTACTGTCACATCTCGATTTCATGTCGGATGGTCTTAATTGATAGATAATTGAGTGTAACCAAAACTTTGTCATAGAACAAAACGGTGCTAAATCACGTTTTTGCAAAATATCTGGTGAAAGTTGCACCAAAACTTGCAATTTTTCCAATGCTTTTAACATATTCAACAACCTTCGGAATAATGACAAGAAGTTTATAAATTATAAACCTGTCCGTAATTTCATACTGATCACCAATATGCAAACAAAACATGCAAACATTGACCTTTTTTTTAAATTACGAAAATCTGCAAAATTTTCTAAATTTGAATTTCGTCGATTTTTGAAATTTTAAAGAAATTTAAATCTTAATCTTCTTTCATTTAAGCGTTGCAAAAAAGTTTTCAAAAAAGATTTTTTTTCTTGTTGCAACTAAATTGGAGGAAATTTCCAAAAATTGAAACTCACACTTTTTCATGAAAAAAGATGTAATGACCAATGCTAGTTTATTTTAAAAGTTGGAATAAATTCTGGAAATTTATATCGTCAGCTTTTAACATATTCAACAACATAACTCTTCTACACCTCCTTCGAGATTTTAAGCTTTTTTGAAAACTGAAAAAAATTCATCTTGGAGGGACCCTATGGGGTCCCTCCACTATGGAATATATAGGACGTCCTATATATAAGCTGACGATATAAATTTCCAGAATTTATTCCAACTTTTAAAATAAACTAGCATTGGTCATTACATCTTTTTTCATGAAAAAGTGTGAGTTTCAATTTTTGGAAATTTCCTCCAATTTAGTTGCAACAAGAAAAAAAATCTTTTTTGAAAACTTTTTTGCAACTCTTAAATTAAAGAAGATTAAGATTTAAATTTCTTTAAAATTTCAAAAATCGACGAAATTCAAATTTAGAAAATTTTGCAGATTTTCGTAATTTAAAAAAAAGGTCAATGTTTGCATGTTTTGTTTGCATATTGGTGATCAGTATGAAATTACGGACAGGTTTATAATTTATAAACTTCTTGTCATTATTCCGAAGGTTGTTGAATATGTTAAAAGCATTGGAAAAATTGCAAGTTTTGGTGCAACTTTCACCAGATATTTTGCAAAAACGTGATTTAGCACCGTTTTGTTCTATGACAAAGTTTTGGTTACACTCAATTATCTATCAATTAAGACCATCCGACATGAAATCGAGATGTGACAGTACAACATACAAGATTCCCTTGTTAGATAATAGAAGTTTTGAAAGTTTTCTGCATCCATATTTTCCACGTCCATATTATAATAAAAAAATATAACTAAACCTGTGATGGACTAGTTATAGCTAAACTACTTGTCTTCATTGTGAATATTTATATACATCAAGTTATAAAATATCATATACATATACACAAATTAATTAATTTGCAATGAGAGACGAGTCAACGGTGATATTATCATTCATAAGTGACCAAGTCTATCAACAAATTGTGCAAAATTGAAACCGCATGTTATTAGAAAATAAATGCATGCCAAAATTACTTTTTGAGTGCATTTCGGTGAAAGCCGTTACGACATTAAATAATTGAAGTCAGTCGCGGAGGTGCCGAATTGAAGTTAAATAATGAAAATACTTACTGTTTCCAATAACCGGATAAAAATGTGCTGGGTGGCGTGAGGACAATATAAGTCGTAGTGGGTGGGACGCACGCTTTCTAAAAAATTATTTGGGGGTCGTTTGAACTTATTTTCGACGAGACCTTTATCCGGCGGGAGGAGATACAGATGGTGGAAATACCGGCCATTATTTTACCAGCACCCGTTTCATATTTCATTCAGCACCACTTCACTTTAGTTAGTCTGAAAAAGAAATCAGGATTTGACAAGACTTCGTACTGCCGGTAAATATACTTGTTGGTGGTGAGGTGACGCGTGAGGCCGTTCGTGTCCACCACCATTAGATTCCTAAAAAATTGCAAACCATTCTCAATCAATCATCAATTATTTTTTAAATCATATTAATTAATTAGCTAGGTCACAATTTCCACTCCAAAAGCGCCCCTTATTATCTCTCAATCACCCACCTTGACACACCTATTTATCCGCTAGATAAATATTGTACATATATTTCAATTTAAATATCCTCAAAATGACCGACTGGAATCCGTCCTTATTGACTTTCAGATTTCTTCAGCCAGAATTTATCCGTAGTTATCGCAGTCAAAAGTACGGCAAGATGCGAACTCTCCGGAGTGGAAAGCCACTTCCCGACCCTCCACCGGTTATGAGGGGCAGCCGAGGTGAGGTCACTCCCTCCGCCGCGAAGGCGTCGTCGGTTGCCAAAGCGCCAGCAGTAGTAGCAGCTGCAGTAGAGGAAGAAAAAGTCGCCATTCCCACAACAGCTTCTCCACCTGTCGTTGAAGATTCTACCACGGAAGAAGAAAGTCCAGGTAGTTTTGATAACCTCTTCATTGAAAAGGTACCTCAACCTGAAACGCCAACAACAACACTTAATAGTGAGGTCAGTACATCAGATATTAAAGACGCTCCAGTTACTGAAGCTGTGGTTATGTCCGAACCACCTCCAGTCATTGTAAAACGAGGTCGTGGAAGACCTCCAAAATACCCAAAAGTTTCGACGACCCCATCCTCATCTTCTACACCCCTAATCCCAGCAAAAGCAAAAGTTGGCCCGACTAGAAAATCCGAACCTGCTAGTTTAACACTGGCCAGAAAACGACTGCAGCTGGAGAAAGAAGAGCTTAAAGCAGTCAAGACAAGTGATAATAAAGAACAAGGAGATCTCCCAAAAAGTGAAAATGACCCTGCTGTTGCCACCCCTCCTTTAAAATCAGATGATGAAAGTCATCCTTCAAAAAAGATCAAGATTGACGATGAGATCGCCGGCCCTTCAGGCACTGCCACCACGCTTCAAGAAAAAGAAATCGCCGCAACACCAAAGGTTCCTTCCATCACAATTACGACTGCTACTCCTACCCCAGAGCTTCGTCGATCCCTTCGATGTCCCAAAAAGAAGCCGGCCGTGATCGTTCAAGCTACTATGGCAGTGGAACGAGATGCTCAACCTTTCCTCGAAGCCTGTACGATTTGTGGGGAAGAATTTAACAAGAAGATGTTACTTCAGCGACACATGAAAACCCACAAGGCTCCTGACCCGCCAAAGAAAATTGCAGCGGCGACAACTCCTAAAGTTGCACCCCGACCCAAGCAACCTGAAGTCATTGATAATCTTGACCATGTCAACTATGAAAATGACGATGATGACGATGAAGAAGAGGGGTTCGAGGACTATGAAGAAGGCGAGCGCAGTTTTGACATGAAACCTCCCATCATTGACTTTACGAGGAAGCGCCCCTCCCAGTCGTCAATTTTGATGAAGGATCCCGTCACTTGTAACGTGTGCGGAATGACCTTCACTCGCAGGGCGCATCTCAATCGACATATGTTGTTGCATACTGGGGTGAGCTTCACAATTCTCTTGTTTTGTCATTTTATTTTATCGTACTTTTAATTCATGTAAATTTTACTAAATGTTTGTTGATTTTATTTATATTTTACTTTGATATTATATAGATCAAGCCCTTCACTTGCGACATATGTAACCTCAAGTTCACACGGAAAGACCACATGTTTGCTCATAAAGTGAAGCACGAGAAAGAACACAAGATACAATGTGCCCAGTGTGGGGGAGGATTCGCGACTTGGCAAATTCTGCAGGATCACATCAAAAATGTTCATTCTTCATTCAAACCTGCAACCCCGGGTCGTCCCAAGACCGTTGTCCACAACACGAATCCAGATAATGCGTGTGATGTCTGTGGCAAGACATTTTTGCAGCGTCGCTACCTTAGAGGTTTGTGAATTAATAAAATAATTGTTGATTTATAAATAATAGTGACAAATTTTAGTTTGGATAATGCTGCAAAAAATATATAATGATAGGTTCTAATGTAAATTTTATTTTACAGCTCACCGGAAACTTCATATACGAAAGGAGGCCAGAATTTTGGCTCAATTGAGAATGGTGGAGCAGCAGCATTTCAACGACGACGAGGATTCTAATCAAGACATGGACAACGACGACGGCGAGTTTGACGACACTGGCGATATGGAGATAGATGAAAGCATTTTGAATCCAGAGGTTCAAATTGATGATAGATCATCCTCTCCAGCAAAAATCCAACCAGGAACCCACTCTCCTTCTTCCTTGGGTCGACAAGAACAAGACGGGTCTCCAGCATCAGCAGCATCCTCAAAACAATCAAGCACTGCAACAAGGAAATCTTTAAGCTCGATGAATCGTGTCATCCAGTTGGCCGAAGAAAGCAGTGGTGGTTCCGGATCTGAGGCTGGATCTCACGACTCATCCGTCGTATCTGTGGAGAATGCCAACTTGGACAAAGATGAGCTAGACGACTTTATCGATTACGACTACAAGGCCATGATGCAGCTCAAATCTGGCAATTTTGAAGACTTTGGAGATGATGATGATGAGGATGATGAAGACTTTCCAAACACGTCGATGGAGTGTTCCGTGTGTGGAACGACCTTTACAGAGAGGGCCGAACTCAGAAAGCATTACAGAATTCATAAAAAGAAGTTTATTTGCCGTTTCTGTGGACTTAAACTGGCCAGTGCAGGGTCACTGATGAGACACAATCTTATTCATACAGGGAAGAAAGAGTTCTCTTGCAAACTATGTTCTCGCCGTTTTAGCAGGAAGGACACTTTAATGGTAAGTAACAGTAGTTCTCATCAGAGAATGAAGCTTGGTCGGGCATTTCCCATCTCATTTTCTGAGGTTGCCAGCTAACTCCTCAGGTTTACAAATGAATGGATGGGGACGAACACAAAGGATATGAGTAATTTTAGTCTGAAATTGTTTAAGTTGTTTTGAGTTACTACGTGCACTATCGATAAGTAATTATCTCGCTAATTAATGTCGCTAAAAATTGTTTTTCGTTTTAAAAAGATTGACAACTTCAAAATAATTAAACCATTTCAATTTGGAACTGTACAACTTTTTTTGAGTGACTGTAATACCAGTACTACCTTTGACCAATTATCTCAGTAATTATTAAAAAAATACAACTACATTGCAGCTTTCGATAAAGCGTATTATAATTTTATTTTAAATAAAAATCATCGCGTCATGTGTGTTTGTCCCCTTCAGCTGCCACTGTGTAGTTGCCAATGCTGAAAAGTCTTACGGCAGCTTGGTCGGGCACAACATATCCCTGCCCGACCAAGCTTTATTCTCTGGTTCTCATTAGCTAAGTTAATTAAATTAGCTTTTAATAGTTTCTATCTTACATGGAATGACGGTGACAATAAAAATTGAATTATTTTGAATTCAGGTACACTTGCAAGCCCATGAAAAATCGTCAACCCGAATTAATATGCCGAAACCATACTTGTGTAAAGTATGTCACGCAGGATACACAATGGTTCGTCATAATCATATATAATTTATTAAAACGTGTTTGCTGTTGAACTTATCTACAAAATCTATTTGGGTTCATTACAGAAATACAACTTAATTCGCCACATAAAAATGTGTCACGGTAGCATGACGGCGACAAACAGGGCTGCAATTTTAAAACAGATTAAGCAAAAGTACAAAAACGGAATTCCTAGCAGCTCAAACAAGGTTGATCGCAATAGCTTTGAGGGATTGTCCGATGATGAGCGTCAGTTTTTTGAGAACGGCGACGTTAAGATTAAAAATGAACCTATGGATGGTGAAGAAGGTTACTTCGAGGAGGATCTAAATCCCTTCGATGAAGAAATAGAGCAAGATTTCCAGGAGGATGAAAGCCATTCTCAGAGACACGATGACAGTTCTAATCAACAAAATGGTGAAGCTGGTGGCGAGAACGGTGGGGGCAGAGGAGGTGGATTATGCAACCACTGCGGGAAAGTGTTTAAAAATGCGAAGTCTTTGAACACCCATAAATGGTACAGTTGTCAAATATTAATTAAGTAGTTTAAGTTATATGATAATGTGCATAAGATTCTATTATTGATTATTATTTTGTGCAGGTATCATTCCCGAGATAAACAGTTTATTTGTCATATTTGCAACCGGGGATTCAAGTATTCAACTGACCTGGTGAGTTTTTTTTGCGAATTTTTGTATTACGAAAGCTTTAGTTGAAAAGAGGAAAAGATTTGCTTTATTTTTCAATATTTCAAATGATATGTTGAATTAATTATCAAGACATTCATTGAAAAGACGAAAAATTAATTAATATATGTAATTACTACTCAGGGTCGTCACATTAACACACATGGGAATGATTCCGAGAAATGCAGTACTGCCCCTGCAGCTACTGCTGTCTCCAAGCCTATTCCAAATACGAATTCAGGACAAAGTTCGTCAACATCTTCTCAAATAAAAATTGTAACCAATACAGTCCCAGGCCCACGATTTATCCGTCACCAGTTAGGACGCCCAATCAATTCGATAGACACAAGACCGTTTGGTTGCAAGATATGTAAGTTTAAAGCACTATTATAATTCGCCACAATTTACGTTTCTCACGCAGCAGAAGCTTTAGAATGACTAATGGTTATATACAGGTCCACAACGTTTTAACCATCGTTCTAACTTGTCTCGACATGTTCGCCTCATTCACAAAGCAAACAATCCAAGGACACGAGGCCCCACAATTAATCTGCAAAATTATTTGCCAAAGGTTCAACCAATTAAGCTCTCCAATGGTCAGATTGTTCAAGTAAGAAAAGCGGAAACACATCCAGGTTCTATTCGGGGGCCTATGGCGCAGCCACAAGTACAAATGCAGCAAAAACAACCACCGCAATATACAAACATCGCCTCTGGTGGAGGTAGTAGTAGTAGTTACATGTCATCTTCATGGAATGGGAACGTTGGAATGCCGAAACAACTGGGTGGCAGTCCAGACAGTAGGAGAAGTTCAGCCGGATCCACAGTTCTCACACCAGATTCATTCACCTACGACCCCACTTCGGATCGGCCGTATATTTGCAATACGTGTGGGAAGAGTTTTGAGAGCAAGAACAATCTGGTAATTTATTTTAATGAATAATTTTACTAGTAATAAGTCTGCAGATTTCGTTTTAATGTGTTTTTTTTAAATAATTATTTTCTAGTGGACTCACTGCCGTATTCATAACAAAATTTTTGGATGCGAATTTTGCGGATTAAAAATGGCAACTCGAGGCGATTTAATTCTGCACTTGCGAACGCACACTGGGTATGTATCATCATCAGACAAATATATTACTGCAACAAGTTGCAAATCGTTCAAAACTAGTATTATTACTTGCCACAGTGAAAAACCGTTTGAATGCCATCTTTGTGACTGGAAATTTTCCAGAAAATCTGGACTCAATAAGCACATGGAGAAATATCACGGTCCTGAAGGGAAACAGTTACGAACCTACAAAATGGGTAAATAGTAAATATATTTACTTTATTAATTTCATGAGATATGATATGATTGAGAAATGGATACTAATTTGCAGACCAATCTCAAGGAAGTTCTATGGAAAACATGCAAATGAACAACTCTGGGATGGAAATATCCACCATCACTGCCATGGCACATCGTTCCATTCAATCAGGTGTTGGTATGCTGAAATCAGTAATGCACAAGAGTGGTACTGGACTCACAATAACGAAAATAGGAGGTGCCGACACCAACGTTGCTCACCGATACTCGTGCCGACTTTGTAATACCATCTTGATTGGAAAAGTGCAGTATATTCGTCACATGAACGCACATTCAAAAACTAAGGAAAATGCAGACAAGTTGCTGGAGAGTCGAGTTGAGGTGTCGACAGAAAATCCATCATCATTCACTTGCAAGGAATGTGGTCAAGTTTACGAATCACAAGAACTTTTGACAAAACACATCCTCACTCACTCTGAATCAGACGCTCCAAGGTGTATCTTGTGCGGCAAATCATGCACATCACTCGGTTTTCTAAAGAGACATTACCAATACGTCCATCCAGGTCATCCCAATCCTGTTGATAAGATTCTGTTGAGCAATACATCCCCTTCCTCCCTCACTCAACAAAGTGACGAAAATGTGACAACGACAATCAATGGCGACAATAACACAAAACCAACCGTGGTCAGAAAAGTCATCCGAGGTGAAAATGGAGAGGAAGAAAGTGACGAAGAATTTCCAAATGAGTCTGACGATCCTCCAAATTTGATAAAACCTCAAGAAAAAGGGAAGGAGTCACCTGTAAAACCATCATCATTGCAAGTTATCGACGTCGATAATCTCGACGTGGACGAAATCGTTTACGCTGCCAACAACCACCACATCTACAAGAAAACAATTTCCCCATCATCGAACAGTACTATAGTAAAACATGCCACCAATACCCACCTTCTGAAAACTTTCGTTTGTCCCGTTGCCGAATGCCAGCGAGACTTTCAGGTGAAGGCCGACTTGTTAAAACACATGCGTCGCCACGTTCAAGAACAACGACATCAATGTCGAATCTGCACTGCTAGATTTCCTCACAAACAAGATGCTCACCGTCACATGAAGAGTGTTCACAACTTTACATGCAAGAGTAGAAATTTCCCGTGTGATTTCTGCGACCTCCACTACGCCACAGAACCTGATCTAAGCAATCATCTACAATCAGTGCACAAAGTCACCATGGAAGAGGTGTTTGATGAAACGGTAGATGATTATGATTCTCATGAAGTAGAGGAGATGAAAACTAGTGGAAATAATGAGGTTGATTATGAATTGATGTTAAAGCATCGTGAAAATGAGGAGGAGGATGCTTTAGCTGCTGCTGCTGAGGCTTATGCTGAAGTAGACGAGGACGAAATACCGGATCCTACCTCATTCCTTGAACAGTCGATGGGAGTATCCGCCACCACGACCCCCGTTACGAAGAATGAACAAAATGACGACTATTTCTGCGAATTATGTAATAAAGTCTTTGAAACTCGTCAAAAGTGGCTTTATCATCGGTATTATCATATCCGCGAAGAAAAGTACTTCTGTTCCCATTGCGATGAAAAATTTAAATTGAGGTCCCACCTTGAACGACACATTCGCACATATCACAATGAAGAGAAGCCAGTCTACAACATTCTCACGTGTGATCAGTGTCCTCGAAAGTTCACTCGAGAGTACGATCTGACAACACACATTCAAAAGGTTCATCTTCAAATTCCTCCTGCAGCAATTCAAAAGCAAAGACTATCCGCCGCTTCAGCAGGAAGCAGCCCCATGGTTCGGGTGAATAGGAATTCAAATCCAAACTCAATTTTGAGGTCACAAATCCCAGCTCAATCGTCGTCGTCGTTGTCAAGTCCGAAGCCGTCCACTTCACAAGCATCACTTTCTTCTATGTTGCGTGGATTTCCAAAAGGAGTGACGATTGTGAGAAAGTCGTGGCCTGCAATGACCACTCCACAAAACAAAGGTATCGTTATGACCAAAGTGACTTCAGCTTCTGCAAAACCGGTCCCTCCAATGCAGAGCACCATGCGCCTAGGTCCGAATGGGTGGTATTCGTGTAATTTGTGCAACAAAAAATTCAAGGTACCACTATTTAAGTTTATTATGTATGTATAATGCAACTCATACTTTGAAATGTTCTAAATATGTCCAACAATTATTCACAGGAAAAGAAGAGCATCGATGCTCATCGGTACTATCACAATCGGGAGGAAAAACACTTGTGCACTCATTGTGTAAGTTGTAGGATCACTAAGCTGCGAAATGAAAATTTCAATCGTTGTACTTTTATTTAGTTTACAATAAATTACTCTGTGTTCATTGCAGGGTGCAAGGTTCAAGCAGAAGAGCGACCTCCACAGACACGTTCGAATTCATCACAATTCAATGAACCCCAAGAATACTATACATTGTCCTCACTGTTATAGAAGCTTCACTGATATTCGCTACATGAGGATGCATATTAGACGCTATCATGGAGATGAAGCACAAGGTTCTTCCGGACGCATGCAAGGGCCCACTGCTAATGCTACAAAGTCTTTTCAAAGACATGGTATAAATCAAAGAGGAAATGTGAGGATGGAATTGGAAGATGACAACGATCAAGAAATGATTTACGGGGACGAGGATGAGCAGGAAGAAGGGTTAGATTGGAATGAAGACGAACAACAGTTTTTAGATGAAGATGACGAAGACCAGAGACAAATGAGGACAATGGAACAGTTGGAATATCTCCAGTATCAAAATGAAGCTCAGTCTTCTGAGGAATCATCGTCGGAAGGAGGAGGTGGCTTGCAATTGACAATTTCTTGCGAATCATGTGGGGTTGAGGTTGAAGCTGCTGATATTGCGGAACATGTTTGTTCTTCAGAGGACGATCTACAAGAGGAACAAATGTTTCAAGACGAAGAAAAAGATCTCGAAGAAGACACGGTTGAGATTAAGAAGGTAGTCACAAGAATTTAATCCACCGCTTTCTCCATTTTTTATCCATTTATTTTTTTACTTATTTGATTTATTTGTATATTGTATCATTTATTCATTTTTAGTTGGTAGAACAAGAGCCCAACACTCAAACTCTCGATGAATCTCCTACTATTACACTGAAGAACAAAGAGGATGAAGGAAATGAAATACAAGACGAAGAAATTGCTCATGAAAATGTCAAACCTGCAGACATTACGCCATTTGAAGAAATTGCTCATAAAAATATCAAACCTGCAGACACAACGCCTTTTGAAGAAATTGAACAAGCATCAAAAGTAACGATTGGTCTAAAATTTGATGAACTTGTCGCAGACCCGCAACCTGAAGATGTGACAACGACTGATCAACAATCTGAAGACGTTGTTGAACCAAACCCAAAAGATAATGGTGATGAAATCGGTGAGGAAAATCAGGAGCTGCAGAATATTCTTCTAGCAGGTTCAGGAACTCAAGACGAAAAAGAGCAACCGACAATAGATTCGACGACCAATGACCCACAATCTGCACCCAGTGCAGACGCAAGTCAGTCTGAAGAATCCTCTGGAACGGATGTCCCAACACTTCCAGAACTATAAAATATATGTAAAACTACGTATCTGGTCAATGCCTGACTTTTCTCGTCGGTCTGATAAATTACAATGAGTCTGATGATTAGTACCATTATTTATGTTATTTTTTTCTAGTATTTTATGTTTTATCAAGATTTTAACTTCTATGTTAGTTTAATTGTTAAAGGTTTCTTGAATCACTATATAAATTCTTGTTTTCTGCTTAAATATTTAAAACTAATTTTATCTAATTATATTTTCAAAAATATTTAGACTAAATAAAATTGAAATATATTTAGAACTGTTTATACCAACTTATTCTAGCTATTCTTACAACATTTTGAGGGAGGAATTCTTATGTAAACTTGTCTCAATTAGGTTAGAAATTGATACTAATGATGATAAATGTAAACAACACAAATATTGAATAAATAAAGTGTTTCAGTACAAAAATATAAACGATATGGTAAATTTTCAATCGTAATCCAATTCCAATCTTTCAAATCCAATGAAATTTTATGCAGATTTGTGGCCAGAAGCTATAGAAGTCGTAGAAACTAAAAGAAAAATCAAGTTTCTTTTTTCCAAGTTCTTATGCGCATCACTGACTTTATGCATAGTTCATTCTAGAAAGAGTGCTTAATTTTAATTACTGTCGACTGCCACAAAATGTCCAAAAATAAAGACAAGAGTGGGGCCTGCTTCGCCCTAACGATGAGCAGCTACGCCACGAAGGAAGGAGCTTGTCTCAAGGATGTTGGCGAAGTCGGTATGGGTCGTGGCGCTGGACCTCTGCGCCCCCTCCCCCCGCAACGACGACCCGTCTCCTCCACCTACACGCCTTCCGAACCTGTGGACTGGGACGTGGAGGAGCAACGTCCCCTCATTTTCAAACAGCAACGCCGCCTCGTCCCGACGGAAATGCAATTGATCCTTCCAAAACCACAAGCGCCGGTATAACTCATCGCAAATGTAGTGCAATAAGTTGAGAATTGAGCTATCCGCATTTTCAGGAAATTGAAATTGAGCCGTGGGACTTCGAGGCTGCAGAAATTTTAGAGACGCAAGAAGGTGGTGAGAATGATGATGAAATGAATCAAATCGTGGAGGATTTTTATGCCAACTTGACACAGGAATTGATCAAGAAATCTTTAGACCAAGTGGATGCAGCGGTATTTATTTCTCATAATTTATAATTTACTATTAAATGTATTATTTTATTTACAATTAATGTTTATTGAATATAGACACTCCTTCCAATGGAACTGTGCGTACCGGTTACCTTTAATATTTTGTATTGGTTATATATTTACGTTGCCTACTTCCGAAAAAAGATCCAACAAGGAATATTTGGGCGAAGGAAATTTCTCCGTCCAAGATGACCAAAATAATGAAGAGATTGGAGACGAGTTTGACGAGGCTGAATGGAGTGACGCAGAGGATTACGGATATTCAACAAAATTCCCTTACAGTAAAATCATTACATCTTATCTTAGCAAATAATCAATAATGTGCCAATAAAAGTGAAATGCTGAATGTTTTCAGAGAAGAAAAAGCCGTTGGTCAATAAAGGTGGAACGCTTCCCAAATATGTCACTCCAGCCGAAGAAACGGAACCTCGACCCGAAGATGATCTAGAGTTGGAACCGTTTGAGGTACAAGAATTTCGAAAGGTTCATCATTCGAATAACAATTACTGATAGTTTACTATTTCAGATTGAAGAAATCAAGGAGGGGACGACTCGTTGGTCATTGGAAGACCCTAAAAATGCAGATGGACGAAAAGCCAGCAGAAAAAGTAAAGATGATCCTCAAAAGCCAAGGGGAAGTAAACCACTCGAAAGTGAAGAAGCAGCCCTGCTGAGAAAAAGTAAAGATGATGGTAAGGGTCCAGCACCCTCTGAAGAAGAAAAGGCAGAAGAGGAGGAAGAACTACCCTTGGGGGAGGAAGGGATGCTCGCATTTGCATATGTTTATGCGGGTGAAAGTGCAATGGACACCAACGTGGAGACTTCCATTTGGCAAGCTCCTGACGAAATGTTGGGTGAAGATTGGATTGCACCTCTAACCTATGACAAAGCTACTCAGGTAAGCATTAAGATAATGTGCAACAGTAATTAAATTATGTAATGGGTCGTGATTTTGTGATGATATGAACAGGAGTGACAACATTGTCCTATTTATCCCTCTAGGTTACCTCTGACGATATTGCAGAGGAGTATGAACGTATTGAGGAAGAAGAACGGGCGTAAGGATTCGCATAACATTCGCATACCTGAAATTATCTACATAATTATGATCTTTTTACTGCAGAGCCGAGGAAGCAGAAGCCTTCAGACTGCGACGCGTTCCAAGTTTGCGAGCGGATGCTGAGTGTCTCGTAAATAAACATTATTCAAGATGATAACTATCTCCTTGATGTAATGCTATCAACTGCATAAAAATATGCAGGTTCGACCAGTTGGTTATAAGCAGTTGGAACTCTCCGTCCCTTTAGAAGCCGTCACTCTTGAAGCAACGACCCAGGTCAGGCTGACAAACTATTGTAATAATTTTGCTAAACACGTACATAATTCGGCATATATTCCACACACACAAATAGGTCACGGAGCAAATAATGGACGAGGAATGGGCCATGGAAAGGGGCGTCTTCCTCTCAAAAGACGACATTCTGTGGCCAACGGTAGCAGAGTTTGAACTAGAAAATGTGGCGAGGCGACTCTACGACTATATCGGCCAGTGCTGGAAACTTGACCCTAAATGGATGTTTTACATTCATCCGGTCCAGTCGTTTACGGACAATCTGAGAAAACGAGTCACCTTCGAAGCCAAGTTCTCTGTGCCCACGCAGCAGGCCCCCATTCCACAAGCCACCGCGTCCGTCTTTTTCATCTTCGAAATGTCACATTATGCTCTGAGGGATGAAGTTGTCAAAGTTCGTTAACAAAAGCTTATCAGATTAATTATTGAGTCCTAAATTTAATTTTGGCATTAATGGCTTTTACTTTATTATGACGTAGGTCCACTATGTCGTAGAAGGGACACGTTTTCGTCACACACCAGGATCCATACCTTTTCAAGATAAGGTAAGATATTAAATGTTATTGACCTCACAACCCGCTAATGATTTTTTCTATTTTTTTCCTGCAGTGGTTATGGTCCGTCATCATGGATAAGGTTCGACTTCAAAGATCACTCGGATTTTAACTGATTTATTCAAGACTTGTGCAACGTACTCTAATCATTATAATGATTTTACTGTAATTTTAACTCTGACAGAGAAGAAATGTATTTACTGATGGAACATTATCTTTTCATATCGCTTAATTTGCATCCTACTTGGTTTCATCAGCATAATAAATGCTTGGTTTTTGGTCTTTGTCTTTTACGTGTCTCATTTTGAGCCGCGTCCAAGGTCAGTCACAGAAATCTACCCGAGTAAAAGTACTGGAGTTTCATCGTGCCAAGCCAAAGTCCAATGGTTGTAGGTTGTAGTCAACTTACTTGGCATGAAGTTCATCAACAGGTGACAACACACCGGTAAGTGTTGCTTAATATTTTTCAGAAATTTTTGTCGTTATTTTCTAAAAATTCGCACAAAACACAATATTATCCTGTCCCAGCAGTATATTTATATTGCTACGTGTGTGTTCATTCATTGTTTGTTTTATAGAATTAAATAGTAATCAATAAACATCATTTCAAAACGGAATTTTTCCAAATATTTATATAACTATTTTTTAAATTACAGAATTACATGCTGGGTAATCTGATGGGCATTTGAAAATTCGAATTTAACAAGGGAAAGGATTTTTATGAAGCTTTATGTTTTCTTCCATCCTAATTTTTTGACCATTCCTTTTAGACCTGAATATCGAGCAGACGGATTAACACAATTAGTGCACAACAATAATTATGAACCTGTCCCGTACAGTGAGCACCGTAGCATCTAAACTGCGTTTATCTTCAAGGGTTCATCTTCAAAGACAAAGTTATGCAACTTCTCGTGTTCTCAATACTCCGAGGGATGGTCCATCAGTTGTAAAGCAATCGACGTAAGTTTTGTTTATTTATTCAGCTAAATATTCATATATTCTCTGGTTTATTTCTTTCATCAGTTCCCAGTCCACTTGATTAACCCCAGTTTACAATTAATTTTATTGCTTCTCTGCCATACGTCTCGAAATCAAGTCAGAAATTCTATCTAGTATTAATTTACATATCAATATACGCTTATTCTGGCCTCTGGGGAAGATTTTTGTGTACCGTTTTGTTTGTTTTGTTAATTCGTCATTTAGGGCAACTGCATAAAACGCTCACATCGAGAACTTGTAAAAGAATATATCCTTCAAAAATATCAAGATACCCAAAGATAGGTAAGTCAACATGGTGGACACACACGTCGTCGTAATTCGTCCATTTCGACCGGAAGACCAGAACAGCGTCCTTGCCCTGATTAAGGAAGGAACACTTGACCCCGTTAACCGATTCTTTTTCCGAGCCCTCACCAGAGAGTTGTTCCTCCAAGCCGTCATCATGATGGCGGCTGTGATGTTCATCCTCGGCGGCGTTCCCCTTTACTACACTTGGACCGCACTCCCCCTTACAGTCTTGCTAACCTACGTCGGCATTTACCTGTCCCATTTTTACAAGGCCACCTTCCTCCATTCCGACATGAATAACGTTATGAAGACATACTTGGGAACGGACAAGACAAACTTCTTCGTCGCGGAGGCCTATTACAATCGAAACAGTTCGGCTTGGAAGAATGAAAAGCCTGGCTTCATCAGTGAAATTGAACTCGAAAAGCTGGACAGCACTGGGACCTTGTCCAATAATAAGGCTTTGACGAAGGAGCTTGTTGGGTGCATTGGGGTCATGCGCGCGCGTGAATCTGCAGTGATTGCATGGCTTAGAAGGACGGCGGTTAAAAATTCCTGGAGAGGAAAAGGGGTCGGGGGAGCGTTGGTGGAACGTATCATTAAATTTTGTTCCCAAAAGGGATTCGTTGGAATAGAACTGGTTACGACAGAATGTCACGACAGTGCTCGCATCCTCTATGAAAAGAAGGGGTTTGAACTTCGGGCGTTTTACCACAAGAAATTTTTTAAGTTGAGTGGACTCTCGATTATGATGTATGCTATGCATTATAAGACGAGACCATTTAAGCAGACGGATGCATAAGGTCCATTCCATTACTCTTGTATGGCGTGGTTATACATTACGTAGAATATAAATATCATTCGATTATGCAGAAAATTCAATAATAATAATATATACATTTTTATCAGAGTGTCAACAAGATAAGATTCACTAAAGCATCTCCATCGAATACGAGTCTCATTAGTCTCAGTTGTAGCTTAGGAGAGAGATCTGACCATTATGTGAACTTTGTAATTATTCATGGCATCCTACAGTATGGAAAAATAATTTCGTATACTTTACTCGTTATATTTACAATATTGTAGCATTTTAAGAAGCCTGTTACAAACTGGAATTGATGTCAGTTAGTTGAAAGAGTTGAATTTGTGATGAGATGAGATTTGGATAAAAAGTTAAAATATATTTAAATTTTATATCGTTAATATATTAGCTCAACTGATTTAATAATAAATCTAGTGGTGTACACAAAATTCAAGAAATCCTCCTCCTTGTTTGAACCATTCATTTCTTGTTGGCAGTAGTTCGAGTTTCTTGTTAGTCTTATAAAATTTGGAAGAGTAAATTGACTTGTTTTTATAGACATGATTTCTTCAACATTTTCCAGGGTGGGGGAGCAGATGGACGGGGCAAATGTATTGGCGAAAGCGTTGAAAAACCAGGTATGAAAAATACATAAATACATCATTGCGGTCTTGAATTTGTAAGATTTTACATATGATTATTTTAGGGGGTCGAATATGCTTATGGGGTAGTAGGCATACCTGTCATCGAGACGTCCATGGCTTTTCAGCAACATGGGATAAAATACATTGGGATGCGAAATGAACAAGCTGCAGCATATGCGGCTCAAGCCACCGGGTGCTTAACCACAATTTGATCCAGAAACTTACACCTATATTAATATTTTTGATACTAAATATAGATTCTTGACACGTACTCCTGGGGTGTGTTTAGTCGTTTCTGGACCCGGTGCGATCCATGCTCTCGGTGGTCTAGCAAACGCTCAGTCAAACTGCTGGTACAACACTTGTTAGCAAATTCGGACTGCCGACTAAACCAATTAAAAGTTTTCAATCTCAAGATGTGCATTATTTTTATATCTTAGGCCAATGCTTCTTGTTGGTGGTGCTTGCGACCGACCTCAAGAAGAATTAGGTGCCTTCCAAGAGACACGTCAAGTCGAAGCAGCGAGAATGTTCTGCAAGTTTGCGGCTCGACCCAACTCTGTCGAACGAATTCCAACATACGTTGAGAAAGCCATACGATTTGCTACTTATGGCCGACCAGGTCAGATGATGTGATGGACGATATTTCAGCAAAAGTTTCAGTCTCTAAAATATCGCAAGGTTTGATTGACGTATAAATATTTTGGGTAGGAGCTGCATATTTGGACTTTCCTGGGGACCTTCTCAATTCCTCGTCAAATATTCTCGATATCGACCAAGTTGCCAAACTCCCCCCTCCACCACAGTCGCTCGCCCCACAAGAAAAGATTAAGGAAGCCATCCAACTTCTCAAAGAAGCACGAAACCCTCTCCTCGTGGTTGGGAAAGGAGTCGCTTACGGAAGGGCGGAGAAGGTCATGAATGAATTTATCACCGAAACAAATCTCCCCTTCCTTCCCACCGCCATGGGAAAAGGAGTAATCCCTGATGATCACCCCAACTGCGTTTCATCCGCACGATCCCTAGCGTTACAGCAGGCCGATGTCGTACTACTCTTAGGGGCAAGGCTGAATTGGATGCTCCATTTTGGAAAATTCCCCCGATTCCGGCCCGACGTTAAGATAATTCAGGTTGACGTCGAACCGGAAGAATTCCACCAGAGCGTGGCAACCAGCGTCCCACTTTTGGGCGATGTTGGGAAAATCACTGAGCAGCTTTTGGAGGGGAGCAAAGTGGGTGGACTCAAATATGCGAAGAGTACGCCATGGTGGGACTCTATTAATGAAAAGAGAGACAAGAATAGGTAAATAAATGATCAATTTAATTATACATACCTTTGAAAATTAATAAGTGACTCGTCTTGGCGTTTTTGTTAATTCCTGCAGAAAAGCCGTGGATGCCTTCATTGCAGATAATTCCAAACCTTTGAACTACTATGCAGCTCTCAATTCTGTGTACAATGTTATTCCCAAAAATTCCATTATTGTCAATGAAGGGGCAAACACGATGGATATTGGTAATTCTTGATCATTATTTGCTATTTTCAACTAGAATTTATGTTATTATCTCTCCTTATTTACATAATGTAATGTATTTGTGTATGGTTATAGGACGAAGTGTTCTGCTAAATAGAGAACCCAGAACTCGACTGGATGCTGGAACATACGGAACCATGGGAGGTACTTACTACGCTAATTTAATTAAGAAGAATCAAATTACTAAAGAAAATTAGTAAATTAATTTAATTTAAACGTATTATAGTCGGACTTGGATATGCGATTGCTGCAGCACTGCACTGTCAAGATGAAGGGCTGGGTCGTAGAGTAGTTTGTGTTCAGGGTGACTCTGCTTTCGGGTTTGGAGGAATGGAAATTGAAACTTGCTTCCGATACAAGTTGCCCATCATTTGTGTAATTATTAACAACAATGGAATTTATGGGGGACTGGAGCCAGATGTGTGGGATAATATTAGGGACGCGGGAAATCTAGGAACAACGTAGGTTCACAACAATGAAATATTGATAAGATTGATTATCCTGAGATGCAAATCGTTGCTATTTTATTCCTTCAGAACTATTCCAAACGGCTTGACACCCCGCTTCCGGTACGAGAAGATGGCCGAGATGGCTGGTGGCAAGGGTTATTTCTGTGAAAGTACTGACGAAATTCAAGCAGCCGTAAAAGCAGCTTTAGAGGTAAGTGCAGCAACGACATAACGATACAACGTTTTAATATTATATTCGCTAGTATTATTCATTATGCTCTTCTATATAGGACAAAGAGAGACCTACAATCATTAACGTGATGATAAACACAAGTGCAGCACGAAAGCAGCAAGACTTTGACTGGTTGACGCGAGCAAAGCTTTAATAAAATGCGATACGCCATTCGATAACCACACCTCGTCACAACAGACTTATCTATAAGACTATAATTACAGAAGGATATTTTCATAGTTACATTGTTATAATAATGAAACCAACCATGCCAATATTATTTGACACTTTGTCATTCTATATTCTTTGTCATTTCTATGGGGCACCGCCCATAGAAACGATGTCAGTTAATCGTGCAACCATGCATGATAATTTATAAGGGTACAAAAATGATTAAAAAAAATTGTTACATCTGATGAAATTTTGTAAGATCCCATCAACCCCACATTATTGGTTTCCACTTGACCTACATATATTACCTACTTGATCCTTTCAATGTCCAAATTCATTGTCTCAACAACTCTCCTAAAGAAATTCCTATCAGTACCCTGCTCATGCAATCAAAAAACATGCAAATTTTCTTCAGTAACCACTGGGAAAAAGGGTGGTGGTAAAAAGATATCCATCAAACCAGAAAATGTCGACTCCACTTCCCTCAAAGTACCACTAATAAAATCAAAATCTACAAAATTTGCTTCAAAAAAGTCAAATAAACTAGAAATAATCTCACAGCCAGAACTACAATCATTCGACAGAACCAAATTCCCTAAAATGAAATCAAACTCCACAAAACCAAAACGGCTAACCTTTTCGAACACAGATGCCAACGGTCTTCCCCTCCTCAACCCAAAAGACTGTCACCAAAGGGTCGAGTTCGCTTCAAAGATGCTCGCCCTCTTAGAAACTCGCCCCGAGCTCTTAGACGACATTATCTTCTCGGACGAAGGGAACTTTCACCTGTCACCCCCACCACGAGGAACAAAAAGGGAACAAGATGATGTAACTATAAAGATGAAATCCTTCCACTCTGACGCCCTTCAACGATACGGTGAGTCCAAACGCCTCCCACAGATCGTGTGGTGTGGAATGACTTCGAAGTACATAATTGGACCCTACTTTTTCAACTCTCATGTCACAGGTATAATAATAATATGCAAATAAATATTTGACGACTTGATTTGGAATTTAAGATTTCATGAATTTGCAGATCGAACTTACATAAAGATGCTCCAGTCGTACTTAATTCATCAATTGAAAGGTCTCCGAGGTGAAGATAAGATGAAGACTTGGTGGTTTCAACAGGATGGTATCACGTTACTTGAAATTGTCATGATTCATCAAATAATTCGCAATTTTTACGACAGGAAATCCACCCCATCGGACAAGTGCGGCTTTGACATATCTCAAAGATACATTTGGACCACAGTTGATCTCTTACGGTTGCCCACTCTTGTGGCCACCGAGATCGCAAGACTTGACACCGCTCGACTACTTCTTATGGGACCACCTCAAACTCAAATTGAAAGATAACTGTTTTCCAGAACAGCTTTCTACGCCCGCATCGTTCCGAACAAGCCTCGCCGCACAGATTGATGAGGTCGACGAGGAGGTCATTAAACGAGTAGTTGCGCAGTTTAGGGCCAGGTTGGAAAAATGCATTGAATCGAACGGAGAGCGTTTTGATTTTGTAGATGACAAAACAAGTAACTTCTTGTGACACGATGTAATAACTGATTTTTGATTTAATATCATATTGTGCTATAAATCGCTAACAATCGATTGACTAAATTGTACAATTGGTCAGTCTTGGTCAAAATTTTCATGTGTCGTGAAATAAACAGAGGAAAAATAATTGTAACAAGTAATCAGTCTATGAGCTGTACTATAATAATAATGACCTTATTGTGAGTAAGGCCAATATTAATACAGCAATATGATTAGTTTAAATTAATGGTATTGAGGTAAAATTGTTAAGGCTTTGTGTCATAATCACAAAAAATACTGGTTATTGAGAATCATTTTGAAGCAGCACATCTATTTGAAGAGCAACTTATTTAGTCGATACAATGCGTACTGTTGAAACATTTTACAAAAACCTAGGTCTCGCAAAAGATGGACAACAGGGAACTGTACTTCAGGAAATTGAATCTTTTCCTCCAAATGAACCTGAGCAACGGGTTCAGTCGTGTTGATTGAAACCATGCACAGGAAATTGACTTGAAAGGGATTAGACTCGTTCAATTTTTTGAAATACTTGGTAGCCGCTCCCTCCACAGTGAATGGATTGAGCGTAAGAAGGGGAAGTTTCTGATTGAGGAGAATTTTGTCATATACTCGGCTCTGTCTATGGATAAATGGGGTGGCTGCTCCCTGAATTGATATTACGTTTGAAAATGGCTTTCTTAGTCCGGTTGGAATTTTCCGATATGCTTCACAAGCAGCAGGAACATTCACGGGTACAGAAATAGGTGGTTGGTGAGGAATGTTGATAGTAATTTTTGATGATTCTGGAAGGGGTGTAGTAGCGAAGGGTGACGCCGCGGAGTCAATTCCATCGTCATTGTTGTTTTCTCCATGGTTGATATTTACTCCAACTTCCAATTTTTGATTTGTTACGTCGAGTTTAGGTCTTTTCGTATCTGGACTTCCGTCTAGGGAATAGGTTTTTGAATCATCAACAACATCATGATTAGCACGACGAAACGTTTCGATGAAATATAGTCCTTTCATCTCATCCAGGGTGATATTTAGTGTATATGGCAATAGGTCCAATCTGCTTTTTGCTTCATCCACGTTGAAAGATGGGATTGCTGTATAATTCGGAAATTTTTGTATGCTGACGTTCAAGCCAAATCCTGTTTGGAATCTGAGAGCAATAAATGTCTTATTAATAATGAATGATTCCGTACAATTTGGGTTTGTAAATTAATATTTCTCACATTGCTTGAAAAAAATCGGATGCAAAACCAGTCCAGAGGATCTTCATACAATTTGTTAACTCGCCTTGGGTGACACCGAGGCAAGACCAGGCTGTCATGAAAATATGTTCAAATTCTTGAGAAATATAGTGTTCCGAGCTGAATGTGAAAGTTTGTTGGTGCACTATATTGTCGGGCACGTCTCTACAAAACTGGTTCCCTTGATCACTCTCTACTGATGCTCTTGCAGTCTCCGTTTCACTATTTGAATTAATTAGTGATAGTTTATCTGCATCATCCTTTTGTTGAACTAATTTCTGAGCTAAATGATCAACTACTTCATGAGCTGTTGAAACGTCCCAGTTTGATATCACGAATGGTTCCTCAGCACGATTATTATTGTTAGCATTTTCTTTTCTCGATAACAAGTTTTCAATGTTAACAAAAACGGACGAAAATAGGTTTCCTTTCTTTGCCACCAAGATATCTTCCAGAAATTTTGCTGTCTCTCTACAAATGCTGGTGAACCGTTTGACTTGCTTGGGATCAACGCCGCTCGTCACGTTAAAATTGAGTTTGAAGGGATCTTGGATGCACATTGGAGATTGGAGCTTAATTTCTTTTACCAACTGAAAGATATCTTTAGACATAAACATGGCTTGAAATTTGTCTTCATCGCGCAAGTAACTTTTCTCAACGAAATTTCCCAGCAGAGGACAGACAACGAAATCAGCAAAATTCAAGTTTCCAAACATGTCGAAGAACCCTTGCGCCAGTTTTAGCACGTCGCTATAATCTAATTCCTCAGGGACGGAGGGTGCTGGGTATCCACTTTGACAGATTATCTGTTGAACTTTCTCCACGTTCGATTCAAATCCTGCATTCCAACCCTCCAGTATTAGTGGTTCTCCGGCATAATTATTTTGTAGGAAATTTACGTTTGGCAGGATTCTGTTCTGGTTGAGGTACACCACAGCCATTAGCATCAAGGCGTATGGTTTGATCTTATTGGAACCAAGAAGAGAATGGTAACGGCCCCAGTACCTAAGAAACATCATGAGGGGACGGACACGTGGGTCGAATTGAATATAAAATTTCATGAGGCGCGAGTTGTGCACCGAGAGAATACTGCTGAAGGAGAGGTCACATTGCAGTTCAGTTGCTTCGTGGGTCAGACGGATAATTGGGACACGTGCGTAGACTGGATTTATACTTCTAAACCATGGTTTTCTCCCTTGACGTCGCGCGGACGAGTTGTTGCGGCGGATACAGCTTAGTGTTCGCTCGAAAATGTCATTCTTCGTCACATCACCAGATTCTGTTAGAAAACAGAATAATTTTTATGATAGTGCGTTCATTTTCGACTATAAATAAAAAATGTAAAGTATGCGTAACTCACCACCCGTGCTTTCATGGGTCAAGTTTTGCTGATTTGTTGATTCGTCTTCAGCGATGACAAAGATATCCAAATCTGATCCATGCTGGTCCGCAATCTCAATAAAGAATGAGCCGTAAGACAGCAATTCACAATTTCCAAATTCCTGACTCAAAACAGTCTCGAGTTGTAGAATAAAGTCGTTCCTGATTTGACTCTGTTCAGGAGAAATGCTGGTGGCACATATAAATTCATAAAATTGCTGCTCTAGTGAGATATTCTCACAAATTTGGACCAATTTGTCGTGTCGCTGCTGAAAAACTTCTTCGCTAGGAATTTTCATCACATTTTGAACTGCAATTTGAAAATGTGGATAGTGTCATCATTTCATCATTCATTAAATACATTTAATACAACAACTACAATTTAGCTACTAAATCTTTTTACATTGTGTTGGGCTAATTTCCTGACGAAGTTTGAACATGCCTATGACATGTTTGACTCGGTGTGCGTCCTCTGAACCGCTCACACTTCTCAAGTCGGCCATGACACGTTTCGCTAGTTCTCTATAATTATGAATTAAACACACGGCAAGTGCATTTTAAGACCTTGGTAATTACTACGCCTTAGTTATGAACCCTTGGTTCGTTCATCATTAACAATTTGTAGCATTTTCTTACGCAGAATCCATAAGCACCAGACATGCCTTGATACTACCATCAGTTAACGACGTCTTGAAGTAAATGTCGTGGATAAGACCAAATTTGGCAAAGTAGGCAGTAAAATCACTCATCTTCACCTGGAAGTGGGTCATCATTTCTTTGCTGGTAAAACAATACAAAATTAATAAATTAATAAATTAACATTTAATTTATTTTATTTTCTAAACTCCGTAAATACCTAAACTGATAACAGATAATGGATCGTTGGCTCATCTCACTGGAACAATTGTTAACAGCTTCTTTTGCACATTCTTGATGCTTGGGTGAGTTTAGGTGATAGTACCAATCTCGACAGTTCCGTTGTCGAACGTTGCAAGGGAGACAGTGGAGGTACATATTGTCGAAAGTTGTTAATTTCTTAAAGACAGAATTTAAACTATAATTTATACAATTTATTATCTCTCTTAGGATTAGTTTAACCTCTTACTATCAAGATTAAAGAATTGGGACAGATTTACAAAATTATCATGAGTTAAAATTTTAATTGAGAAATATATAAAGTGAAGTGACAAATTTTATACATGTGCTTTTCTAGCCCATGTTCGTTGAAAGAATATCCGCCGGATTTCGTACTTTTTTCTCAAACCGCCCAAGGAATGAAATACTCGGCAATATTGAACAATGGAAAAGCTCTCTGAAAATGCATAAATTTCAAATTTCATATATTCCAATTTCTTGATTGACGCATAATATAAATTTCAATTTATTCAGTACTTATCAATAGTATTGGATATCATCGATTCAATTACGTCATTAAATCAATGAACTAGCAGCTGAACAACGTGATTGGATTATTCATGTCGATTAAATGTCAGTGCTGACAACCTCTCATCACAAATCTTTTCTTTATAAATGTCAAGACAAACGAATGAAATTAACCTCATTAACGTGTTTTTCCCGATATAACGAACAACAACCGAATTATGATGTGACCACGTTTTTGAACACGCGTATGAAAATTGGCCCGAGAAAGGACTTATGTTTAGAATTTATTGCATTATTGTGCAAAAGACCATAACTCATCCTGGTACATTTCCATTCCATCATTTTAACTGTGACGGAGGAGAACGCCGCACATTTGCCAAATATTTCGTGCTGTGTGGTTGATTATCCGAGTTAGAATGTTGACTTGCATCCAATCCACCGATATCCATGCACTTATTTACGAACACGGGAAAATAAGAGAACCCCGACATAGTAAAAAGCATGGAGAAAGAAGCAGGATTTGCAGAGGAGATATTTGCCAAAACACTAATATTACATATATTTCTATTACCAGATTGTGACTACATACTCAAACCCGTTAAATGAATATGTAAGTATTGAATATGCAAATGACATTGGGAAATTGGACCTCTTGTGCATGTGCACCTTATGCGAGTCCAAGTCCAATATCGTTAGCAATGTGTAATAAAACAGTTTATAATAAGAAGAACGGTTCGGTTGATCTTTAGTTGCAATTCTGCCGTCGTTGTTTCCTCGATATCTTGGTGCTTAAAAAATAATTTCGTGGTTGTAATTGTAATACATATTACGAGTGTTATCAAAAAGGTGGTACGAGAGCAGTCAATTTTGGGTCCTACATTATCATACTTCAGAGTGTTAAAGGTAATTGGAACAATTAAGATAATAAGTTGGGATAAGTAAAAGTATGTTCTTTAATATTCAATACATGTACAACTGTACAAGAGTTTTGGAAAATTCCCATTGGAAAATCCCCATTTAGTACAAGCTGGCACGCACATAGTCGTAAATGCGTATCTCGTACCTAAAGATTTACACGAGTCAAGACGACAAGAAGTTTTGTCTAGTTAACCAAAAAAATCTCATGCGTTATCCACTTGTAAAAATAAACTTGGATTGGGTTTGATGAGCCGTAATGCATGCGAGTTGTGAGGTCATTGATGATTTTTTTTGGAATTGAGTCAAGTCTCATTTATCGAATGCTTCCATCAGAAGAAATAAATTTAAGCTTCATAAATAAATTGTCAACCAAATTTGATGGAAGTTCAAAAATTCCACAATCAAGATGTACCTAAAAACTTTCAACTATTGGGTAATTGGGGTTTAAAGTGATCGATCATGGCCAAATTAGTCTGCAAATTTCATCAACTTTTATAAAGGCCAGGCCGCAGGTGGTCATGGTTGGTTGAATATGAAAAGCGGTGTCTTACATGCAAGACCCGTCTCTCTCTCTTGGTCAATGTCAAATAAGACGAGCGACTGTATTATTTTTTGATTGAAATTGTCAACTCAATGATATCAATCTTTTTACGTAAGGGAAAGAAGAAGAAGTATCTCATATATGCATGTATTTCTCATTACCACACAACAGAAGGTATAAGTAAATACCCTCTCAAACACCACATGCACCATTAACCAGTAATGAAATATTACTACCAGTATTGATCGCTTCGAACATGTCTATACGCAGTCAACCATTCACTTTTAGTTTTCAAGAAAATCCCCTCTATTCAACATCTATATCTTCTTTTTCTATTATATATGTAATGACCTCAAAAATTGTCATTCCATTTTAATATATTATACCATTACAGGTGGTGGTCTGTTAATTTTTGGTGGTTTACATCATCATCAAACTACTCAACAACTGGAATCAATTAAATTCAATTTGTCTGTGTATTAAAATCCGGTTATCTCTGGACAACTAACCACTTTTTTGCCTTCAAGAACTTCAAGATCATCGTACCTCACTCAACAACATTTTTCCGGCCCAACTTCTCCAAATCATTGAAGAGCTGCAAGACACGCACAATCACCCAGAATAACTTTATCCATATTAATAACGTAGCATCAATCAGGATCCATCATTCTGCACATTTATTATATAAAGACGGCGTCACTAACCACAAAGTCCGTTACTCCTGGGAATCCACGACCGACAGTCTTAGCACGAACCTTTCGGAAGTCATTGTCATCGACCCCTTGTCTGAAGCTCCTTCTTGAAGAGGCGTCCCTTCCTCAGCGAAAATTTATTCCCGGACGGTATCGGGAATTCTACCTGGACAATGAAGCGGGCCTGCATCACGCAGAATGCGCTAATGCTTAGCACCGTTCTGGGCGTCATTGTTGGCGTCATTTTAGGTTAATTTATATTTTTGCATCTCGTTTTGTTTTTGCCAAATTTTTTCGTCAGGATAAACTTACACATAATTTTTCCTATTGGTCCACAGGCTTTGCGTTGCGTCCTGCAAATCTGTCGGATTCTTGGCAGATGATACTTTCTTACCCAGGCGAATTGTAAAATATGAAACATTATATAAATACGGCACGTAGTACAAGATGTGCTAATACTAAATTATAGCGATATGAATATTTGAATAGGTTTACGAGAGCTTTGCAGTGTTGCATCTTACCTCTCATTATATCCAGCCTGATTGTGGGTGAGTTTTTAAGAGTAAAAATATTTATGTATATTTTTGGCCATTGAAAATAGTATCATGTCCTCGCACGTATGCAGAAATGTCACTCTTTGTTTAGACAAAGTCATTAATACTAATTGTGGTGGTTGCATTTCTTGTCATAGGATCTGCCAGCTTGGATGCCAAGCTTAACGGGAAAATTGCCCTCCGAACTGTCGCCTACTTTGTGTCAACATCTTTATTCAACGCAGTTCTTGGCATCGTTCTTGTCGTGGCGATCCATCCGGGAGATCCCACGATCAAGAGTGCAGAAGGCGGCGTTATTTTTGATGACAGGAAGAACACGCTTATGGATAATTTTCTCGACCTTGGAAGGTAAACCTGACCTGATGACCTATAATAAAATCCTTATTTTTCATGCATACTAAATACTACTTTTCAGGAATATCATACCTGCAAATATCTTCACTGCCATGTTTCAACAGACCCAAACTGTGTACGAAGAGATACGTGGCAGTGATCCTCAAGAGTTTGAGAGACGAATCGTTTTACGGTAATTTGTGTTCTTAATGTATTCGAAGTTAACTTTATTTTTGAAGAAATGTGTATTTTTCTAGCGATGGGACAAACACTCTTGGAATAATTACTTTCGCCCTAATTTTTGGTGCAATTCTTGGTACAATGGGAAAGAGATCCAAACCTGTCATTGATGGCTTTCGTGTAGTGGATGAGGTCATAATGACGATAGTAAAAGGGGTCATGATGTGAGTACATAGTTTCAAGTGAATAATAAGGCCATAAATAGTTAACCTGACAAAAAATGCCCCAACAGGATAACGCCTTTCGGGGTGGCAAGTCTGATTTGCAGCAAGATTGTCAGCGTTGCCAACATCGCCGTGGTCATTGCGCAATTGGGGCTGTTCGTTTTCACCGTTTTGGCCGGAGTCCTTCTGTACCAACTTGTCATTCTTCAAGCGCTCTATTTTCTTATCAAAAGGGAAAACCCGTTCAAATTCTACTGGGGAGTCATGCCCGCTAATATTACGGCATTTACGACAGCGAGTACTGCTGTGGCACTCCCTGTCTCATTCCGGTGCATGGAAAACTTTAGCGTGGATCAGCGAGTAGCCCATTTCGTATTACCCATCGGGGCGACCGTAAATAAGGACGGAACAGCACTCTTCGTTGCAGTAATTTACTCAAGATAAATATCATAAGTAACGCATAATTATAATTAACTCGGATTTGTTACTGATATTAGATCGCTTCAGTATTCATTGCACAAATGAACGGAATATCTCTCGGAATTGGAGAACTTACCACCGTAGCGTAAGTCGCACTTTCTCATTATCGCTCTATACCCATTCACACTTATCATGATTTGGTTATGTAGGATTGCATCCACTGCAGTGAGCATTGCCTCGGCAAGCGTCCCCTCGGCCGCGCTTGCCCTCATGTTTATCGTTCTAAACGCGATAGGTGTTCCCTCGACTGATATAGGTCAGATAAATTCTTGATAAATTCTATTTTAAATACTTATAATAAGTTACATTAATTTTATGTATGTACTTAGGTCTTCTGTTCGCCGTTGATTGGTTGGTCGACCGCATTAGAACCACCAATAATTTGCTGGGTGACCTTTACGCAACGGTTTTTGTGGAACACTTTTCCCAAGACGAACTCAAAGCGATGGACTATCACAACCCACCTGGTGACGATAACGACGCCAATAATCCATCCTCCGTGGTTCAGGTGATTCGGATGTCGGCAGATGACAATTGTAACAATGAAAAGTATGATCTTAGCTATTGTGATTCGAAGAATATGGAGAATGGAGTGATAACAAATGGAAACATTAATATTAATGACTGTAACCGTAATTATAATTTAACACGTGTTTAGATTTATTACGAAAATTGATTTACGAGTAAAGTATGTGCATATGTAATTAAATTACATAACAGGATTTAGCGATGTTGCTTTCTTTATAAGATTTGTAATTATAGTTGTAGTTAAGACCAAACGATAATCAAATAGTTGGTATAAAAATTCAAATCGCACTAATTTACGGTACTGATCTCCACTGCTACATAGTTAGATATGTAAATATGTAGTAATGCAAATGAGTTATGAATAAATACATATTTTAATTAATACCACAAAAAAACTTTCATAAGATCCAAGCACATTATTCATAAAACATTTTTTTTACACAGAGCTCAAATCTTTAATCATAACTCTACTTTGTAAATTGATCCCTAATTGGGGTTCTTTTCCTACAAATATTTTCACACCGTCGGGATTCGTATATTTTGCATATTGGAACTCTCTCACCATTTGATACCCAACTTTCAAGTAGGCTTTGTAACTGTACTCTGAGGTGACCACGACCTTTTGTATTAAAGCAAGAAAACTGCATCAATATGTACAAGTAGACTAGTTTATAGATTGTTTTGCAATGTCGCACCTTTGCTGCTAAACATTCCTTATCTTTCTTGGCATATTCTACATTCTTCCTGATAAGCTCTGTCCCGATGCTTTTGTTCCAGTACTTCTTGTCCACGGAGACGAGCAGGTTGTCCAAAATCCGGGGATCTCTATCCGTCGTCAAACTTTTTATGCCAAGCAACTCGGCAGCATTAAGTCCTGTCAAATATTTAGAGTAACGACAATGTGCACCTTTGTGGAGAGAAAGTTGACCCAAACCTTCGTCAATCTCGTCAAGAAATACACGAATTTGATGCATTATTGGTTGAGAGGCTGGCTCCAGGAAATCCATCATCATTGGCAATTTGGGCTGCTTGGGGTCAATCACGACGGCGACGCTAATTCCCACAACTTTCCCCGTACTTTCATCTATCGCTTTCGCACTGATGGGAATACTTCGAGAAAAGTTGGCCTCGATGTATTTGGGAAGCCAGTCGCTCACCTCCTTCTCAATATTGATGCCTAAATAGCAAAGTGATACGTTTTTATTCGCGACACTTTTTGTCTCATTTTTGTCTCAATTCTCGCCTAAAGCAACACCGATGGGTTCGTGTCTATAAAAGTTGTGGAGTAAAAAGTCCGTCACCATGAGATGATCGGGGGTGTTGCCAATCTTGGAGATTTTTATGTTATTGGGAAGACCTCCTACTGGGGAAATGGCTACATAACAGAATTAGATGACAAGTTTATTTTACAGGGGGCGATTTGAGAAGTAATTTGTATTATGAAAGCATACTCACAGCAACTTGCTCTTCTTGTGAGATATTGACGGGGGAAAGTAGGCTTGAGTCGGATTAGTTGTCTAGTTCTGGATGGAGTGAGCATATTGTTAATCGGATGAGGAGGTTGAGAGGTTACCTAAATATGTGTATTGAGCATCCGTCGTGTAATATGAGAGAAGGATCAGGAAAGAAAATCCTTCTATTTAGTGGGGATTTTGCTTGCCTTATTTTTTTCAGTAATAATATTTTCGAAATATGTAATGACATGGTGTTGCCAAGTTATATGCAAATATATTTTTGCGTGTAACGTTAGCTTGCTCATAATTGTAAGGGACTGTAATAGTCATCTCCGACACTTATCCAGATGAGGTTTTCCCAACCCATCAACATCGGGGTTTTCCTCTTCCTCTACTCTCCAAGCCAACTAAGGAAGTTGTCTCCTAAATGTATTTCATATTTTACAAATCTGCTTTTGTGTGTGTTTGCTTAACTAAAACCACAGTCGAAAAAAATGTACTCGACATCCGTTTATGTCTCTGTTCAGAAATTACGTCTACATTTTGGAAATTAATATTGAAATCATGTCAAATACATATGTACGTCAAATGCATAGTATAATTATCCAATTTATTCGCATGAATACATCAAAGTTAGCTCGGTTTACATAGAGAATTTGTCGCTGTGTAATATGATTTGAAATAAAGCCACCGTCATTTCATGACCATTCAGTAGCAGATGCTTGACCCAAATTCCGACTATAAATGCAGAAAGTCTTCCCTTTTCGCACAATAATCTCATTCTATTACCACCAACCCGGCTTAAATATGTCCCGTGTCGTGTGCTTCTTGTTCTACTCTTATAGATAAGTATTTACTACTTACTACGGTTTGATTATGTCACGAATATGTAAGTCAGGTTTACTTCCATGATAAAGTTGGGCGTATGGATTACGTCGAGTTAAGCAACGTGTCACCGTACACACCACCACCACGTTCTCCTGGAATGAAATGAAATGAAAAGGACGGAGTGAAAGTAGGAAGGAAATCGATGCGAATTGTATGAAACTCGACAACTCCGACAAAACTTCCTTCCACACTAAACACCTACGTATACCAATTTAAATACAGAGTACACTCTTCTACTCGCTTATGTTGTATATACACCAAATTGAATAAATAATGCATTTTTGCCAAGTTTGCGATTATGCGTTCTCGTATGTATTCCACCTGATTCCACTTGAGTTGATTACTCCCTCAGTCAACATTTCTCTTTGGCTGACAGCGTTCTTTTAACCCCTTTCCAATTATTCTTCTTTTCAAAGTTTGGCTGAATCTTGTACGAAAAGAATGCGGAAGATTACAATCTTAATAGAATTTACGTTTAGAGAAAAGTGATTTCGGAGAAATGTTTGCGATCGAATTGTGAATAGACACGTTCCTAAATTCGCAGTGAACGTGTCACAGGAAGCGTGTCAGAAAAGTGAAAGTGAAAGTCACCAAAGGGTCGAGACAGAAGATACGTACGTGAACTTGACAACTATTGGACATTGACCAAGAAATTGGAGCAGGAAGGATCCCGACAACAATTGACAGTTGAGAAGGACCGAGATGACATGAGGATTACGGTTTCTAATTCTACTATTCTGAACTAAACTGAATTACGTCGCCTTTGTCCTCTTCGTGGTGCGTGTCTTCGGATTTCTGCAAACTAGAGCAGCAGATGAATTATGTGCAGTTCGAATCATACATTTACTACAAGATAGGATGTAGAGCAGTATCTGTAGTGTTGTAGGAGTGGATGTGCAATAATAAAACGACGAGCTGTGTCTCGTAGTAAGCTTGACTGGTATTGAATGTGAAAGACAGTAGTGGATGAAGAAAGTGTGCATTCTGGGGAAGGAAATTCTGGAGAAAGTGAGGAGGAAGAAAGCCTCATACGACTTTCTCTCCTCGGTTCATTCAGTTTCCCAATTTAATAAGAAAGAAAGGCACGATTGAACGATTGCAAACTGTGCCATGTGGATTTTTTCTGGTTCGTGAGTTTTATTCGGTTTGTGGGATACAATCTTTGATCTCATTTTTCACATTGGAAGTGAAACAAGTAAGTAAGAAGCAACCTCTCAACTTTCGCCCTTACGTTTTTCCCCTGTCCTGGGTAGCAAATGGAAATCAACGTCTCATTTACTTCAGAAGAGGCAGAGAGACCCGTCGGCAGTAAATAATAAGCTCAATCAATTGTGCACGTTTATCAACCATAAGTTATAGTTCATATATATATATTTCTCGTTAAAAAGTGTGTCAGTCAGTAAAGCACACTTCTTCCGCATCCATATTTACTACTTACTACTACATCATAAAGTTTACTGCTGAGTGGACAAATTAGTTAATAAATATGCTGCCGTTATTGCATGTTAAACTTTAATAACAACTTTACTCATGGACATGACCTTCAATCTCTCTCATCGAATTGACAAAATCTGGATGACGTGACTGGGAAATACATGTAGGAAGCCCACGTACTAATTTTGGAATCAATCCCACTGAAAGGTTTCAAACTGGAATCAATGTTTTTTAACGAATGAAACAGAACATGAAAAGAACTCTGCCTAAAAAAATCAGACACTAAAACTTTGTGAATTCTGCTTCCGCCCACGTATGCATTTGCCACACAGGATTCTCTCTCCTTCCATTTGGTGAAGTGCATTTAAATTGCTAAAAACCTTTAAACGATGGGCAATTCCACAATAATTTATTTGATTCGGTGCAAAAAACATTAACCAGGCGACGGACAGACGGACTATTCCATTCCCCTAATTGAAATTGGAATGATGCTGTATGGGAAATGATGTGCTATTTATTTGCGGTCCGTGAGAAAGCAGACTCGCGAAATTAGCACTTTTAAGCTCCACCTCATCGCATATATTTCCATGTCCAGCAGAGACAAAATATATCGGATTGACTTTCGTCATCAGGATGTGCATCTCTGAAATTGTCATTGGAAGCAAGAAGAACAGCGTTTTAACTTTGTACACGATTCAGATTTCAGTCAGACGGAGAGTGAAATGCATTAACTCTATCTCTGTGTTATCTCATCTCTCACATGCTTTTTGGAGTTTGGCTTAACCAAATGCACCCATTCTTCTCCTGATAGATATGAAATTCATCTCCGTTCAACAAGCTACTACCCTTTTTCCTCCCACAGCAGCGTCAACTGAAGTGGAATAGATCGAGTGTCTGGATCTCTGTGAAACTTGCGAATCCATTTATTACCCTTTCCTAGCTCCGCATCCATCCTCCGTTTGGTGCATGGAAAGATTGCAGCAAGTTTATTCGCACAGGGACAGGAGAAGAATAAATTGGACAGAGTTTCAGTAGCAGCGTATAAACTGTTGCCAATGTTGTGAAGATAAGTAGAACTGAGTTTTGTTTCATTCTGCACAACTTTTTCTCGCGAGTTAGTCGTTCTTTGGCAACAAGAACGAGAACAAGTGCAACTCAGGAACGCAACTCCTCAGAGAACGCAAGCAACGCCGTTCTGCTAAAATCTAGAAAGCTTATTCCTACAATTTTTCTTACATTCGAAGGAAAATGATTCGGTATGAACTTATCACGAGAGAGAGATACATCGCGGTTGCAGACTTCTTGGTGAATGATTTCTTTGTGAATGAACCGTTCGGATTGGCACTGGGTGAGTCCTTATCATCCAACTGTTTGTGTATTTATGAGAGAAAAAGTAGTTCACTGATCAAGTTTGAATAATTATTTAGGTCTCACATTGGATCAAGTTAGGAGATGGTAACAAAAAATTCACTAGTGCAAAAAAAACAGTGCAAAACTGTATGTCATGATGATTTCCATGCAGGTTTGCCGACTTCCTCTCCCACATCCTTGACACCTCGGATCCTGTCTCATACGTCGCATTGGATTCCAATAAGGATGACAAAATCGTTGGAGCGATTATAAATTTGATCGCAGATCCTGAAAAAGAAGGTCCACGGTCGATGAAAACGTTTCTCGATCCGGATAAGGAACCTATAAAAATTCAGATTGCAACATTTCTCGAAGATCTTGAGGATGGTGGGTGAAAAAATGAAGATTTTTTTCCGACAGTGAAAGACACATTCGAATTGTTCTGGGTATAGGTCTCGACATTTACGCAGCCATGGGTCAACCGAGCTCTTCCAAAATACACGCCTGTCTATTTCTCAGCGTCGCCGATGGGTATGGGGGTCAAGGGATCGCGAAAGAATTGGTGGCCAATGGTAAGCAGTAGGGATTTTTGAATATTAAGGTTTTTTTCATATGAAAAATTTCTTGCTGAAATTTATTAGGTGAACGTGCAGCCAAAGCGATTACTGGAGTCACAATAGCAATGGTTCGCTATTTAGAAATCTGAGTATTATAAGTATTTCGAAAAATTCGTAATTTTTATGACTATGTTCATGGTTTCAGACCGACGTGACGTCTGCCTACAGCTACAAAGTGTATTTAAAATTAGGCTATAAAATGATCAAAGAAGTCGAATACATGTCTTATCAAGGTCACGATGGGGTTTACATCTTCAAAGGCGAGTCTATCCTTGAAAATCAGCATATTTTGTGAAAGCATGATCGAAAAAGTTCTTATTTTCATTTCAGGGAAGGAAAAAGAACTCGGAGTTCACACCCATGCCAGAGTCGTGGCGAAATTGTTGTGATGCATGTCGACGCGTTTTTAATTTACAAGTTTTAGAATGGAAATTACATATGTACATACATAATATGTATATTCAAAAGGATACGTTTTGTACACGAATTAGCAATAATAATTGTAACATGATGATACAATTTCACAGAAATCATTCCACCATATGTATGAAACTGTGTATTAACTATTTTATCATGTACATTACAATTTGAAATAGTAAATATTATGATAGAGTTGAAATGTATAATAAAATTTTAATGTGCCAAATAAATGCATAAGTATAAACAATGTGAGCCATTCTTCTACTTGTAAATACATAAGTGCATATCTATTTCAAGTTTTAAAATGAGGGTAACTCATACATTTCTATATTTCGGTGGAATCTGGATATTTTCAACATTTGGTAATTATTTTCTCTGGCCTTTTTCACATATCAGGCAATAATTATATACATTTCAAAATACATGCAGCCAACTATGATTTCGATCCATTCAGAATATGGGAAATCGGCGTGAATTCGGAAGCAAGACAGGATTTATTACAGTTTGACATGCTGGATGCTGAAGATATTTATGTGAAAAAGGTGAAAATTACATAAATTACTATAATTCAGGCGTAGGTGTAGGTCAGGTTTTAGCATTTATATAATTTTGATAATTCAGTGTGGCATCAAACTATAGAGAGACGTGAATTACAATGACTTTCTCATTCCTGTCAAACAAATTGAGGGTGTGCATAATCTACAGGACGATCAGCAAGGTAGCAAATTTACATATTAGATAAATCAACATCATATCACCAATTTTGAAATTCATCATGCTTTGCAGAAACCCCCACCTTGCAGAACTTACCACGCGTCCGTCACTTTCATAATTTTAGATAAATCATAAAATCTAAGGAAACTAAGTTACCGTTACCAAATTAATTTGTAATTATTTACAAATAAAAATTTGCCAATTTTACTTCAATTAGTTTGAACTAATCATTCATTCGGCCAAAGTTCATAATTAGGAATGGAATCCGAACTCGCGGAACTCAATGCTAACTTGAGCCGCTTGCAACTAAATTTTTTACCCAAATCCGACTTTATTACAGACGACTCTATTGACCCAACCGACCAAGAAATTGAAGTAGAACCACCACTCCCATTTTCCTACCCTGACACCTCCACCTCCAACCAAGAAGACATCATCGAACTTGAAGAGTTATTCCGCTCGAGACTTAACTCATCGCCACAACCCATCAAAATCACCACCACCACCTCCTCTTCCTCCGAAGAACCCTCAATGCCAGCTACCACCGCGGTCATCAAGCATAATCTCACTCAACCATCTTTCAAGCTGCGATACGCCTCCGACTGCACGCTATCCTTCACCCTTTGCTCCCCTCTCACCCCCCTCGGTCTCAAAAACATTTTCATTCAACACCAAACCCTCAAGTTTGCATATTTTCAAGCCGGAATAATTTCAGACCAGGTATGCTTTGACTTTCATGGGAGTCTCTGCCTCCCATTCCTCAAGAAAATCACCTTCCAAATCCCAGCATCACCCTCAGATCACACCGAAACTGGGCTTCCCCACGACTTTAAACGTCTCCTCCACCTCCTTCAACTCATTACTTATGGACGCCTGGAGTGTCTTCGGTTCGATTGTGATCCACTCACGGCAATCCGAATTCCACTCATTTCCGCCTTTCTACCCTCCTACGAACCTGAAGACTCTCATCCCTTGAGTGACCTCATCCTCAAAAATCGTGACACCCTTCACAGCATCGTAATTGGACCCACGCTGCAAGAAATGGTCATACGAACCAATCCTGCCCCTTGTCCGGGGGTTTGTGAGCCAGCAAACTACCCCAAAATTGAGAGCTTCACCTACTTTCCTGACGTCCCAATTCTTCCCTCCCTTTCACCCATTCTCAGAGTACAGAAACATTTGACCAAACTGATCGTCACGCTGAGCCATATCGATGTTTGGTATGACGTTTGTCATGCGATCAGATCCAGTTGCAACAATCTTGAGAGTTTTGGGTTCAATCTGGTCTCCCTTGATGAGGAAGCGGCCATAGTCGACTTGAAAATTCTCCGCGTTTGCGAAAAGCTGAAAGAGCTGAGTATTCAGTTTGAAGGGTGTAACGTTATCGGGTGGGGATTTATTCCCAGGACGGTTACTACGCTAAACTTTCTCGGGGGACAGTTGACCAATGCGAATACGGAACTCATGTCGTTAGCGTTGCCGAATTTGGAGGATGTGAACATGTTTTTGGCGAAGCCGGCACATCAAAAGAGTTGTGAGTGTGTGTACTTTATAAGTGAAATGGCCAGAAATTATTTAAAAATATTAATCTTTATCCTCAGCCAACACTTTGCCCTCAGACAATCTCGACGTTTCACGTGGTAGTGGATTAGACCCAGTTATCATCGACATTATTCATCACCCCGCATTCCACTTTGTCAAAGCTGCGCCCAGAAGTTTAAAGTCTTTCAATGTCGAATGTGACGTTGGGGTGGAGCTGAACTGGGAGGATTTGCGAAAAACTTGTGCATTTCAGAGAGAATTCAGACTCGTCGAGAGGTCAGAACTTGGAAATTTTTCCCTGGAGAGGGAAATGGAAAACGATGACCAAACCCAAGAGGGGGTACAAACAAATCAGGGAGAAAAACGTGGGAGCGGTGGGGAAGAGCAAAATTTAAGGGCATCGTCACTATTTTCTTCATGTTTGGGTGCTTTGGGACTGTAAATTTAAATCGAGGAAAACTTGCATCAAATCCTAAAGAAAGACACAAATCATTAAAATCATGCTATCATAATGTACATATATTCACTTGAGAAAAATATCAGTAATAAAAATTCTATGTAATTTTTACCCAATAAATGCCTCATTATTTGTAAACATGTCCAATATGTTATCAATCGAAATGCCCAAGTGCTCGTTACCATGAATTGACATCCCTATTTATGCTTATTATGTAGGAATATTTTGATTTGCACAATTGTTACAAATATCAACAACCCATAAATATTTGTATCTCTATTTCCGGACAATTCATTGAACACAATATGGTAATAGCTGACGTGGCTAATAAATCTTGACCTGGGCTGATTGACACAAGGGTGTCACAACATTTTGGAATATTTCTGAATTTATATCTTTCATGATGTGGCATACATTTAAAATTTATTTACTTATTTCGGGCTTGGTTGGTAAGAAGCTGTTTTTTCATAATTCATTTTCTTTTTTCATTATGTATGAATGCCTATTTTGATACATATAAATCACTTTAGCCCTAATCCTACCTGCTGGAGCCACCCCAATTAAAGCGACCAGCATGAGCATGAGCTCGACAAAACTGCCCCCAATGTACAAATCTTTTGCTGCGAGTGCAAACTCTGACCCCGACAACAATGCTGGCGAAAGTGGCGTCAAGGACCAACTCAGCAAACCATCACTGGCCGATTCTCCGACCAGTAATTCCCCCGAATTATCAGTGAAAGAACCATCAAAGAAATTCGAGCAGGAGTATTTATCCATAATGTCACATAATGACCAAAAGTCAAATCGAGGGTTCAGCGACAAATATTCTGTTCACGATAATTGTAAGAAACTTGTAAACAATATCCAAAGTGGGCTGTCTCTTATGTTACAAATTGCAATTTCAGGGCAACCAAACTTTACACCAACATATCCCCCAAATAATAAGAATATTCCTGCTAGCTTCCGTAACAATGGGCCATGGAGCAACAGTAATAATAAGAATAATGAAAGGATGGAAGATCAGAGGAGACGATTTGAGGACCATTCCGAGGTTCCTTGGGACGCGGACACTAGAAAATTAGGATTTGACCAACGCCCGTGGGAAGGTAGTGTCCCTACGTCCGACCATAATATGAATGGAACTTACTATTTCGGACCGTCAGGTTCAGGTCAGTTCTTAAAATGCGTACTAAATGAGATGAATGCAAAATTGCGTATTTCACACAGGAACCCCAGATTACAACAAGTGGGGAATACCGCCATCACTCCCTTCAGACCTTGCCCACAACGACCTTATCAATGGTGAGCGTGAGGTCAGCAATCATACTCCTCCAAAACACCAAAAATCTCTCATGGAACGGTATCGCGAGTTCCATCAGGGCGTCGGGAAAAATAAGATGCAAGGCAAAGAAGCTAAAGGGAAGCATAGTCCCAAAGGAAAGACGCCTTCTAATTCAATTTTCGACTCCTTGATTCCCATGAAGTTTAAGAAAAATAATGAAATTGGATTAGACGAGTTTATTCGACAAAGTTGGTGACCCATAATTGCTCATAATTACTTAAATATTTTGCATAATTTTTTCAAAATTAAAATTTAAGCAAAATTACTTTTTTATAGAGTTCAAGCCAAAACCTTCCAAGAAACCAAGTTCAAAAAGCTTCGGAGCTGGTAACAAAGTTCCCACTAAAAAACCAGGTAAGCTAAAATTAATCTCTTTCACTAATACATAATTAACAACGCGTAGTAAAAATATTCATTATCCAGGCAAGCATACTCCGAGCTCACCCTTATTCGACTCTGCCATCGAAAACCACAAAACTCTCTCTACCAAACATTTCCGGAAACCTGACAAAGTTCCCGCAACGATGCAACAGTTTCGAAAAACGATGATGGCTCAACACAAGTTTAAACATCAGCCTGAAAACTTACAGAGAAATACATACGCTCACAACATATTTGGAAATGGTCACAAGAAATCGGCTAAACTATCGGCAGCATCGCTGGTTAAACCGGGCGACCGAGAGCAGAAGTCGCTCCTCTCAAAGAAGAAGGAACTCATGGAACAAATAAAGAATCGTGGCATCCAGAGTGGAAACGCTAAAAGGATGAAGGCCTTTGGTGTTAAGGGTGCTGAAGACAAAGGTGTTATCAGAAATACGAGAACCCCCCTCATTGAGAAGAGGAATAACCTCGTGCAGATTTAGAGAAAACTGAATTTCTGTAGCGCATTTTATTTTTGAGATTTAAGAACTTAACTTATTTATGGCATTTGATGCGAAATCGAGAAATAAAATTTGTAATTGAACATTCACCCGTTAAATTATTACGAACATGAGACGAACTTAATGAACTATGGCTCATTTTATATTCATATAACATCACATAAAACTGTTATGTATGTAGTAAATGAGAATCACTGCTTATTTACTGCTTTAATGGCTTTTGTACTTAATACAATACAATACAAGGCAACATGAACAATTCATAATTATAGAACCAATCTAACCATACATACGATTAGTGACCGGGTTGTAGTGACTTACAGAACCTTGAACTGGAAACTCGTTCAAATTGAAAGTACCAAACAGTATGGTACTCTATAATATTATTATATTGCGATAATTTGTAAATTGATCTTACAAAGAGACAGTAAAACGAGTTTGATTGCATCTACAATTATGGAAAAACAGTCTTACACGATGATAAGGTTTATCATCCTGGTATTCGTTTTGATCAATAAAATCTTATCGTGCGACGCCGTTTTTGATGACGAGCTCCCAGGTTAGTTAACATTTTTGCAGTCGTCAACATCCCTAACTTTAATGGTGGGACATATTTATAACGTGTCTCACAATCGTCCTCAAGCCACTGGAGACACAATAATAATGGTAATTTGACCCATCGTAAAATAAATCAGTCTACACAATTTTTTATCGCAGAATTCTACTTTGGAGAGGCGTCTGCGATTCACCCGATGGGCCATTTTGAATCGACAGAGTTAGACGTACCATCGATGCATTGGCGTATGTGGGCATTATATACGTAAAATATGTACGTGGAAATTTAAAACTGTGCAAATCTAAATTTTTAGAGCATCCCAAACCTGGAGAAATCATGGAGTAATTAACGAATCCACATGCATAAATTTTTGAGTCTTTTATTACTTTTTCCATATAAAGACGTAGACAATCAGACTTTTATAAAATTACTCGTCACTCCCGGAAATATTCAATGGATAAAAAATATTACAAACACTGGAAATAATATATTTAACATAAAATAGCAGTCGTTTATATTGCGTTGAAAATAAATACGTATTTCACTATTATAAGATTGATTGCAGTCTGTTGAGTTGACGAAACAGTGTTGATTAGTACATACATGTTTACAGCGGTTAAACATTAATTACGCTACTTACTTATAAGGTCATTTCGATATTTGCATTACAGGAGATTATTTTTTTGTATTTAATAGTAGTATTGGTACGTTCCGATGAAGAAATACTATAAATTCAGGAACTTGGGTTCTTTTTGCATATTTTATCTTTATGGGATATTGCGTATGTATTTGTATAACAATAAACTTTTGACGAAACTGAAAACGTGTCAAAAGTTAAAAATAGCTTGTAAATATAATATAATGGGCCTCCTCAGACAGATCTCAAAAATTTCGCTTGCTTCGCTTGGTTAGAAATGTCGCTTACGTTAGCGAAGGTGCATCATCACCGTCACTCAAACAACCAATCAGAGCTCGCCATTCTAAGCGAGCCAAAATCTGGGGAAGCGAGGCTCTCGAGTAGAGTTAGTGTCGCTTACTTTTTCTCTCCTCATCTGCTGCTGTTGTGAATTTTAAAATTCGCGCACAGTCTCACCTTAACTGTTTGTCTCTCTTTGCTGTAGCAAATCTTTGGGCGAATTATTAAGCGAAAAGAGTTCAGTCAGATTTACTTCGCTAGTTCGCTTAATGCAGCGAAATTTTTAACCAAGCGAATCAAGCGAATTTTTTGAGATGTGACTGAGGAGCCCCAATATTTGAACACTATTGAAATGATTGGCCAAAAAACTGAAACACTGAAAACTTGGCAAAAATAATAGTAAATTTCGCAACCAACAAATATAAATTCTGAACTTATATTTACAAAAACGTCATAGATGATCATTTCGCAAATTAATTAGAAGATTTTGAAAAAACCTGAAACAAAAGTAAACCCTAAAATTAAATTCCGTTAGTAAAATAAGACACACACAAAAATTCAATATTGGGGCTCCTCAGACACATCTCAAAAAATTCGCTTGATTCGCTTGGTTAAAAATTTCGCTCCATTAAGCGAACTAGCGAAGCAACTCTGACTGAACTCTTTTCGCTTAATAATTCGCCCCAGAATTTGCTACAGTCAAGAGAGATAAACAGACAAAGTGAGACTGTGCGCGAATTTTAAAATTTACAGCAGCAGACGAGGAGCAAAAAAGTTAGCGACACTAACTCTACTCTGGAGCCTCGCTTCCCCAGATTTTCGCTCGCTTAGAATGGCGAGCTCTGATTGGTTGTTCGAGTGACGGTGATGATGCACCTTCGCTTACACAAGCGAAATTTCTAACCAAGCGAAGCAAGCGAAATTTTTGAGAACTGTCTGAGGAGGCCCATTATAAATTATAATAGCCAGCAAAGCGCAATTTCCTCACAGTTTAGAAAGTTTTTAAGGCCGATTAGGGCAAAATCATGCATACAAATATTTTACGATTTCAGAATCACTGAAATTAGCAATCGAAGAAATAGAAATAGTCCAAAAGCTTCAAAAAATGTCACAAAAAACGACACATCGTGAACTAGGTGAAAGTCAGAGGACAGATAGCTCGAAAATAAACCCCCACCACTTTTAGCAGGCTTCTTAATTAATTATTTGAAGTATCCATCTTTCCCCAAAGTAGGATTTGGAAAGCCACCTTTATTGTCCTGGCTGGTTTTCTGAGTGGGTGTGACTCCACCCACTCCTACCCCAGAGGAAGACATCCCCGCGGCTCCCTGCTCTCCATCTGCCATGTTTTGAGCCTGCTCCTGTTGTTGTTGCTTCCTCAAATTCCACTAATTAAGGTAAAAGTTATAGAATAATTAGTGATTTTGATATGTTTATCTAAGTCATGTATCTTCCTATTTTGATTCATTTTATAACAAACTATCTCAATTTGACGACTCGTGTCTCGTAGCATTTAGCATAATTTCTTGCGTCATGAAATTGAAATTGATGTCCAGGGCTGAAAACCAGCACTTGTGCTGACGCTCGTACGACACCGTTAATAAAAACTTATATCAATCAATCAATCAATTATTTTTTTGTACCTGTTCTCTAAGGGCTATGAAAAATGGAAAAAGAGACTGTTGCGGTTTAGGGACGTGGAAAGACGTCGATGAAGTGTAGCGATTACTGCGGTTATCATTCATTTCGGTACAAATTCGGAATTCCTGAAGAAAATAAGTAAAACCTTCAATTAACCCCCTACTTGTATGATTCTAGCCTTCTGGACCAATCTTTTTTTCGCGTTTTTTGCACGTTTCAGAGCATTCTAAAACTTTTATTTTTTCACTAAAAAAAAACTTAGAAAAATTTTCGAAAATTTTTTTCGTCGAAATTCTACCCTCCGTATCGTTCTTTTTTTAGGGTCAGAGTAAGGCAGATGGTGCGCGATGTTGCCTCCCATTGTATCCTCACTATGTTGCCTCCCATGTTGCCTCACTATATTTCCTCCCCGTGTTGCCTCCCATTGTTTCCTCACCATGTTGCCTCCCGTATTTCCTCCCTATGTTGCCTCACAATGTTTCCTAGGACTGCTAGCTAGGACTGCTAGCTAGGACTGCTAGCTAGGACTGCTAGCTAGGACTGCAAGCTAGGATTGCTAGCTAGGATTGCTAGCTAGGATTGCTAGCTAGGACTGCTAGCTAGGATTGCTAACTAGGACTGCTAGCTAGGATTGCTAGCTAGGATTGCTAGCTAGGATTGCTAGCTAGGAATGCTAGCTCGGACTGCTAGCTAGGACTGCAAGCTAGGATTGCTAGCTAGGATTGCTAGCTAGGATTGCTAGCTAGGACTGCTAGCTAGGATTGCTAACTAGGATTGCTAGCTAGGAATGCTAGCTCGGACTGCTAGCTAGGACTGCAAGCTAGGATTGCTAGCTAGGACTGCAAGCTAGGATTGCTAGCTAGGATTGCTAGCTAGGATTGCTAGCTAGGACTGCTAGCTAGGATTGCTAACTAGGATAGCAACGCTTCCCACGTACCTAGTTGATCTAACCTAACCTGCTCGGTTCGCTCGCTTAAATACGAACAATACCCCAATATGGGGCATAATTACGATAATAGTTGACACACTTTTCCCCAATAATCTAGCAATGCCCAATAAATTTGCCGTATTGGTTGGGCATTGCTAGACTATTGGGGAAAAGTGTGTCAACTAATATCGTAATTATGCCCCATATTGGGGTATTGTTCGTATTTAAGCGAGCGAACCGAGCAGGTTAGGTTAGATCAACTAGGTACGCGGGAAGCGTTTCTATCCTAGTTAGAAATCCTAGCTAGCAGTCCTAGCTAGCAATCCTAGCTAGCAGTCCTAGCTAGCAATCCTAGCTAGCAGTCCTAGCTAGCAATCCTAGCTAGCAGTCCTAGCTAGCAATCCTAGCTAGCAGTCCTAGCTAGCAATCCTAGCTAGCAGTCCTAGCTAGAAATCCTAGCTAGCAATCCTAGCTAGCAATCCTAGCTAGCAGTCCTAGCTAGCAATCCTAGCTAGCAGTCCTAGCTAGCAGTCCTAGCTAGCAGTCCTAGGAAACATTGTGAGGCAACATGGGGAGGAAATACGGGAGGCAACATGGAGAGGAAATATAGTGAGGCAACATGGGAGGCAACACAGTGAGGCAACATGGGAGGCAACACAGTGAGGCAACATGGGAGGCAACATAGTGAGGCAACATTGTGAGGATACAATGGGAGGCAACATCGCGCACCATCTGCCTTACTCTGACCTTTTTTAGCGAACGAAGCGAGCAGGTTAGGTTAAATTTGCGTACCCGTGTGTCCTAGAGCGTACCGTGTGTCCTAGAAATTTGCGAAAAGTCTTAGAATGTTCTGAAACGTGCAAAAATGCAATAAAAAAGTGGTCCAGAAGGATAGAATCTTTCAAGGGTGGAAGGATTCTACCCTTCTGGACCACAAAAAAGGTGGTCCAGGAGGCTAGACCTCAACCCACTACTTTCCAAACACTCTTCATATAACTTTGACAGACGAAGTATACAAACATATATACGTCAAAATACAAATGTCAACAACCTCATACATTCCTTCCTCTCCCATTATCCCTTTACTTTTCGAACTTAAAGATAACCCTCAATTATCAACCTTATCTAAAAACCCACCTTAATTCAGCTGTGTCTTATTTACTTTTCTGCGTCTCTGTTGTTGTTTTTTAATAGATGTTGCAACCAACTGCGTTACAGGATGAAGGAAAATGAGGTCTGTACTGCCTCAAGTCAAATACGGAACTGATCCAACAACTGTGAAGCAACGCAACCTAAATAGCCGTGGATTCTACTTTTTGTGAATGTATAGATTTTGACAGAGTGTAGCTACACTAAATCCGTTACGTTCTTCCCGAGAAAGTTACATGCATATAGTCAGTTGTACAACAAAGAGGGACGGATGGCGTGGCTTATTTGGGGGAGACGTGGTTAAAAATCCGTACTGTTCCGGGTAAGCAAATGGAAAATTCAGCAAGAGTATAGCCCAATTCCTGTCGAAATACTCAGAAGTTCTGAGTCAGAACGATGTATCTTCTATGACCACCAGCTAAACATAACCCGACCGTTCTTTTCTTATGAATCGGTCGGTGGTGCAACAAGCAGCGGCCATAATGCAACTTTCGTGCTGCACGTAGCCAAATTTCTCTATTTATCATGAGAGGCCTATTGTTTAACATGTATGAAAAACAAGGTTGATATTGATGGTTTGGTGTCCGACTTCAGAATTACGAGAAGCGAGGAGTTAATAATAATAAAAAAAATTGTATGAAATGCGACGCGAGGACGCATTTTTACGGGAAGGGAATGGTTCACCTCGGGTTTCTCATGAAGTGAGTGACTCAAATTCTGCCCGTGCAAAAATGAACTTGTACATATGGATAAGGATGGGCAAGTTTTGCAAATTGTAGCAAAATTTATTTATTATGCAGAGGTTTGATTATAAGTGCAAATCATGGAGAATGAGTGATAACTGAGGTTTGACTTTTAACTGGGTTTGAATGTCAAACATGTGTATAAACTTGTCAGATATCAACTGGATAAATGCGGAGAGAGCTATTTATTATTTTCTTACCTTGGCTTTTTTAGTAGTGGTAGTGCAAAATGCGTATTATTTCAGTATTTGTTTACTATCTTATTGACTTGTGCTTGTCCTGAGAAATTTTCCTTGCAAATGGTAGTTTTTTATATGGCTGTATGTCTGTAGGTAGGTGATGAATTCTGGTCTACATTTGCAATGGGCTTTGCATGGGGTTTGCTTTATATGGTTGTTTGGAGCAGTGAATTCATGCTTTGAGTCACGTACATTCATGAAAATGAAACCTAAATATTTCTCCTTATTATTATTATTTATCACAATTACACTGAAATTAATTAGATTAAATATCGATGCAAATGAGTATAACACTTCACTTCTGGGTCGTATAAATGAAGAATATTATTGATGGATGATTAGTCTCTTTTATGTATAAGGTTTATTTGCAAATGCAATTTATATAGATAGACGAAAATTTTACTTTAAGATTAAAGAAATAATTGCATGAGCCCAACTAAAATTGCAGTTTAATTTGATTTGTGTGGCCAAACAGCCTACTGAAGATAGATACGTATGTATAGAAGTACTTCTATATATGTCAGTATATGCATTGTGCATATCGGTGGGCATATGTATATGATACATATATTTGTATGCACTCCACTTGTTAGGTTAATGATCTTTAAACCAATATTAATTGGTTTAAATAAGGTATGGTCGGAAATCGGAAATGAAAGAAACATTTGAAAAAATTCCAGTAAAATCCGAAAACCTTAATTAATTCGAAAGAAATTTTCAGGGGTAATAAACAAGGTCTCTACCATTCCATTTTTTGCTTGATACGGGCCATAGACCCGGGTCTATGTTTTTAACAAAGATAAACAGCCTTCGGAATGATGAAATGAAGTTTATAAATTATACACCTGTCTGTAATTTCTAGCTGATTACCAATATGTAAAAAGCGATGCAAACATTTGCCATTTTTTCCAATTGCGAAATTCTGCAAAATTTTCTAAATTTGAATTTTGTCATTTTTTGAAATTTCAGCAAAATTTAAATGTTAAACTTCTTTTAAGCATTACAAAAAAGTTTTCAAAACCCAATTTTTCCTTACTACAACACGATGGACCTAAATTTTCAAAAATTTAAATTCACAATTTTTCATGAAAAAAGATAACACGACCAATGATAGTCTATTTAACGTGTTATTCAAACTTGTTGGCTAAATTTATTTTTGCAAGTTGTAAAAAATTCTGGAAATTTGTATCGTTAGTTTGTAATATGCTTAATAAAATAACTTTTCCATACCTCGTTCGACATTTTAAGGTTTTTGGAAAACTGGAAAAATGTTCATCTCGGAGGGACCCCATAGGGTCCCTCCACTATGGCATATATATAGAGGGCTTAAATATAGGGCGCCCTATATTTAGATTATCTAAGAGTAAAGCGTACACAAACAGTAAACGGTCAACAGTATGAAAAATTATTGTCCATAACATATGAAAGTATAAGTCATGATCAAAAGTAAAAAAAAAGCACGAATTAGTCATAATTCCAGGTAGTAGCAACTGGGTTGATGCTTATTTTCGCTAATAAGTTGAAATTGACCAATATAATGCCTTTAAAATAAAAATCTGTCTTTATTTATAAAATACGCCTTTGGTTAACAACTTTTTCCTCCAGCCAGCTAACTGTCCAAATTCTTCAAGGCTCATCTTAAATTTGTCCTGTAAAATATTATTATTAGATGATGATTATGTATTAGAACTTAATAATTAATGTGACTCACCTCTACGATATCTTTCCCTAAGCACGTCCCCACCTCCCCCATTGGATAAAAATCTTTAAAAATTCTAAAATCAAACTCTCTCTCCAACTTGCCCTCCCCAGAATCTAAGTCCTTCAAAAACTTTATCAAATAACTCCCCGTGTAACAAAAATACTCTTGGAAATAATCTTCCAAACTGAAAGCTACGAAAAAATCGTCAAAATCTAGTTCCTGTAATGCAAATAAAATACTTTTCCTCTCAACAAACGAGTCTGTGGATAAAATTAAACAATTTCGTAAATCCCCGATAATAAAATAGTTCAAGTTCCTATTTAATTTTACAATTTTGAAATCTAAAAGTTCATAAATACGTAGTAAGGAGTGTTTCAGGGTTATTTTGTAAATTTGTTTGTGAACATTTCTAACCAGGAGTGCGTCAGGAACCAGTCTTTCCAATTCACCGTCAAAATACTCTCCATCTTCATAAAACTCATCAACTTCTGTGTATAAACTAACCCCCTCGTGTATCTTTCGCTCAAAAATATCAGAATTTATTCCTCTAAAAAACTTTGCCCCTCCCACTAACTCTAAAAATATGCCAGGTTCACTCCCTTCCTCCACACTTACCTTTTCCCCTTCAGAACTTATAGTAATGCCAAAAACGGACTCAAAATTTCCTTTTAACGAAAATAAGGTTGACAATCGTCCCCTGTCCAGCGGATTACACTTTGACCCATACCAACAGAACCAACATGTCCTTTCTCTGCCCTCTGTAGTACTGCTGGGTTGAGATTTGACCAACCGGTGGGTCGTATAAGTTAACCGGTATGTCCAGTGGATCAAGTAACAATCTGTAGTGTAAAAGGTCAATAGGTCAAAGTCAGTGGTGGTGACATTTAAGGTAATTTTAGTCTTTGTAAGCGTGATTGTGCTTGTTGAGATTGATCTTCCCATTGTGGGATCATCTGAAGTGATATTGGTCAGATTGTTAAAGGGGATTGAGTCGAGTGTGAGTTGGGTTTCCCAAATGCTCGAGATTTCAGAAGTGGTAGAAATAGATGTGCTGTGATTGGTTCGGCCACCACGTGATGATTTCGGTTTCTTGCCAATTTTACTGTTAAACTTGGTTCGAAATTCGATCGGCTCTAAGTTTTTCTTTATTTTTTTGAAGGTTAAGTACTTTTCAGATCGAAAGACTTCAAGTGTCGCTTCGGGTAGGTTTGCTTTCTGGAGTGGGTCTGTATAAAAGTAAAGTTCGGTTCCAAAATCAAATATTCGAGGACCCTACGTAAATTAAGTCCGATTAAATATTTTGCATATGTATAGTCCTCAGTAAATAGTAAATTAGTAATCGATAATAGCGTCACCTTCACTTCTGTCAACTCCCACTCCATTTCCGCGCCCACCCACCCCGCTCCATCCCACTCGTACATTTTGATAAGTACCTCATTCTCATACCGTAAATCCCCCTCGTCTCCTGGATCCCCTTCATCCAGCTCATCCTCTTCTCCACCTCCTCCTGCAGGGGGGAACTCCTTAAGGAATGCCCTCCAATTACTCCCTTGGTAATAAACGCGACACGCTTTCTCCCCAAAATACACGAAAAATTCGTCACATTTGGTTTTTTCCAACAAATTGGCATACTCGCCATAAAAACAGTACACAGTATCCTCAGTTCTTAACACAAAACAGTCATGATTAGACAAGTTGGACACTTTGATCTCAATTTGAATCGGAATTGGTCGCTTCCTGCCCTTAATTTTGTACAATTTTTTCGTCTCCTTCTTTATCTGGGGAGTTTTAAGCGGAATGTTGTACGAGCAGGTAGACTGAAGCGCCTTTGCGACCACTGTCGTCGTTGATTGTTTTTCCGCTATCACCTTTTTAACTGGTTTCCTCGGTCGGGCAAAGCAGTAAGTCTTGGAAACCGGGAGAGGATTGATTATCGGAATTTCAACATCCAAATCAATTTCAACCCGTTCAGAATCTTGTACTTCTTTTGGAAAGAATGATTTAAAATGAGAATCATTCGGATTGTACGAGTGGGGGAGGTAGAACGATTCATGTTCGATAACAACAGGTGGTTTATCCTTATCTGACTTAAACTCTTGTATGGAAATCTTATCTCGTTGCAGTTTTCCATTCACGGTGAACAAATGTGCATCTTTTTGACCTACCCGAGCCTTCCAAGTCGTCTGAAAAACAAATTGCAAAGCTGATTTAAATAAATACAGATCAATTTTCCTTACATATGTCAACAAATTGTCTCTGCTTATTGGGAATCGATTTAAACTATTCTGACTGTGACCATTGTAACTTTTAAAATTCAAACCTGGGAGGTTGTAAGGAGGGTTTTGACCGTTGAAAGCGTAGCTGGGGAGGAGGAATCTTGTGGCTAGAAAGTAAATTTTATTTAAAGAAAAAATAAAATAAGTAGACCTTAAAAATCTTGATTTCTTATAATTTTTCCTACCTTTTCCACCCGTTCTTTCCAACTAAGGGAATTTTTCTGTAATTCCGCAATACGGTCTTGAAGCGACATTTTTTAGTTTAAAAAAATGGAGATCTTTCTTTGTGGAGGAATGTTGTCGTTAGTGCTTTTTTGGACTGTAAACACTCGCCTTGTTTGCAGTCTGTAGCAGCAGAGAGATTATGGGGATTTGAGAGTGAAAGGAAAAACATTGGGCTTGCTTTGTGCCATACGAAGTGTGGTTAGCACCCAAAATATGGCAGTGAATTAATTTGCATAAAGAGATGTTTTTTGCCAAGATTTTAAGATTGGGACGTGTTTCAGAATTTTGCAAAGTTATTTATTTATTTCGGAGAACAGGACAAATCAGCACAAATTGATTGATACCGTTTACTGATGTGTAATGTGATATCGTTCTAGTCATGTTCTTTTTTTACTCGAGAATGTGATTGTATAATCAATTTACGGAATAAAAAAAGAGAACAATACTGATTAACGACAACATAATGTGGTTTGATTTGAGTTGGTTGGTTGGTTTAGTTTGTATGGGTCTAATTTTAGCTGTCAGCGTCAATAAAATATTCTTTTATGCATGGTACGATGTTCTAAAAAGTAAAAAGCATGGCCTAATTTATCAATTAAAGTACAATGAGTCTAGTAAATAATTCCACTTTGCACAAGTGGTCGGGGACGAAATTAAAGCTGTGTTAAAAAGTTTGCATGCAAAAGAATGCAAACAATCGTTGCTACTTTTTCTACATAAGTAAACATCGAATAGTTCTTGTTCTTGATGCATGAATTCGCATACGACGAATTTTATGTAAAAAATGTAGTTTATTGTACTTGTTCCGTGTCTCACGATCTGATGTTGATACATAAATATATGACGTATCGTTATACATTTATAACCATTTTAAAGCCTACCATTTACCATTTAGTTCATGTTTGCAAAAATAAAAATTTCACCTTGAATTATTCAGTTCCAATTATTATTCAAACATAATGAAACCTTCACCTCTAAATTTCTAACCAAACCAAAGTTCAATAGGTACATAATGTGCATGAAAAAAAGTTTCGAAACTTCCTGCCTGATTTGATTATTAAAATTATTTATCATGTCATCAATGTTTAAAACGTCAATCATAAAATTATACATCAATGAATAAAATTTGTCATCCTCCTTTGCATAATTGTTTTTTTGTGAACATCCCTCTTCGCCAAGATAATCAATAGCAAAAAATGCCCTAATTGATTAGTGCTATATCATAATTATTATGTCACGTACATAAATATAAAGACGTCACTGTCCAACAAAATGGGATATGATTAGAAGAAGTTGATTTTCCTTGCAAACTTTCTATTTACCAATTGGCCATAAATAGCACTCGAATCAATATTCAGAGACAAATGAACGGAAGTAGTTTGTATTTCAATTTTCAAATCTTCATAGTCGACGCGAGACGCGACCATTTTTCATCGTTATTAGGTACTAAATTACACATACTATTTGATTATAGCACGTGCTTAGAAATTATGGATTTACAAACAAGTAAATTAATAATCAAATGGAAATTGTTATTCAATTTTTTAATAACAGTTTAATTAATGCTGGACATTTAAGTACATATATGCATAACGAAATGATTTCTTCTTCCCATTGTTTGCATACATACATATTTAAGCGAAATGATAATGCCAATCATAAATCTCAAAAATGATTCCGACTGACAAGTTCACGATTTTTGCTTTAATCAACAATTAACTCACACCAATTTCATCAATGAGGAAGAAACCGGTTAATTTGTGGTTGAAATTGAATAGTTTTTTGCAAAGGTTTCGGTAACATTTGTGCTTATCTCATATCTTCCGCTTTTAATAAATTCTTCCTTTTTGTCCACCAATTCAAGTTATATCATACTTACCAAAACTATTGCAGACAAGATTGCAAACAAGATATGACTTTGAATACAAATTACAACATCGCTTTACTATTTAATTTGCATACCAAATACTACTGGGCAATGCGACTACGCCTGCTACTAATATTGTTATTTAACATATAGAGAAAAAAACTTTCTATGAAAAAATCATACTTACCAAACGGAAGGAAATAATAGCACGTGTCTATTTCTTTGTATAAAAACTTGGGCGTTGAAAGCATTTACCTTTTTGTAAGATCTGAGCTATTTTAGCTGAAGGTTGTTTCTGAAGAGTGTAAAAAATGAAGGAATTTGTAGGATTTTTGGTAGTTTTTTTCGGGTGTCTTTTCCCTTTTGTTTTTACAGTGGTACATCAATACGACATGGTCACGATTTACATGAATTCTGAGTGTCAAGGTGAGACATATTTATATTCATATACATATTTTTTTACACTTATGTAACTTACCATACTTAATTTCTATCAAGGTGCCGAGTACAAACTGATGGTTGACCGTGGTCGTTGTATTGACCTTCCAAACTGGATTTCCATGCGACAATGGGACATGTCCATGAATCCAGAGGGATACTGCCTCCGTATGTTTGAAACCAACAATTGCAAAGTTTCCATCATGAGGGGAACAAAACGGCCGAAAGAGTTTAATAAATGTAGAAATCCTCGTCAAATGGGGATGGGATCGTTCAAGTCTTTTATAATTGTGCCATGTTAATTATAGGTTAATTGTTGTGACATTAAAAGTGATCTCTAATTTTTTTGTGAACTGGAAACTTGCAAACTCTAAATATATATTAAAGCACAAAAGTAGACCATTGCAATTTGCTCTAATTTTCCAGAGGTCTTAATTTATTTTATCGACATCCTGAAACTTCCCAGAATTTGGCACCTTTCACTACGTACGCATTTTTTAACTAACCTTAATTAATGAGAGCGTGTACCTTGGTTTATATGAGTTACACCACAATAATGACTCATCCTCTGTCATGAATACCAAGTACAACTGCATTTTCGTCATCCATGCGATCTCTTTCTCATTCGGGGGATTTTCTCATTTCTCATGACATGAAATACAGATTTACAAGTACTTTTTTATGTACTTCCTGCTAACTAGGTACAATACATGCAAACGTTATAATTTTAGTGTAAGAAAGATGGGACAAAGATTCATCAAATAACCACCGAAAGCAACATTGTGTGTTCGTCACTCGGATCGTGAACTCGAAGCAGCAAACAAAAGTAAATCAATAACAAAACATTGCGACTCATTCTCATGTGGAGTGGACTCAGCCATCATTCTGAAGTTCGTCATATTTTTCGTCAGTCACGAAAATTACGGTAAGTCATACTTTTTACGTCAATAATTAAACTAGATCCGAACCAAATACGGAACAAGTGGTACTTGTGATGTGGTAGGATTCATCACTGTATTGTATTTAGATTGCCTATTGACCTAAAGTTGAAAATCGGTGGTGGGTAGGTAATAAACTAAAAAGCAAATATTTGTCGCCAATCGTAAAATGGGCGTCAACGCGAACTGAAATTCAGGTCTTCGTGTCATTGTCATCCATCCTGTTTCTTGTCACTTGCTAATTATATTTGTGCGTGTTTTTTTATTTATTTTATGCAACTCTAAATAACTGTTCCTTCCTTCCTTGTCCTTGTCTTATTTCCTCTTCCTCTATTGTCAATTGTTAAGAATTCGGTGATATGTTTTGCTTGCGTAGAATAGGGGAGGATTTTTCGTAGGCGATTTTATTCGCGATGGGAAAAAGTAGGTTAGCAAATATTAGCATTGAAATTACATGCAAAATAGATGATGCTGCTGAGCACATTTGCCATATATTACCAATTACCATATCACACGCGAGATGTTTCGGTTTTTATACGAGTACTTTTTCATCGTGATCGGCCGAGATACTCCAATGCATTTAGTTTAGCGTTTGTTCTATTGTCGTAGTCATTATGCACGTTGTTAATAATCTTATATGTATGTAATGTATGGTCGATCTGTACATTTGCATATTGCTGAACCGTTTACATTACAACATTGACGGCATATACGTATTTACGTATGTACGTTAATACCGTTCGGTGCGTGTCATGTGATGCAGATAAGGTCTGTTTGTATTCTACTATTATTCTGCCTGGTGAATCATTTCTTTGATACGATGCTACTGAACTTTAGTACCTGACTGACTGAACGAAGTTGTAACTTATAATAATTTATAAGTGGTTCCCTTCCGTTTAAAAAACTAGCAGAAGTACATAGCATTCCATTATAACTGGTTTTAAGAAATACGTTATAGTTTTCAGTTATTGTTTGCCATTCTCTCTCGGTGCATTGTTGTGAAAGAGTTTCATTCAAGGGCAAACAATTAATTTACAATTTGTGAATGAATCATAATTGAATTGTAAGTATCGATCTATAATCGTGTAGCTACGTAGAATAGTTTTATTCCGTGGACAAAATTAGAATTGCGTTATTTTTGCTTTTGCAGATCTTTTTGTGTCCTTATAAATCTCAGTGATAATTAAATTTTGATCCAAGATGTCGATGTATCCCAGCTTGGAGGATATGCAGACCACTGAGCTTATCAAGGTAGGTACATATAAGTTGTTAAAATACAGTAGAATATTTAATTAACTGAGAAATTAATTGCATTTTTGTCACTTGTTTTAGGCTCAGGTGGATGCCATACGATCTACGCAACAACATAACGCCATGCCATCATACCCTGCCCAAGATTATGGCGCTCCATCCGCACCAGTTTTGACCCTGAGCAGAAATGGAGGAAGTGCTACATACAGCAACGCCATGGCATATCCTTCTCTCAGAGATTTTATGGGAATGGAGTTGACCGAGGAGATGATTCGTCTGAATATGCCAGAATATGGTGCAGTTGCTGTTTCACAACCAAATTCCAGTAAGCAATTGTTTTCAGAAATCTTTTTGAGTCAAATAAATTGTAATCAAAAAATGTAATTATTTGTGCAGTTGTACAACACAACAATGCTGGAGTTGGAGTAATTGCTCCAGTTTCTGGAACAAATTCAGCCGTCGTCAAGTCGATGGTAACTCACGGCGTTCGTAGAGCAGTGGTCAGGAAAGATGCAGCTGGAAAAGTTGGACTTCGGGTACGTATAATTTTATTACTTAATAACTAAATTTAGTTTTTACAGTGTATCTATACCGTACTGATATGTGTTACAGGTACGCGCAATGAATACTGGCGTTTTTGCTTGTCTCGTAATGGATGGAACTCCAGCAGCTAAGGCCGGAATTCGATTTGGAGATCAAATTTTACAAATCGACGGTCAAGACATGGCAGGTTTATCAGTTGAAAAGGTGCATAAAATCTTTAAGGGTAAAAATCCTGGAGATTCGTTTGAGCTTGCTGTTCGTGACCGGTGATTTAAAAAATACCTACAATTATACCATTAGAAATCATTCATTTAACGTTGTTCAATTTTTCTAATCAATAATAAATTTTAATTAGGCCATTCGAAAGGTCAGTCTGTCTCGTCAGAGATTCGTCGGGTTGCATCGGATTCCAATTCCGTCACGGAGAAATCATCAACATTGTTAAGGACTCTTCTGCAGCGAGAAACGGACTCCTTACGCAACACAATTTGCTCGAAATTAATGGGAAAAATGTCATTGGATTGAAGGACAAGGAAATTTCCAAAGTTATTCAAGCTACGCCTGGCAGCGCCCTGAACGTCACGATTATGCCGAGTTTCCTTTATGGCCACATGGTAAAGCAAATACAATGCTAACAAGATCTTGTCTACCTACATATTTAAAATTTAAATTCTGTTTATTCAAATGTTAAGGTTAAGCAAATGGATGGGTCACTCTTTGGGAAAATGGATCACTTGTCTCCAGAATTCTAAGAAATTGAAATTACTACGAATGGACGGAATGCAAAACAATGAATACAGCTTACATTTTTTGACAAGATTTTAGCTCTCTGTCTATCCTTCGTTCTCGTTACCATAAACTATTAGTCAATTTTCGACTTTCGAGTATCATTCCAAACTATGCACTATGATAGTTATTACTATTACTACTAGTTATATATTCGTTCCTACATAATTTCAGTACAATCAATTATATCTCTATTATCCAACCATATTCCAAAATTCCAATTGAGAGTAGTTATAGCCCTTTGAATTTTTGTCTGCCATATTATCAAGGTCGGGCTTTTAATGTTACAAACTTCTTTAAGGAATGAACGATATGCAATATTATTATACAAATCGATATGTGTATTTTATGAATAAGTTCGTTTGCGCATTATTACTGAACGTATACATACTTATATGTGACGAAAGCAACTAGATTAGCCATGAAACGTACTATATTGCAAGTTGCCTATTGTTTTTGGTACATGATTTGAAAATAGTCAATGATTTATTATTATATTTATGAAAAAAATGAATAAACAAATTTTAAATGTAAAATACATGTATGTAGATAAATAAGATCTTGTTTTCATTATATTTATATTAGTGATTTTTACATTGCTTCTGAATGGAGTGGTGTTGTGATTGTGATTGGCGAAAGGGGTATAATTTTATCCTCGAGATATCTCAGTCGAGTTTCTAATTTGAATTCTTCAAGTTTATTCAGAGCTACCATTTGTCGTAGACGAGAGACGTTCATCTGTAAAAAATAATAATTCAAATTAATAGATACCAACACAATATGAATTATGTAATTAAAATCAGCACGATAGAATAAAAATTTACATGAAGAGCTTCGTTTTCAGCTTTAACTGCTTTCCAGACTGCAACGCATTTTTCCATATCACAATCCTCAAAGTTATTCTCAGTTCTTACAGAAAAATAAAAATATATGATGAATTATTATTAATCCTAGCACTTTGTACTCATCGATAGTAATGTAAATATAGTTTATTATTACTTGTTTGTGTCGTTGGTAATTCGAATACTTTCCAACTCTTCAATCATAACCTCCAAGTCGCTCTCCTCCCTCATAATCTCCTCTTGAACGGCTTTATTAAAGAGGGCAAGTTGATCATTTTCATACGAAATATACTCTGCAGTTTCAAATTCGGGAAGGCACATTAGCTCTGGGATAAGGTCTTCGATGTAACTTTCGGGCCCTTCGTCATCCTCGTCACGAATCAATTCAACATCAGAGGAATCATTATTTTGCTCGCCAAAAGTCGGTTCGGATTTTGACACTGTAGCCTTTCTGATGCGACCTTTGGATAACTTTTGGCCGAATACTAGAGCAGCCTCTTCCAGCTCTTCGTGCATTGAGCCGAGCAGCATTGCGTTAGCATCGTCCAGTACACTTACAATGTTCTCTTCAATCCTGGGAAAATAATTAGTAATTATAATATAAGCTTAGGATAATTTATTAATTATGTATGTGGCTACCTAGAAGGCAATGCTTCATCGTCATCTTCCTCACTTTTTGCTACAGAAGAATCATCATCCGCGTCTCCATCATTAATCACATCGTCGTCATCATCCTCTTTACTTTCTTGGTGAACAATTACGTGCACTTGGACCTGTTCATGTTGCACAATAACTGTTGGAGATTCTTCTATTGGTTTCACTTCGGGATCAACTACCATTGCTTTTCTTTCTTGCTCTTCTTCAACAACACAAATGTCTTTAGAACAACAGTTTGAGATACTTGTAGGGTGCTTCTTATTGTCGACGACAATTTCTGAAAAGTCGAGAGATCGACGAGCAGATTTCCGGACCTGGGAGGCAGGAGGAGGAATCACAACAACAATGTCTTCAACAGGCTCATCATCATCATCAGTCAACTTTCTAGGACGATCCGTCGTAGTAATGGTATTAATACTAGTGGAGTCTTCTAGTACACTGGTAATATCTTTTCTAATGATGGCACAACTTTCAGAAGTCGTGGGGGATTTTAACTTTGGAGGAGATTCATTCCTTGTTACGGTTGCAATGATTTCTGGGGGCTGTTGGGGCAATTTATCACAAGCTTTTTCTAAATGATTGGGTATTGTCGAGTTTGAGTTGGCTGGTGCTACTGCATTATTAGGAGATCCCGATATGGGCGGAATAGTGTTGTTTGATATGGGACTAGATTTACTATTCGCACTTTCAACGGTACTTTCAGATCCAATGTCAGAAACACTGCAATTGGGAGGTCCGGCAGATGGATGATGATTTATGGAGGCAGTAGACAATGCATTTATCGATCTCAATTTCCTCTGCAAATTAATGTCGAAATATTTATATGAGGGAACTACTGATTAGTATAGCCCTCGAAATATGCATATTTATATGTATCACCTTCAGAGCAGTTAGTGTCCGTTGTAGTTCCCACAATTGTTCTTCTTGCTTTGCTTCCTGCTTCTTGGAAACTTTCTTGCTCGATTTCATTTGTGTGTGAGTTTGTTCTAAAAGTTGCTCATATTTTCGGATTTCCTTCCCCAAAGAGTCAGGATCTTCCGGAAATTGATGTGACACTGAGACATGCAATTCTCCTTTTTCACTAGAAATTAAAAACATACAATTTAGAAAATTTTATTGTGTTTAACCATCCAACCAGAAAAGTACACTTACTGCGGATCATCCAAAGAATTCTTGGATCTCATTAATTTCAACTTCACTTTCGCCACGCCACTCGCGTATTCCTTTTTGTCCTTGTGCTCCTTGTCCTTAATCTTTTCTTCTTTGTCCTTCTTGTGCACTTTCTCCTTCTCCTTTTTGGGTTCCTTCTCCTTCTTGTCTTTTGCCTTCTTTTTTTGGAGGAACAGGGGAGCTGGGGCGTTTAAGAATGCGTTGAGGGCCGAAGAGGACGACCTTTCCTTCTCCACGTGGGGAACTGGGGAATTGTCAGCAGTTTCGGACTTATCTTTTCCTGTTTTTGGTGTGGAAGTGAAGAAGGCGGCAGGGACACTGGATCTAAATACATAGTACAGAACAGGGAAATAACTTTAATCGTAGAAAATATTCTAAATTTGTTAACTATAATTTCCTTAAAAAACACCAACCTATGAGCATGAATATCTCGATGTCTCTCCGCACTGAAGGGGATTCTTACAGTGGAGAAAGGAACTTCTCTATCTATCGACTTTCTCTCTGTGTCTGACCCTTTTTTCTTATCCTTTTCCACTTTCTTGTCCTTCTTAACGTCCTTATCCTTTGGTTCCTTATCTTTTTCCTTTTCTTTCTTCTTGGCTGACGGAAGTTTAAACCCCTTAAGTTTCTTCTTTGCGGAACTTGATAAAATTAAACAATTATTACCCAAAAGTGGATTATTAATTATATCGTCATGAAACAAATTTCTTACTGTTCTCCACTCCCACCACCGTCATCTTCTTCCTGGGAATTCTCATCCGCTAAGGTCGCATATCCTTTATCCTTTTTTGAATCCTTCTTATCCTTTTTCTTCTTCTTGTCGAGATCCTCGTCATCTTGAAAATGGATAAAATCAACTCGGGCAATTAATTAACCTTCTTGTCGTGTCAGTGAAACTATCAATTGTCTCTTAAATACTGATGATAACTTACAATCTGCAGGGTCCCCCATTTCACAATCTGGTTTTGCGTAAAGGCCAGGAAATTCCTTCTGTACTTCTGGGCTGTCAAATTCCATACTGAAGCCGATCTATAATCAACTATTGGTTTTCTCTGGCAGCCAATAATGTAATTCTATCCTGTTCTGCGTGTAGGTGTTATAATTTACCATCTACTAACACTCTTTACTTCTCAGGTGTTGATATTATTCGGGTTTTTTGTTATACGTCTCACTCAACCCTTTCTCCGTGTGTTTTTGAGTTTTGCAACGCATTGCAGATTACGCTGCTGCTTCTGAATGAGTGCTGGTAGAAAATTTGATTATTTATGCAGCTGGTCATTTAAATAATTAATTCGATAAAAGTTAAATTGCGATTAGAGGTTAAGGTTCACTTGGAGCTAATTGGTCTCCTTTGTAGACTAAACACAATACACTTGTGCTGCAGCTTCATTAGTTTAAGTTTGTTGCCCTACAGAGCTGATAATCATCATTTATTAAATAAGTAATACAAACACACGATGGGAGATGATAACGAGTCTATGGATATGGGCGAAGGTGCAACTACTTCATCAGCCCCACAAGGAGGAATTGACGCCGCAGCGCAGTTGAGGGAGCGACGCCGACAGAAAATCTTGGCGAATCAATCCTCCAGAATGAATAAGATTATGGGGGTGGCATCCCCCTCGGAAGATAATAAGGATCAACAGCAAAATAGTGGTAGACCAGGTGGTAAGCACTTAAATTTATTTGGCGAAGATTAGACAATGTGCAATGTCTAATTGTATAATCTCCTTATACAGAAGGAGACAATTCGCTTGACGAAGTCCTAGATTGGGCCACATTATCTCATCCAGGAGAAAGGATAGTGGAAGAAAAAGTGGACAATGGAGTGTCAATAATTCGTAGAAGAATAAACATCGAAGAATCATCGTCGTCATCGGCTGCAAAAAATGATAATGACGTCTTATCGACAACTAGTCAAAAAAATGAGACCTTACCCATTATTACTACTGCATCTACTAGTTCCATGCGATCAGCTTCAACGTCCATTAAAAGTAACAGTACGAAACCAAAAGTTACATTCGCCCCATCCACAAAGCCCCCCAGCGACGACACACCATCTCCTAGACAGCGTCCTGCGTATGGATTCATGGCGCCTCAAGCCGATGGATCCACGCTTCATCCGAAATTGTCGTCCAAGACGTGTCGAGTCCTAATCTTCTTCTTGGGCATATTCCTCTCCATTTTCAATACTAAATATTTCCTCATGACATTCTGCTCCTGGGAGCTAGCCGTCTTTATAATTAATGGATTTCCAAATGATGAGAACCCTTCGAGTAATTTTATCCTACTAATTGCTCTTTTTGGCATGAAGGATGAACAATTGCAAAAGTTTAAGTTTGTATTTAAATTGTTTAACACTCTGATAACAGATTTCTCTATTTTAATGGTCTCTACTTTAATGTCGCGAGTAGTGCTTGAGAATTGGTTGTCTACCTTAAAGTAACTTAACAGCTCTAAGTTTTGTGATAGAATTTATCTAATTTAAAGCGTGTCCATGAGTGGTGAAAAGAGCGACAATGTTACAATCACATTTCCATTAGTACTACTACTTCATCCACAACTTCCAGCAATAATTTAGAGAAACCAGTTATAATTATTTTAAGGCATTTACTTAAAATTCAGAATAAATACGACATATGTCCCATTTTGGTGTGAATATAATGTTTGCATGTCATGCAGATCATTTCTCAAATCTCAATTTAAGCGTTGAATTTCGTGCTTCCGGTCAGACTTTCTCCCTTCGCGAGGTGTGCACCATTTCCCTCGAGAAGGAGAAAGCAGAGCAGAGTGAAAGTTGGCCAATCTCCTCGCAACAAATCCGACTCACTCCCACACTAAAACCACAAGTTTTAGCAAAAAAACACACATTTTTTACTGTCCACCTTTTAGCATAGTCATGTCTCGTTATTTGGTAGCTGGTCTGGTAACTCGCCTTTCATAGTCTTGTGACGAGTTTTTTTTATTCCAAGGTCGGATCAACAGTAGTGTCGAAAAGATTTCCAGAAGTTAATAAACTTGAACACTTATCTCCGGTTAGTTATTAGTGTGGGAAAAATGTTGCAGGGGTATTAAGTTTAGAATGAGACTAATTTGTTTCAATAAATAGTAGTGAGTCAGTCGTCTCGTAGCTCGACAGTTATTAATAGTCGGTCTACTAGTCAATATAAAAGAATACTACCACGACCACCCCAGTTCCATTCCATCCATTAATTCTGTAAGTTGTTGGAAATTTTTATCTAAAGTAAACACAACGCCGTTGTATTTACTACGTCGTAAAAAATTATCACTGTGTGACAAAACAATAACACATTTAATTAGTTTCCTACCAAAATCTCAATGTACTCTTGTGATTTATTTGTTCCTTATCACATTGAATATTTGTATTTTGACTTAGATTGTCCAATTAATTGCAGATATGGGATGGGACAATCAGCCAGCATGGAAGTTGCTCCTGGTGGCTCAACCCCCACAACGAGTACAACCGGAAGTATCGGACGTAGTTTTGGAAGTCTCGCGAACGAATTTGATTTCATCCACCATCAAATACGTCGTCATTCCCTTACGCTCCGCCAACTAACGATGCTCACTTATGACGACCTACAGTCCAAAATTAATGAATTGAACAACCTCTCTAGCAAATTTGTTGACTGTAACGGAAAACAGCTTACTTTTGAGTTGAAGGACGGTGGGGGTGAAGCTCCGGTAATGTTATGGAAAGGTCTAATTCGTATCAGGTGCATGAAAATCAATCCAGAAACAAAACACGTGGAGAAAGTCAGAGATCTAAATTTGAAGCAGTTTCTCCAAGTGTACAATACCATGTCGCAAATGCATGGGACGCTGGTCCTGGATTCAGTTGACAGTGAGGAGGAAGATGAAGACCACCAACAATCCAATGATAAGAAAGAGGTCTTGGATGAAGAACAATGGGATCATCTCCACGAGGCATCTGCTCCCTCATCGGCGGCCAATTCTACTAAAAATACACCAAGAAAACGACCCATTTTTAACATGAGCACGTCCCTAATACTGGACGAACTGCACGGAGGGGCCCTTAATTCTCCATCAAGTTTAGAAGAATGTTGCGTTTGTATGGAGAACAAGCATGAGGCATGACTTTTGTCATTTTTATCATCATACTTATACAGCTAATTTAAAGTAAATGCAATTAATATTTAAACGACAAATACAGGTCAGTCTCCCCTGCGCCCACAGTTACTGCCTCTCCTGTATTGAACAGTGGAACGTAGACCATAAAACATGTCCAATCTGCAGAGAAAAATTGGAAAACACCGATGAGACTTGGGTGCTAGAAGACAAACCAAACCCCCACGACGTCCAGATGGAGATTAAAAAGTCACTGTTTGGATTGACCAAATGATTTATGGAGACATTACTGATGACAAAAAATATGAAACTATGCAAATGCAACCACCAACTATTCGAGATTCTTTCGAGAAGAAAACAATGCCATTTCCAGTTTTACTTTTACAAATTATTTGTATTCTGATTTTATTTACTAACCATTATTTTAATTATTACTCCTTGAAATCTCGCTTTTATAATTAAATTCCACCAAGACATTCGATAGTATATTAAGATTTAATCTAGTCTAAATAGTCCGAAATGAGTGAGAATATATAGTGAGATTGATCTATGCAACTATTTACTTTTGGGAGAAATATTTTAACTTTGTTATGCTTGCTTTCCCTCATGTTATATATTTTACTTATGTTTTAAATCAATCTTTATGTGATGATGAAATTTTAACGCTAAAATAAATAGATGAATGCAATGAAATAATATTAAGTTGATTATTATTTTTTATACATGTTAATATGTAATGTCGGCACAAAGTTTGCATATAGTTTTAGTATGTCTCGTACAAGACAAAGGTAAATTACATCATCTTCGTCTAAAATAGTTTTCCTGTCACATCCTTTTTTCAGTATAGTTCTACTTATACGTGGATACATATATATATTTGTTTATACTAGTAGTACGTAGCTCATTGTAGATTCCAGAAAACCTGTGCTAGTCATTACACAAAAGGAGCTATCAAATTCGATAAACAATAAATCATACGAAACTCCTCAACTTTCGACCTCCCAAAAATATATAAAAATCCTACCACGTAGTGTTATGTTCAAACGCAAGCAAAATGGGAAACATTACGTAATTTTATAGTTACAATTTAAATGTTTAAAATATCAATTAATATCGAAATTCGTACTGGATTCAGCAGTAATCAACAACATAACAGTTTCTTTCTCCAGGATTTTAAACAATAAAATGTAATAGAAACAAACAATCAATTAACTCTTGTGATTCAGATCAATCAACCATTATTATAATAATTTTTCAGGGGAAAACTTATCAATTGACTAGAAACCCGTAACAGATATACACTTATAGTGTAAAACATGGGTGGATAGGATTTCCTTTCATGAATTATTATAATCAGGTGTGTTTGTTAGTAAACTTGGTTAGAAAGGCATAATTATAATTATCTATTTATAATAACCCTTATTCATTATTTCCTTCATAATAATCAGCGGCCGTTGTTCTTGTAGTTGTTGTTGAGGTATTCAACCCGATTCAATTTTCCATTGCATTGGGAACAATTGGACGTGCTTCATCAGAAGGGACAATTGGCTGCAGTGGATCATCGGTGTTCTTTGCCGAGTCACCTTCCCAATCTTCGTCACTATCTGCTGCAGGCAGATTTTTTGGTGCGACGGTTGGTGGTCGGAGAAGTGGGGACGGAGGAGAGGCCGACCTGGATTTTGGGCTTGGACCCCGTCTTGCAATCCGTTTAGGGCTTCTCGACCTGGAGGATCGTCTTCTTCGTGGACTGGGAGTTCGGCTCTTGTTACGCCCGACAACACGTCTCCCTGCAGATCTGGATCGAGACCTGTAACATAAACATAATAATAATTGTATAAGAAATTAACAACTAATTTGAGAAAATGTTACAAACATAATTAATTTAAATTACCTATTTCTTGCTTCCCATCTACGAGAAAGTGGAGACTTTGATCGAGATCTACTCGTTCGTTTCCGATGACGGCGATCTCTGCCTGGAGATCGACTTCGACTCCTGTAGATGGAAATGAAAATGGGATTTATGACAAATGCATTTTTTAAGTTAACAATTTAGTAAGGAATAAATATAATATACAAATAATTATTCTCACCTTGACCTATCTCTGGATCCAGAACGACGTCTCCTAATCCTTTGGATGGGAGACCGGTTTATTCTCCCTCCTCCTGTATGTCGTCTCGGGAAATTGTCTCTGTCGGGGCGAGAGTCACGATGACGACCACCTCCTCCTCTCATTTCTCGCCCACGCCCTCGGAACGGACGATCTCTTTCACGGTCCCCACCTCCGCTTCGATCCAAATTAATACGCTGTACTCGGGCAGCGTCCTCACTTGTGTCACCCAAGTTTCGAGAAATAGTCTCCCGGTCTCTTTCTCTTTCTCCACTTGTCATTACTGGAGTTCTCGGACCTGGAAACTGTCCATGTGGAGGACTCGTAGACCCAAAAGTCGGCATGAACCCGGGGGCTGGTGGATTTCCCATTCTGGATGATGCGGGCGGCATTGATGAAGGTGGAAGAGATGGGGGTGGAACCGTTTGAGGTGGCACTTGAGAAGTAAACGGAACTCTGGAAGGGTAACCTTGATGGTGAAGAAGAGGAGGAGGAGGGAATCCAACGGGTGATGGTACAGTTGATGGTGGTGGCCGAGACATCATAAAGGATGGGGGTGGAACGTTGAGATTAATCACCATTGAGCTACCACCATTTAGTGGGGGTGGTAGTAAATTCGGGGGAGGAATGTGCGTCGGAATGGATGGAACCGGTGGTGGCATAGTTGTTGCAGGAAGCATTATCGGATTTGGTGGTTGCTGCTGGATATGAGGAACAGTAAGTTCATGAATCTTCAAGGGTGATGATGGCGCAGGAATAATAATTGGTTTCAACGCAGGTTGAGAGAATAAAGAGGTTGGAGGAGGGGGATGAAGAATCGGAGTTGCTGCTGGTGTAGGCGCAGGTGGCGAAACAACGGCTACAACTTCTTCCGTTTTCGGAGTATCGACAGCGACAGGAAGCTGTTTTGTTATGAGATTAATATTGATCTTCATTTTAGATCCGCCCGTACTGCCACTCGGGCCACCACCAATTGTTAAACTTTTGAGAGGAGATGTTACTACACCAGCACCACTGCTGGATCCAAGTTTCTTCTCGAAAATTGAAGATTCCACTTTCGATTCGGTCTGTTTGACTGCTAAACTGCGCATTGGCTGTTGAAAATCGTCAAGATCTACCGTCGACTGCTGGACTGTTTGAGATTGTTGTTGTTGCTGTGCTGAAGAAGAAATGGCGGAGGTCTTTGTTGGTGTTTTTGGCATAGTGATCTTAATATCGTCGATGTGTGTAATGACAGGCTTAAATGTTGAAATTAATGATACTGAAGGAGGTGGTGGTTGTGGACGTTCTACAAAGACGTCTTCGCCAGGTGGCAAAGGTTCATCGTCCTCTACGTCCATCACTTCGACTTCTTTTGGAATTGGAGGGGGGTCTGGGAATTTGTCAACTTGAGAAGAAACTTCTCCTTTCTCTTCAGGAGCAACAATTACCTCGGGCGTCTCAGGAGGAACTACAACTGGTGGAAGTGGAGCTAATGGTGACGCCAACACAACGGTTTTATTCTTCGCATCTTGAGAGTCGTTCGTTTCTTCGTCAGAAAATTGAATTGCAGATGGAGAGTATGCTTCCTCCTCGCTTTCCTTCTTCTCTTTTCCGTCCGGCTCATCCTGTGCAGATTACATTATTTTTTATGTGTAGCAAAAACTTAAATAATATATATACAAATGATTTACAAGAATTAATAAGTGTATACAACTAACTAGCTACTTACCTTGGATGAACTATCGTCAGAAGACCCAAGATCCATAATTTCTACCGGAGTGCTGTCTTTCTTCTCAACAACAGGGAGAGACTCAACCGCTGCAGGTACTGAACTTTGTGCCGTCACACCCGAATTGTTTCCATATCTCTGACTCCTCCGAAGTCGTGGGTCGGACATGTGAGTTGGTTCTTGTACAACAGCTGGCGCAATTGCTGGAGGAGGTGGGGTAATAGCTATAATTTCTGGTGGAGAGCTATCCTCAGTCTCCATTTTTTCAGCAGCAGCCTCCCCTTCGTCATCATCTTCTCCAAACTCGCCATCCAGACCGGGGATCCCACTCATCGACGATCTTCCAGCCAACGCGCCAGTAATCTTCTCAATGTCCTGCTTCTCACGAGCAATCTTTGCTTCAAGCTCTTCCAGTTGCCTCTTCACATCCACGGACTGCTTGGGTGGAAGAGTAGCACCGGGAAGAAGAGTTTCAGGGGTCAAAAGTGGGGGTTGAGAGTCGCTATTGCTCGATGTAGATTCATCCTCCCAAGGAGTATAGGGTGCGTCGTCGTCATTTATTTTTGGATCTGCTGCTGCTGGTACAGGAGGTTTGGGAAGGTTTATGGTACGTGATCGTAATCCGGTGGATGGAGACGACGTTGCAGCCGATTTCTGTAAATAACAGGTAGTTAAATATTTGCAAATAAATATGCATTTACTTATAACTATTGAATAATTTTAATTAGTAATAAATTAACCTCTTCAGATTCAGGATCCAGTTTTGCTCGCTTCTTTTGCGTAAGTGCTTGGTCAATTAGGAGAGAAGGCTTCCGTTTCAATCCGGTAGCAGTTGCACTTGGATCCCGAATATTTCTTGTGACGATGCATAACAAACAGTGTGTCCTTTCATTGGGGAGACCAGGACCTCGGAAGGGGAGCAAGCATCGTGGAATAGGAGCCTGTTTTGGCAAGGGAACAAGGTAAACATCTTTCAAGGGGGACTCGATCCCACCTATGACTCCCAAACGGGAACGGGAAGAGAAGTATGAGAAAAAAGTCATATAATCGCTAGAGTCGGCTGGAGATGCAGGTGACAGTCGGAAAACAATTACTTCCTGTAAACATATAATAATAATCCCAGTAAGCATATGTGATGCATATTTGGACATCGCTGATTTTTGTGTAAATCAATTACGTACCTTTGATTTCTTCATTTTATTGATGTAATCCCATACTGTGTCGGGAGAGATACGTCCCACTACCGGGACAGGACTTTTGGGAAAGAAGACGCCGTCAATGATAGCATGCGACACACCATGGGCTGAGGCGTGAAATGATCCCAATTCTGGCATAACGATTTTAGTCTGAAACAAGTGTTTCGGTTCAGAATCCTTCTTAACTCCATCCTCTACGAAATCTGGAGTTTTTATGGTGGATGAAGGTTGCTCTTGCTCAGTGTCTGCAATCGAAAATAACAAAAGAAAAACTTTACCGTTAATTTCCAATAACTTGTAATAATAAAAAACGAGGAGAATGAACGTTGGGTACCTTGTTGCTCTAATGGCTTCGGAGTCAAGTTAACTTTGTCGTCCACGGAGGATGGTGACGAAGAAACTTCCTCATTACTCGGTGGGGTAATTTTTGGTGCTAGTTCTGTCACCAATTGCGGACTTTTACTTTGTTCATCCGTTCCACTTCCACTGCTAACTTGACAGTTGGATTCGGAATCCTTAAAAAAAGTTACAAAATGGATTATTTATTTATTCACTAAGTCGCAACCAGAAATTCTTTAAAAAACCAAAAGAAATGGCGAAATAAAATAAAACAAAACAAACCTTAACAACACGCTTATCATTCTCTTTATGTTTACTATCCGAAAGTTTCACCTTTTCCTTGTCAGTCTTGATGTCTCGGTGTGACGAACTTGAACTTTTCCGGTCCTTGTCACGATGTGAGGACGACGAATCCTTATGTCGGTCCGACCTACGACGATCTTTATCTCGCTTATCCTTGTTGCTTGATGACTTGGATGATGACTCCCCTTTGTCTCGATCCCGGCGAGAGCTAGAAGAGGAATGATCTTTCGACTTTTCGCTGGTGGAATGATGTCTGGATTTATCCTTCAAAGAATGTTCCTTGTCCGTCTCCTTTGCAGCAGAGCTAGAGCTTTGATCGATGACATCACTGATATCTAATGGCCGAAGTTCTTCAGCTACTTTGGCAGCATCGTCAACTCCTTTCTCGAGCAGTGCCATCTTTTTAGATTCCGTGATCTTATCCAGTTCTGCTTTCTTGATGGCTTCGATTTCCTTCTCTGCCTCTTTCTTTCTCCATTCAATCAGGTCGGCGGACGCCATGTCATGTGATTCCATTCTAACCAAGTTTTTCGGTTTCAGCTTTCCGTTCAGTAGCTCCTTATACATGTCGTTCTTCTCCGCTCTGTGATCACAACAATTACCATTACCATCATTATTACAGCGATCTAATGTAAACTTAATTTAGTTAAGGTGAATAAATATGTATGACTCACTTTAGATTAAAGTAGATGCCACGGTACTTATTTTTGCATTTTGGCGTATTCGCACCCCCATAAGTTTTGCATAGCTCGTCAGTTATCTTTTCGGCGAGAGCGTCTGGATTGTTGGGTCCATCGTTGAACTTTTTCTTGTCATTGTCTGACAATTCCTCCATCCTCCTCTTGAGAATCTCGCGTAGTGACTTTCGCAATATGTCTCTGTGCAATTTATTGCTGCTTGCAGTGTCTTTCTCTTTTTCCTTGTTCTTGGAGCTATCACTTTTCCGTGTCGAACTTTTATTCTTGGTGTCTGATTGAGAAGCAGTTCTAGATTTTGACGGTTTTTCTTCTTCGTCTGGGCTGGATTTTCCTGCAAGTTTTACATTAATTTTTCCCTCAGACATTTTCTTCACTAGTACGGACGGTGTAGAACTGATGATTGAGGAAACACTGTTGGGGCTGACTCCGACAACGGAGGGAAGAGCAGGGGATACTTTAGTGGGAGATTGGGCTTCCTTCTGAGCTTTTAATATCTGTGAGGCCGTCATCTCTTTCGGTTTGGGGGGAGCAACTTCTGTTGACTTTGTGGCGCCAGCAGAAATCACGTGAAAATTAAAGATCGGCTCGCTAGATTTTACGTCTGGTTTTGAATTCATTCTCTGTATATTTTAAAAAAGTGTGGTTTAAATCACTATATTAGTTGCAGTTTCAGCTGAAATCTACTAAATTTATATGCTAAATGTAAAATGCTATATGTTAAATTTATATGCTAATATCCAATATGTTGCTCACCTTTAATTTGTTTGGACTAGACGAAGTTGGGGACTCCGCTAGAGAGATTTTACCCTTTTCTTGAGTTGCACTTTTGTTACCCACGTTATCCGCATGCTTTTGTACACACTGATCGCTGCAGTAAATGGAATCCTTCCTGGGAGGTTTACTGCATACGACGCAACTACCTTGTCCTGAAATTACAAGTAAAATTTTATATTTCCGCTATGTATTTTTTTATTTGTAGGAGACCACCAGGATTCTTCAATCACTAACGGCTACGCCGGTGTTTCTGGGTTCGGCCGTAACTCGGAAAAAATGGAAATTTTCATTTTTTGAAAAGCTGGATATTAATATCCAGCCTTGTGTATCCATGTGTCTGTCTGTCTGTCTGTTCATAAATTCCATAAATTCATACTTTTACGTAAACTGCTTGTGCGTTACAATTTTACTAACGTAGAACTAAATAATAAATTAAAATACACAATAAAACCCTACAGTGCAGGCAGACTCCATATAGCCAAGTCAGGGACAGAGTCCTTTGAATTAGAGTTCTAAATTTTTCTCTGAATTGACCGACATAATATTACCAAACTCCTTGTTTTGGATAATTAAATGTTTGTTAGATTTTCTATTATTTGGCATAAAAACCTTTGGAACTTCCAAAGCTAGGTGTGCTATCGAGAAGTTGTTTTTATCCCCCATACCAAATTTCAGATGGAAACAACTTTTCAAAACGGTATCGGTCAGCCTCCAGGGTCACTCTGCTTGCAGTTTGCTCACTTTTAACTTCATATTCATTCATAAGAAACCATTAAGTATCACCATGCCCGATTTAATGTTTTTAAAGCAATTTATAATAAACAAGGCCCCCAAAAAAAGGAAATCTTAGTGAGTCAGCGCAATCACAGTTAATAAATAAATTTAGATTGAATAACTTTTGCATCACCGCTCTCGGTATCATTTTTCCTGGAAGCATTAATTAATCATTAAGAATAATTGCCCCCCCCTCAAAGGTTCTGGAGCAAGATTATTTGACACTTTATCAATCTATAAAAGACGTAGATACTTAATGTCAAGCAATCGTGGGTCTGGAGATTTCATCAGAATAGGAATTAATAGGATATTGAAATTTATATATCGAAATTGTAGACTTTCAACTCTTTCTAAATTTAAAATTCGCAGTTCACAATATCATATCGATTAATTTAGCCAACATCTCGTTCAATAGTAAAAACGTCATCTTGTAATCTCAATTAATTTAATGAATGCAAGAGTTCATGCGTATGCAAAACTAAATTTACAGTGGACCCAGTAAAAATTATCCCGAGCGGTGATGCAAAAGTTATTCAATCTAATTTTATTTATTAACTGTGATTGCGCTGACTCACTAAGATTTCCCATTTTTTGGGGCCTTGTTTATTTAAAACTTGTAATTGGTTGTCAAAGACATTATTTTTACTGCACAACCGCCGTTATTATCGGCACCCTGAATATTTTTATTAAATTTTTGATTTTCAAACTTGAATAACGCCGTTATTTCTCAACCGATTTAGGTCATTTTGCGCTTAAAATATCCGGAATGACTTTGACTAAAATATTTTCAATAAGCGAGCATGCTGAGATACACCACTTATGAATCATAAAAATAAATATGTTTTCAGGGGAAAATTTTTGCACATTTTGGCACATAACGTGGGTAAAAATCAAAAATTCGCCAAGTCGACTAGCACATCTTTTCTAAATTGTCTAACAATGATCTGTGCAAAATTTCATCAAAATCGGTTGAGAAATGACCGAGAAATCGACTTATGTCACTTTTTTTGGGTGGGGTAAATGCATACTTAGCAAATTTTTTTCGTTGCCAGGTATTTGCCTCACTAAGAAAAATCTGGATGGGTCACCCGTCACCCCATAGAGTCGCTACAGATAAAAATTTTACCAATTTCATTCCATATTCTTCCATTAAGACATGTAAGCAACATTTCAACTCGATATGACGATTTCGAAAAATCAGTATTCCAATTCTAAATATCCAATATACATTAGGCATGATTGGTCAAGTGGTTGGTCGGTGGGGGTCATTCAACTAACAATGCGATAAAGCTAGCGGTCTCGCTCCAATTTTGACGAAACCACGAAAATTATGTAGCATTAGATAAATCATTAAACACGTGTTTCAGGATTTTTCATAATACTCAGTTTAAACGAAGTTATGACTAAGTCAGCGAGAATTTTTATTTTTACCGTGAAATTTTTCTCGCGAGGGGAGGGAGGAAAGTACAGATTCTCAGATTCCATCATACATAATTTTGTTTAAGCTAAAAATTTGTGGGCGTGACGTGTTTTTTCCCCCGCACAAATTTTTAAATTATGATAAATTTTCAAAATTTTGAAAAATGTAACAAACCAAAAATTTTTGAAAAATTAAAAGGTTTTGAAAAAATGATTTTTCGTTTGCACAATGTAATTGTGCAAAAGAATTGGAAAAATTTAAAGCATTGAAAAATTGGAAAAATTTAAAGCATTTAAAAACATCTTGACTTTGGCTGATTTTGGTACAACAGAAGACTTCCGCTAATTTCCTTGTGTGAACAATTTAAAATTGGTCCGGTCAAAATCGGAAAAAACACTTCATGCCCACGCATTTTAAGTTTAAGCAAAATTCTCCGTAAGCGAGAATCTCCCTCGCAAGAAAAATGTCACGCAAAAACGGAAATTCTTGCTCACGGCCTTAAAAGGCCTAATTTTGGTAATAATGTTAACACGTTGTAGGGCATGCCTCGAATCTCGAAAGAATAATAAATAAAAACGTGTACGTAGAAATACTATCATGCAAAATAGAGTAATTAGTCAGCAATTAAAAAATAGGAAAATAGTTTAAAAATTTTCGTCGACCCAGTTATGGCCGCACCCCGAGAGTAAATGGTCCAATTCATCCTCAGAATAATCAGAATACAATAAAATGTGTAATGCACTTGATATCTAATTTATCGCTAATTACTACTCCCCTGACTCGGGCTTCATTGTCAGTGATTGGCAAAATCCACCAAATTAGCAAATAATTAAAAATTTATTCGTTGACTGAGTTACGGCCGCACCCTAAGAGGAAACGAATTGATTCATCCTGGGAGACCACGATTGCGAAATTCAGGAAATCAATCACGAAATCGTTGTCAAAGAAATTAATTCTCAAAATTTCACTAAAATAAAACTTACTGCTTTCATCACTACGAGATTCGCTACGTTTTTTGGTGGAAGTGGTGAGGCTCCCTTTTTTCGACAAGTTGGGCATGAATGCCGTTTTGGACGCAACAGCAGCCGCAGCAGCATCTGCCTGAAGAGCAGCAGCCCCTTTACTCATACGCCGAGTGTCATTTTTGTCCCCACTTGTAGAGACTGAACGACGGGCAGAGTTACTCGCTCGTTCAGCAGCCTTAGCATTTCGCTTTAACTCAAGCTCTGCCTTTCGGCAGGGGGGACACACCCACAAGATATTCTTGAGTTCCATCGCCTTGCCCTGGGCTTTGGTGACACCGACACACTTCCCATGAAACCATTCCTCGCAAGTGTCACAGCATATCATGAATCTGTTGTTGTGAGGTTGGCGACAAATACACCATAATCTATAACACATAACACAAAAAGTCCCCAATTAAGTAATATCCAGCCAGTAATAAATACATCTTACAATTATGTAAATTAATTAACTTGTATTACTTGTTGGGATCGTCTTCCGTATAATCCTCTTCGCCATCTTCGGTTTCTTCTTGTACGTAATCATCATCATCGACCTCCATGGGAGATTCTTTTTCTTTTGCTTCATCTGTTCCTCCAAGTTTTTCCTGAAAAATGTCGTCTGCAGAAACTCGCGGCCCACCGTCTTCTTCAAGGCTTACATAGTTCGGGTCAGCCAAGTGAGCGGGCAAGCGTCGATTTTCCCTTTTCGGATAAGGTTTCCTAAAAATCATGGATGGCAAATTAATCAATGAATTCCTTTATTTATAAAAGTATAGCAAATGAGTGTCAAATAAGCTACCTGTCACTCCCACTGGAATCTATGCTATCTCTGGATGAAGCAATACTAGACGAGGCAGACGCCCTTCCTACAAGTGCTGGCTTTGTAGGTGGTGGTGGTGTTGTTTGAGGAGTTAGTATACCAGTTGTTTGGGATGGCGATTCTATCTTTTTTGAAGCCACTGGAGGGAATGGCGAGGAGGACCCTGATGCTTTTGCTCCTTGCATAAGTTCTTTCTCACGTTGTAGCATTTGCTGATTTTCAGCCATGATTCGTTCAGCCTCTTGTCTCTCGATTCGATCCTGTTGTCTCTGCGACCGTCGAATATTGCTATCACCTAGAAAATGAGGTTAGAAGATAATAATCGTTGTTACTACACACGAACCTACTAAAATAACCAACCATATATTATAACATAACATTTACATTTAGTGGCTTACTTTCTGACAACCGACTACCACTCGTCATAGAGGAACCTCTATTTCGTGACGTGCTTGACGGCCTTCCTCCTCCCGTTGAATGCCTGTTCCCCTCACGAAAAGCGGATGGACTACTCTCTGCAGACGATCCAGGAGATGTCATTCCTCCAATCGAACTTTCACTTCCTAGACTCCCCATACTATTTTGCTGATTTCGACCGTCAGTCCATTTATTTTGCCCACCCTCAGACGACACACTAACACTCATGTGAGCATCATGATGTTCCAAGTTCAAATTTTCGATAAGTTCAGCCTGCTGTGATTGAATCAAATTCTCCAGCGTGGCTAAACTCTGGGGATCGAGTGAATTTGTGAATTCGTCAATGTCCAGACTGACCGGAGTGGTGGAAGTAATGACGGAAGGATGCGGCTGCTGCTGCTGTTGATTTATTCCCACGGACATTGTGGCTTCCTTTATTACTTTACTTCCACTGGCAGAATGATCAACGACGTTTCCTTTCTTCTCCGTCCCCCCAGCTGCTGTAGCACGTCCCCCACTCGTAGTTCCGTACGTACTTCCTTCAGGTTTGGACTTTCTTGCTCGCCCTTGTTGAGCGGGGAGTAGGACTGCACCAGGCAATGGATTGTTGGGGGATTTCACCTTATTTTTGGGAAGAGTTACGCTAAACTGCTCCTGTCCAGGTACTAGTAGTAATAGTGAAAACAAATTAATAAGTATTTTAAATTAGTAATTAATTACTCAATCTTATCAGTGATCATCTTTCCTTTCTCACCTAAATTGATCTGTGTATCATCATCCACGAGGTGGAGGGATCCATCAGGATTAACAATTATGGAATACGACGCCTGATAAGCCACGTCTCCTTCTGAATCGACACTCTCTGCCCTTTCCGGACTGTGACTACTGTTCCCGTCCTCCTCGTCCTCACTACTCCGTACCGGTGGTGGGGGCAGGACGTTGCTGATAACCACCAAGTTTGCAGGATCACTTTCCTCTTCTTCCGAAGTGGAAGACTTGCTCAGCAAATCTTCCTCTTCATCATCCTTGCTTCTGTTATTGGTGATAATATTCGTCGCCTTCTTCCTCGTGAACAGATTAAGATTTAACTCTTCACCTACATCGATGATCTGATCAGATGCAATGACCGCTGCTGTTTGTGGCCCTGAAGAAGAAGAAGACGGAGACGAAGAAGTGGTACTATTTTTGTTCTGTTGAGCTTGAGATATACTTCTACTTCTTCTCGTAGTAATTCCACCAACATTAACAGCAGCGCTGTTGGTGTTAACTCGTCCATTATTATTTACATTTGTAGCTGCGGTGGATGTGGTAGCAGCTCGATTGATTCTACTATTGCTATCTTCCGTGGGATTCGTGTCGCTGTTGGTGGTTGTGGTGGTGGCACTCCTGGCGGGATGACGACTGCTTAAGTTGTTGTCCACTGACGGCGACGACACTGACGACGAAGGCGACGCTATTACTGCTGCAGAGTCATCTTCTTGATCGTCCACATCCACGACGACGACCTTTTTCCCACTAGTGGATCTCGTCGTTCTCAATGTTGCTGGTGTACGAGGAGGAGGAGCCGTTTTCTTCCGGCTGGTTGGCATGTTGTCCAAGTGTCAATGAAACGGCAAAGATCTTCTTAAGACTATTTCACCTCCCACCCAGAAACTAACTACCAAAAAGCATTGTCAAATAGATGAGTTTAGCGTCTTCCCACACCCACCCTGAGAAACAAGTCGATTGACATTGGCTGAAGATGATGATGATAATCAGGAGCAGGAGGAGAGAATTAAACTTTTCAAAATTTTATTAAGTATTATCGTCCCCGATCTTGGAAAAACGAAATCAAATCCAAAATTAATTCAACAAAGTAAACAAATCCAAATAGATAATCAACAATCCTGTTGAATGCTTAAGTAACTCTGTCCACTTTTAACTTGCTTGATAGCTTGCTTGCTTGCAGTTGTTTGATGTCTGAAGACTCGTCAATCATTCCTTGTCTCAAAGTTATATGCAGATAGTCACTATTATATTTCGATTCCAAATATTCTAATGACGCCATCAACGTTTCAAAGTCAAAGTCCCTCGTAAACTGTCCTCCCTCCACTTTTAACGAGTATATTTAACAATATAAAACAATTAAGTAAAGTTGCACTGGACAATTACTAACTGCTATTATTACATTAAGTAGTTGGTTAACTCCTTGTGATGATACTACACACTCAATCCTACACTAATTTTTATTGAATTTTGATTTTCTGGAGAAAATTTCTCCAGTCCAGCGAAGAAGAAAAAGTGAATGCATTCGTTGTGCCTGATTTGTGCTGCTTTTTGAGTTCTTTGGGCGAGTTTCGTTCTGAGCCAACGAGAGAGCGCAAATGTGGGAGAGTGAGAACTGCGCCTTACTAAAAGCAGGTTCTACAGCTCTCTTTGTCTTGTGCAAAAGTAGTCTCAAATCGTAGGTTTTTTTGACCAATGTGAGATTGATTTTGAGGCATTTTGGGGCAATCTGACTCAAAAACGTTGAGACTTTTGCACTGTAAGCGTATTAATTATTAAGAAGAATTGATGATCATTTTTTCCTTATCGGGGCCATTCTACTTATCTATAAATGCTGTAAATACGGTTTTCTTGCTTCATATAGATGTTTCATATATAATTCTTAACCTATCATCTATAAATTATCTGTGAGTTATTACTTTCACTCACTCTGTAAAACCCTCACCTAGTGTTTGATGACGTAATGTTTCATTAATTCAGAGAATAAATAAAGCCAAGCACGAAATATGTTTGCAATAATTGCCACTCTTGCCTTCTTATAATTGTAGAAGAGGGGTTCAAGAGGATGGTAATTTTTGCACTGGGTAACTTGTTTTTTGCAAAAAAATACAGATAAAATCAAGGTATGGCATAATAAATCACTTTCATAGTTTTCCAACAGATCCCGTTTTGTTGAGTACAAGTCAGAAATAAATCAAACTGGACGTGCACATGGTGTGTTGGTTGTAATAAAGAAAGTGAAAGCGTGCAACCACACATTAAAACCAAGTACAATTCTTCTTGGCCTTGAAACCTTTTCAAGTTTCTTCACCTTTCACCACTCCGAAGACCAATTATATATTTCCGAGAAAATATTTTTAGTCAGCCTGTGTCTAGTGCCCTTAATCTAAAATTGAAAAACGGCAGTGCTGCTCACGATATACGTATGTGTACATACATGCTGAAATTTACGAGTTGACGGCTCCCATAAATTATTTGCAAAGTCTTGTCCTGAGCGTTATTGGAGAGGCGTGTGAAATGAAAGTAATTTAATATTATTGCCATATTTATGAGTGGTCAGGGAGGGCAAAAGAGAGCAAATGTTCGAAGCAATATCATTCTTCTAGGAGTAATAAAAAGAGAAAAGTTTGACTGTGTGTAGCGTAGATGAAATATAAAGTTTGCAGTTTGCACGTTTCTCACTTACATTTGGAATGCCCACATGTGTGTGTAACAGTTTACATTTGCTTACCAACACTGAACTGAGGAGTGCATCGAAGTAATGTGACATTCGTCAAACTTTCTCTCAGAATGAACTTTCTCCAGATGCTAATTCCCTGGAAATTTGGGAACCACCTCGTAAAACTTGAGGGTGGGTGGATGAATTGCATTTCAACCACCTGTGACCTGTTCAGCCAAGCAGTATAATTACTACTTGGAAATTAATCCCATAGAAGTTAATTAGTCTTCAAATTAAAAATTATTTTGACTTATTTCTTGCATGAAAAGCTTCAACTTAAAAAAATTATGTGTACCCGATGAACACAAACATTAAGGAAGCGTGGGGCAAAATATTCATTAATTTGACTATCTAATTGGACAGCTTAATTGAGAAATGCTTACCCTTTATGCAAATGTTGGCCCAACTTGAATATGATACTCATCCATTAATTGTGAGTCCCGTGTAATTCCAGCAGCTTCATCAATCAATTGTATGATATGCGATAACCGGGATTATGCGAGTGATCGGGCACCGTGACAATGACAAATAAGGACGACCGGACATGTTTGCCAATGTATGGACGGATGAGCATGGACAACAAGCAGTGAAATGCCAGCGGAAATGGATTACCTGTCGTCTCTTCCGAAAAAGCGGGAGAGATGGGAAACGAGGAAAATCGGAATATTCAGTATCATTCAAATATTTCTCGTGACCCAAATTATCCATATTTACATATGCTACTCCTACTTTCACTTGCTGTTTTCTACGTTGTTTACTGCGTTTTAGAAATTTTTATGAAGAAAGGTTGTGAGGTTGCAAAATTGAGATAACGAATATCTACTGCCTACATACTTCTTCATACATAACAATCCCTCCCAATTTCATGATGATCCCGTGCTCTTGGCGATTCCATAAAAACCTCAAATCCGAGTCACCCCCAAAACACCTCGAAATCACGATTTCTCGACTTTTCACTAATCCCAAAGTGACCTATTTTATAAAGAATGTGTAAACTCCTCCCTCTTACGTAACCCCATTGGATTAATGGGATGACAAAAATCACTATTAATGTTTGATTTATTTTACGCCACCACTCCATTGATACGGATCTTCCCAAAGTTTTTAAACTTTCCCAATAAAAACGTTAACATTGTCTGCGAGAGAAAGTCAGCCACAATTTTGTTTGTAATGGATCTCTCTTTAGAGGTCATTATTACATTGAGTGAGTGATGATGAATAGGAGTAAGAACAACTTACTTAGAGAACTTTGTGTACATACGAAGGAGGAAATATTATGATGACGACTATAATAACGATGAGCGTGCTTCTCGTCTCTTTTACTAGACGACGTGCAAAATTGCAAAGTTTGCAGTTTCCGTTTTCTGGGCACTACTATGCAATACTTACCAAATACTACATAGGATGCGAATACTAGGATGTCACTTTTCTGCTGCTTTCACCACCTACATGCATACGGCGTCCATGATGGCATGTTAATGCGCCTCGTTCAACGATCTCCTCATCCTTGACTCTCTGGTAAATGGCGTGCATTGTTAATGGACATGTTGATCTTTGTTGTTGGAGGGCTCAGGCTAAACGGCATTTCGATCACGTATCCGTCCGTATACATCGTACTCAAGTATCTGTTTGTGTGCAATTCAAACTTTTCTAAAATCAAATGGCATTGCTTCCAATTGTGTTTGTATTTCAGGTCACGCTTACTCTGGCAAACTTTAAAGTCTCAATTTCACGTTTCACGAAACGGTTTGGAAAGTTTTTTTATTGAGAGGTGGACACACGACAAAAGAAATAAATACAGATGTGTGCAAAAAGGGAATTGATCCTGCTGTTTGTTACGCATGCTTTCATTGAGGGAAAAAACTTTTAATTATTTTTAAACTTTCTCTACAATAACAAGCACGAGGGACATGTGATGTCAACTTTTAAGTAGTTTTTGCAAAAAAAGTATCCTTTGTTCGGTAAATTCTGGTACTGATCTCATTATTTTTTAACTTTCGAATTGCCTTGTGTATGACTTACTTTTCACAAATAAGCAGGAAACGGTTTCAGAAAAAATATATGTACGATTTAAATATGAAAACCCTGATGCCCAGGCTGGCTCGATGTGAAATTAAAGTGTAATCCGTTAAATCCCTACTGCAAAGCTAAATTCGCAAAGATGATTAATAATAGGTCGAAGAAATTGCCCATCCATATCTCAAAGTTATAGGTGTTGATTTTGTGCCTACGTATGTATGTATGTACGCATCATTTTGAACTCTTTTGGCCTTATAGAAGATTTCAGTCGCTTATCATAAGCTTTTCCTCAGTCTGATAGAGTTTTGAGCTCGTAAACCCTTCAAAATTACCACTCCTCATAACCATAACATATTACATAGATTTTGCAATATTTTCTTTGAGCTTTCTCCATCCTTGAAATTAATTCCTCCTCCCTCCATCTTCGTCCATCTTTTCACAGTTTTAGCCTTACCCAGAGCTTATGGGATCGTCATGTCCGTCTGTCTGTGACACGTTAGCCGACAAACGCACGGAACCGATTTGGCCAACGGGCTCTTGAGCATTACCTACTCATCCTCAATGGTTGACCGTCAATGAAGTGGTGGAGATGCATACATACAAATATTTCATCAAATTGCATATATTTTCGCAGAAACCTGAAATTTGATATGAAGGTCTAATGCGAAGTAAATTAAAGATAAATAGTTTTTTTAATAACCACACAGGTTGACCAATACTGATTTTTTTCTAAATTGATTGAAGAAACCTAAAATTTTGCAGAATATCTGAAAAATTTCAGGTCACTAGTTCTCAAGTTTACGTAAAGAAACAGACTGGCTCGGGCTGTATAAAGTACACACTGTACATTTTTTCTCTTCTTCGCCAATAAACCCACATTAAACACACACCACTTCCTTCCTTATCAACTCTCAGGCATTTCCAGGAAGAAGCACCAAGCCCAAGTCGAGATCCTACGAGAAGACTATAATTCTAAACTGATGAAATTCTCGTTTCTGGTCTTGTCTTGCTTGTTGGGTGAAATGAAAATGGGCAGTGAGAATGGCCAGGAGAAAGCAATGGGCACCATTTCGCTATATCCTCCACCTAAATAGTCGGTGGTGGTGGTGTTGTTGTGTATCACAACTTTTTTTAATATAACATTATTTCATTCACATCTGTGGATGACATGCTCATTTCGGATTATGATTTGGCAAAGAATTCACGTATATGTTTAGCAGTACTTCATGTCGTATTCGTCGAGGACATGATTTCGTATGTTCAATTTGATGAGAAAAACACCAACAGCAGCATGCACACCAGCAGATCTTTGTAATAATGAGAGAGTAGAAAATGCTCAAGGCAACAAAGTGCTGAAATACAAACTTTGGTCGGAAAGTGATAACAAGAGGAGGAGGAGGAAGTGGAAGTTGATGCATTTAAAATTAGTTTAGAGGCTACAACTTTCTGTGTATTTGAAATGTACTGCGTTGTTGGAAATGATCACCGTGATGACACATCAGCGTGCATATCTCGTCGCAGATAGTTTCTTCATAGTTAGTTTTCTCACACCCACGGAATTGAATATCTATTATGCGATGCAGATTCTGATCCTGATACCGCTTTTGCGTTCATACATAAGCAAATTAATTACATGTTTATTCTACGAAAGTCGTTATATTTCGAGATAAAGCCGACCTCTTGTTGCAACGTATGTATATTCTGTTCGTAGGTAGATTGGGTTAGCTTATTTAGTCATTCATGATCATGATTTTTACAACCTTGTTGTCATTCTGGGAAATACGTGAGAGAATGAGCAAGTTTACGTTATCATCAGATCATCATTTGCTGCGACTATGTAATTCAGCTTATAAATAGATTTTTGAAACAAATCACGCCTTCTTTCTTACATAATCCAGTGCTGCATTTGTTAATGTAGTGAATGGATCGATAAACGACAGTGATGAGATTCTGGAAGAAAAAGTCTGCTGGTTTCATCAGAAGCCCGGACAGGATCAAAGGGATGGATGTACATACATTTGGCGTGTCAACTTGGGGTGACACTTTTTGAACCAAGAATCTTGGTCCAGGGCACTAACAATAAGATGATGATACTCTTTTCTGCAACATGTTACCCCAAGAAAAATCGACCATCTGCAATACTTCATGTAACAAGTTCCTCTTTATCTCTTTGTCATTTCCCATATCGACAAGTGTCAAATTGCAAATCAATGTCTGCAAATTCCCAAATTGTGGACCTTATAAGAAGCTTTACTGTCACTCTTAACATTTATAAAAGAAATATGATGATGTGAAGTCGTGCCCCACTTTATTTATTTTTTCTTCGATTCAACAACTGTGACCAAGTTTGTTTGTTGGCTGGCTGAGATTTCTGCAACTTTGACTTTGTCATGTTCTTCTTCTACCTAATCCCTTCCTTTTTCCAAGGAATTACGCAAAACATGTGTGTAGTTGTAATTCACCACTAATCTTAAGTACTCGAACCGATAAATGTATGTACCCCACACAATTTTCTACTTTTCACACAGGCTTTTCGTCAAAGCCTGTGAGTCTCAAACAACGTATGTGTGTACATATTTATAGCTGGTAAGCTGCCCCTCTACTGAGCAATAATGTCATAAAATCATAAAACTCATTTGGAAAATGTGTCACCCGACTCTCAGCAGTAGTACAAAAGTAACAAGTCCACATCACACAGATCTACTGGCTGGGTGACATTCCATTTCGGCCTTCAAACTCAACTCCTGGGGTTGGGATAAGCAAATAGCAGGTTACCCGGTTTTTCCTCCAACAAATCAGGCAGCACCAAGACAGGCAAGTAGCAATAAGTAGCAAGTAGCAACCCCTTCCAAATATCTACGTCTGTCTTTCTCCTTGATCTCAGAACAGGCAGCAGCAGAATCATCCCGTCGTCCTCATCGTCGTCGTCTTGGTTTGTGCTCAACTCCAACTTATTCCTCGCTCTCTCTTCTGCAAGTTTATAGCTTAGTGAGCTTTCACCGTCGACCAGTTTCACAATTCGAATTCATTCACACACAGCTCCCCTGCACCGAAGAACATACAGCTTTGTGGAAAATATCCTCTCGAATCTCCTCACACTGACTGACTCTCCCTCTCCTCCTTCTCATCATCAAAGTCCCCGTATGGACTTTGTCAGATAGTGGGGTAAGGATTTTGCGTCTCATTGCGTTTCGGATTTTGTCCATCTTCTTGTCTTCTTTTGTAAGACGCGTTTCTCTTTATTTTTCTTACAAAGAGTGGAGACTTTGCCCATCGTGAAAGTAGCAGTGTCAGAAGAGAAAGTTGGTCAATATGCAATTCGGGGAGACTTGATACAACTACTTTGTCCTCCATTTCGGGACAAATTGCTGGTCGTGATTGAGCCATTTTGACTCTTTTTAGCATGGATTAGTTCCCTGATGCACAGGAAATCGTAATTAATCCATGTCACCGTGGTCAATTACCCTTCTGCGTTTGAGCTCTTGGTATAAAAATAAATTTGGCGACTCTTCCACTTCATCGTTGGTCACAGATGTGTCATTAAGTAGCAAACTCGCCAAGAGATCATTTACACTGACGGAGTAGTTTTTCCGACAACTGACCTCGCTCAGCGGACTGTCATCTGGCACACGTGTAAAAAAAGAGAGAAAAAGAAGAAAGTTAGCTTGACTCAATTTCAGTTCACAAATGTTTTCTTCCCTCTTTCACAAAACTGAGGGAAGCCGAAATGTGGCCGCTTGGATAAGCGAGTGAGCAGTGAAAAGTTGTTTTAGAGAGCAAAAGTTGCTAGTTTTTGAGACTATATTTCCATCCACCCAACCCAACAAAAGTAACCCATTTGTAACCGATTTGTGTGCATGACAGGGTTGACTGGCATATCATCAGACGTATTTTGTTGTTTTTACAACAAGGACAAATCGTCTGCATAAGAAAACCATGCGGAGAAAGTTGAAGCCGATAAGCCCCATCTCCGAGCACCGTTCCAGGACATTTACTCCTGATCTGGAATAAACGGAAACATTTGGTGTACCCACCAGACAAAACTGGACATCGTTTCGGCCAGGAAACTGGTCAAGAGAGAAAAATGAAAGCAATTCAAATTGCTATATAAAGAACTCTTATTTACAGAATTAGAACGTTGTGGTTGTTTTCTTGCGAGTGTGTCAAAAGTTTATTAATCATCTTTCTTTCCACGCATTATTGTGAGTACTCGAGTCTATTGGGGTCGACCTCTTTATAAAGAAGAAAAAGGAAGGAAGAAGTCCATCCGTGTGCAATTGTTGATAGTTTGCGCTACATTTGTTTGTTTGTTTCTTAAAAGTGAACAAGTTCCTTTTTTTCTCTTAAAAATTGAGTGTGTGCAAAACAAGGGAAATTTGCAAAGGCTCAACTATGGATTCTTCTCATGGAAGCAGCATGAACCACGGATATCAACTTCTCCTTCGTCTACTTTTCTTGCTACTCGTGGGTAAGTTTCCGACTTGAACAATACTTAATAAGGCTGATTCAGTTTGAATTGCCTTGACTAAAACAATGGCACGTAGTTTTAGTTATAGTTGGCTGGTTCACCTGGCTAGCATTGCGTAACCATCATACCAACCAATTGTACATACATACAAAGGCAGACAGGTATTAGGAAAATCAAAATCTCACTGAAATCACGCACCATGCAATCCATGTCAAGCTCATCACTACTAAAACGACGAGTGACTAGTTATACCAGAGTGAAAGCCAGAATTTAGCTGGGAGCATGATGGATTTGCCACTGACAAAATCTGTGGGATGAAAGTCATTTATTGTTCAAATATATATGTAGAAATACGTAAGTACTTATATAACTCATTCGTGCCACTGGTTTCCGCATAATAATCAAATCCAGCTCGCCTCAAATTTACAAACCTTTAAACCGCAACTAATTCCCGTGGATAACGCGGCAGTTGGTGGGTCGAATCAAATCTAATCACGACAACTAATAAATATGACTGACTACGTATACACATTATACAAGTGGTGGTGGTGGATCTACTAGTCTGCATTGATTAACTTATTGCCCAATTAACCAGGCGGGTAGATTTGTGTTCGTGGAAGTGAAAGCAAAATGGTACGGATTTACGAACGCTGTTGAACAATGCATGTTGAACGTAGTTTACGGCTCAGAGAGTATTTATTATATTGGGAGAACATAAGCCGTGGAATTTGTAGAGATCAACACGAAAATCTGGAAGGAATAATTTAGGTTTATTATACATTGGGAAGGATTAGTGAGTCCGAATAATAATATTCTTCTGAGTGTCGATTCAAACATAATCCGTGACAAATATGGCTGCGTACTTTAAAACGGTGTAATCCGGCTACTCGAGTTGGCTGGAACCGAACCCGACATTATTTATAAGGGCAGTTGTTGATAGTCTATCTTATTTCCATCAAGTATACATAATCTGTTTATTGTCAAAAATTGAGGGCAATTTCCTCCTCGTATACATAAAACAGTTCGTCTTATTCGGAGTTCGTTCATGGGTAGGAGCGAACGATGAAGAGAAAGAGACGGAAAATTCAGCCTGAAACAATAGTAAGGCAAATGGCGTCAGTAATTGCGACAACGTAAATAAATTGGACACCACCCCACCCAACATTATTTCTTCTTAGTCGTCATTATTTCTTCACGTATCAAGAACTAATGTAATTGTTCTTGAACAAATTAGAGCTTTAATGATCCTGTGTGAGATACAATAGTCTTGGAGTTTCGTGTATTTATTTTTTTTCATGGCCGTGAGGACAGAGATTCATTTTAATAGAAAAAGTTTGACAATTTTCGATTGACTTGTACAAATACTCCGAGATGAAAGTTACATATGTATGTATTTGTTTATCAAAGGTAGCATAAATTGACTCTAAAAGTTGGTCCCCTCCGATTTTGTTGACAATTTTGGCAGATTGCTTGACAACTCCTCAGGTAATTGGGGTGCGTAGGCGTGTTTGCTTTTACTTTGAGATGGAGCACGTAAAAAAACATTCAACCATTTGTGAAACACTTTACAACATTACAACCTGTACATAAGTCAGATTGAAGTTTATTTTAGAAAATGAAACACTAAATGGTATCAAAGGACTTCTGCTTTTTCTGACTATAACATTTATATGACTTAATTTACAATGTATAAACCCATTCTAGCGACTTTTCAAGCCCAGAGAAAAAGTGGTTTTTATGTTTATTTTCATTTTTCACCCAGTTATTACTTCATGAAGTTTAAGTAATACTAAATCTGTCATTGCGTAACCTAAAATGACGCCGTAAACGACGCAGTAGTTCCTAAATGGCAATTTCGTGAACCACTTTACATTTACTCACGTCTCACCCACAGCCAGTGTTGGTGGATACTAAGGAAAATTAAGAGGACTGGAACAATCTCATGAATACAAAGTGACGAAATAATCAGGGGAATTATCTAAATTCGGTGTAAATGGTCCAGCAGATTTCTGAGAAATTTTACTTAAATACATCCGTCGGACCGTAAAATTTGCATACGCTTAATAATTGTGACCATATTAAAATTAAGAAGAACAAGTAAGGCATGAATTAACAATCTAGTCTCATTTATTAAGCAGTCTTTTTAAACTAGCATAATTTTAAGGAGCTAATCATTGTACTTCGAAGAAAATTTCAAGCATGTATTCGCAGATATTCATGTACATACGTCACTACTTTCTCTGACGTATTAAAATAGAACAAAACGTTACGACTGGTCAAATGAACGACGTCGTTTATAAAAATTAAAAATGAGACAGCTCGAGAAGAGTGACAGACCTTTTGTCTTCAGACTTTATTCGTATGAAGCCATTTCTCCGAGTCATATTTATTGCAGCATACCTGCAAGGCATACATAATAATGTGCATCGCTTGCATTTCTTCCTTGTTTATTAGACAAGATCACAGTTTTATGGGGTTTTTGACAGTGACGGCAAACCCTTATTATACATTTTCAAGTGGACTGAGAAATTCAGGGCATAACGCTTGAAAATCACACAGATCATCATTTTATGTGGTTGAGATGTTGTCTTAATCGATAATCTCTCACCACTGGTTTTATTTTGACATGAATGATTTACAGTTCAAGAGAATGCAAATTTCCAAAGACTTCGTTTCACCTACATAAATCCCAGGTCTGCATAATCTAACCAGTATTTGCAGGTGTTGCGGGCTTACTTTATTAAGAATCGTGTAGAATCTAACTTGGTAATTTGTCCATTTAAATATTGGCACAGTTAATTAATTACTGTCCAAAATTAAGAATTCTGTTATTAAACTGCTTCCTAAGAAGGAGTCTGAGAAAGATCTGTGATGTAAATGAGGTGTCCATTTTTCCCATTGGCACAAAAGAACTTGGAGAGAAAGAAGGAGCGACGTAGGCAGCGAAAATTTAGTCATGTTGAACAAATACTTTCTCCTCCTGGATTTTATCGCAGCTGTCCCCACTTTTTTCATCTTCTTGATAAATGAGCATTGCCAGGAGCTATCACTGTTGAATTTTTTAAGGCGAAAAATTCCTTCAGAAATATAACAATTGTGCAGAATCTTTCGGAATTTTGTGTGCATTATGTATTGTCCTTAAAACCTCGATGCTGGTAGTGTAGCAAATAAAACGTGGGTGGTGTTGGTTCGTATGCAGCAAATAGGTCGTTATTGCAGATATTATTTCTTCAGAGGAGGAGAAAGCAAGGGAAAATCCTTGACAAACAGGAATCAATGCGTATGTACATACATGCATCTGAATGAAACGAATGTGTTATTTTCAATCATATTCAAGTTGTTTACATGTATTTATTTGTGTTTGCGTTGAGGATGCTGTCAGAAAAGGTGTACACAGATGCGGTCTCTTTATGTACCAAAAAGTCCAAAGTTTTCCTACTTTAGAGATCGCACGTGTTTTGTTCCTGTTCGGATCGATTTTCTCCCATTGTATTTTAATTAATAGCAGGAACATTAAATTAAATGTGGGAAACGCCTCCTCAGCGTGCACAATATTGCGATCGGTTTCCTAGATGCTGCCGATGGTGAATGATCAAATTATCCGGCTTCATTATTCAAGTGTCATTAAAGAGATTTAATTTGAAATGTTTCGCAGAAACCGCAAACCTCCAGAGTCAACAGTTTTGATGATGGAGTATATTTCGCAACTGTTGTTCCAATAGTTTGCCCATTATGGAATAGTGCGAAGTATATATGTCACTTGCATGGAGTCCTTTAGAGCTTTAGTATCATAAAGGGATTAGCAGGACAATAATTTATGCATGGAGGAAAGTTTTATTCATGAAACAATTGTCCGTGTTACATAACCACCACGTTTTTCTTGCCATGCACAAAAAACTTACTTGTATTGCTATTCAACTTGTCTTTTCCGTTTAATGATATGCAATGGTGAAAGTTTCAGGTACGACCTGATTTTTGGAGATTACATTATTTATCATATCCAGTATTTTCATGCATGCATGAATATGTCGAAAAGAATGTGGAAAGTTTTAGAGTACTTTTTCACCTTGAGGCATAAAGTTCTTTATAAGTGTGTAAGGGATACGAAATATTGCATATTATGTATATTAGCATGATAGCATCGTATCGATTTCAGTTTGAGGATGACAACCATCCAAAATTTTTGTCCGAGACAATGGATTGTCAATATTTCATGCTGTATGCGAAAAGTTAACGATTTGGCAATTGCATAACTGCAAACTGTGCACATATATCGGGGAAAATTTGAATTACAAAAAATGTGCATTGGATTTGGATATGGATGAAATTTCCGTATCTCATTATTTACAGTTATGTAGTCGTATTTCTGTATGAACGTAAATAAATCGTAAATAAATAAGTAGGCATATAATCGTGTGTGCCTTAAAGTATGTAGTTGTTTGATATCAGATTAAATTGCTACCTTTTTTTACCTCACATGTAACTTGAGTTCCTGTTTAGTAACAAAAAAGTTTTTTGATTCTTGCCATCTTGCCATCATTCTTTGAAAATGTCAAAGTCACCTTGAAGATTTTCATACTTTTAAACTTCCTTTATGCTTCCTCTACCGCATTTTTCCACTTTCCGTCTCCATATCATACCTCAACTTACCTTGACTGATCTCTTAGAAAATATGGCACATCCTCTCAAACAAAACGTATCCCTAGAAGAAAGAAATATGTGGAATTTTTCTCATTCAAAGACATTCTCTCCCTAGTTTTTGATTACATATAAAAAAGTGACCCGCATTTCAAACGGTTTCCATCATCCAGCTTCGACATACTTGAACAATTTGGATCAACTCTCGAGTAGTATTATCCGATAAGAAGAAAAGAGAGAAAGTCTGTCTGCTCGAGTAAAAAATGATCACCTCGCCGACAGGTAGTCCATATATTTCAGCTCGTTTGAAGAATTTGAATTTTCACAATTCTCTGTGATTGTGTGAGAGTGAAAGTGATGAAAAGTGGCCACTACCACCACCGCCGTGAGCTACTAACTCAATCTCTCACCCTCACCTCACGTCGATAACTTTCTTCCTCGTCTCACCTCTGGGCTTCTGTCTGTCTTCGTATCCATACGAAATGCGTATATTGATTTTGAATTAAAATACACGAGCAGCTGGAACCAGGGCGAAGAAAAATAAGTCAAACAAAGGGCTCGATCCACTTTCTCCCATTCAATCTGTTTCGTGTGCATATATCCTCCTTACTTACTTTTACTTCCCAGTCACCCCATTTGTCTGGTGGTGGCGTCTCACGTATACTTTCTCTCACTGCATGGCGTGAAGTGATTAAGATGCATTTTTATTTTCATTTGCGATCTCCTTCTCTGAAAAAGTAGAATAAGTTTAGGGATCAAGCTCAACCATGGCACTCAAGATTAATGAATCAATGACGGTGATGGTGATGCATGTGGTTTGTGGGTTTCCCATTAATATCTGTTAACCTGGGGTCTTTTTTCATCCTTCACTTGTGAAACTGCAGTGAAAAAGGATCTAGATTTCGAAGGAAAGATAAATTATTAGAGGTGAAAAATGACACTGGGGGATTTTATGCAAGAAAAACTTTTGTAATCTGACCCAAAATCTGGGAAATGGAGCGGCACGATAAACATTGGTGGAAAGATTGGACCGTTTATTGAAATTATTCAGTGATGGTCAGACAAGCTTGACAGAAATGTTGTAAATAACATCATGATTTATGATGCAACCTTTAAGAAAATTGGTCCAAATTTAAGGGTTGAACTTTGGAGAAATTTATTTATTTACGGATTATTTTGCAGGGACGGGGATGACTTGGTGCGATGACCACGAGATCCGCTTGATGAAGCACTTAATGCTAGATTACGACGCGTAAGTAGCATTTGTCTAATTAACATTTTATAACTAATAATCTAAAAATAATAACAATTTTTTGTCCATTTGCATCAACACTAACAAATCTAATATTAAATTGCACCATCATTTTTATTGCAGATCTGTCCGCCCAGCCGCCCACCACAGCCAAGCACTCTCGGTCAATTTCAGTCTTTCACTTCATCACATTATCGACGTCGTAAGTAATTACGTTCTACCCTCGACCTTGTCAGGTTACATCAGTTAAAAGTAGACTCATATTCTGCAGGATAGAAGCTTATTAAGTGTGTCATACTTAGGGAAGAAATTCATGAATGAAACCGGTGAAAGCTATAGAAAGTTACATTTACATTTGCAATTTGTAAATATCGCACACAGTTTTTATTTCTGCCTTGATTGATCCACGCTACAAAATTCTGACAATGTTTTGATCATTCAAGATTGATGTTGTTATTCTTATCTAACTGGGAGTAAACAACAATAAAATGATAAACTAGTAGTAAAATTCACCTTCAAAATAGTTTTAAAACGAGGAAATAATGGATAAATAAGTCGTTGATATAGTTTTCTGCCACACATTAGGCTAAAACGTGGCAGTGAAACCAAGTCGAAAACTTTTCTTAGCATCATCACATTAGCATCAAGACGAGCAGGGTAAGCTGAACAAACAACTTTACACTTTCACCCATCCCAAGTCACACATCCACAGCGTCCCATTTCCCCAAGTAAGACTATTATCTCGGTAAAGAGGAAAGTCGGAATTGGACGGGATCCTCCTCACTCTTTCTCCTCCGCTCCGCACACTGATCTGAACTTTGGACCACTTTAGCCTTTTAATTCAATTATACAGATTGATTACTCAGTTTTCTTCCTCTTGTTAGCCGGAGTGTGAACTGAGCAAATATTTTATCTGACAGCAAAGTAGAAATATTATTAGTGGCGACAGATTGATGATAACCGAGAGTCGAGACATTTGCCTACGTGATGGACGCCATCCATGAAGCAAATTATTTGTTGGCAGGATGAAAAGAATCAAATTCTCACGACGAGCTGCTGGTTAACACAAATCTGGATGGATAACCACTTAACGTGGAATGAGACTGATTTTGGAGGCGTTACAGTGATTCGACTCCCCTACTTCAAGGTTTGGAGGCCGGATATCATTTTGTACAATAAGTAAGTTTTCATTTAATAAACTTATATTCAAGTTAGAGTAGTAATTCATTAATAAATGTGTATATAAGTGTTTCGGGTATATTTAATTGTCGGGTGAACAAAGTTCGCAGTTCATTGAGATCGATCCTGGTAAACGTTATGTAATACACTTAAGAACATCTTGAAAGCCCACCACTCAACAGAAATTGTCAATGACGCCCAGCCAGAGTCACCTAATCCTCAACATCTTTCGGGGCAATGATACTTAATAAATGATAAATGACCCTTTAGCTCATCCATTCACCCGCCCACCCACTTCCTCCTTTAACAATATACATTTTGACGATGTATTTCTAGCCCAGCGTCGATTCTAAGTATTTCCAATAAGCTAAGCTCCACTCTATCCGAGCAAACAATTGTCTGTATCCTGTCCACAACAACGTTAAGGCGGAATATCATGCTGGCTGATGCGGGGTTTTTTGTTTGAATTGTTGTGTCTCAACTTTCCCTTCCTCCATGTATTCAAATGGCGATTTTGAAAAATGTTCACCGCCTTTCGTTTTTAACAATATGAAGATATTAATGCACCTAAAAATCGGTAATTTTTAGGCTTACATAGTTAGGAGATAAAAATTTTGATTTTTTTCTTCAACAAGAAGATAAATATAAAATAGATGAAAAATAATCAATAAAATTTAAATATTTCCTCATTGAAGAAAAAAATCAAAATTTTTATCTCCTAACTATGTAAGCCTAAAAATTACCGATTTTTAGGTGCATTAATATCTTCATATTGTTAAAAACGAAAGGCGGTGAACATTTTTCAAAATCGCCATTTGAATACATGGAGGAAGGGAAAGTTGATACACAACAATTCAAACAAAAAACACGTGATACAATGCCACGTTAAGAAGAAGTAGATATAATTTTCATGGAAAGATGAAAGGAAATCAATTCGTGGACGTGACAGGTCCAAGACGGCGGCCATTTCACTCAGATGTCATCTTTCCTTCCTTCCAGGTTTGATCCAAATCTTGTCTACAAGCAAAGCCAGCCAGCAATCCACTTCTGAAATTGGGAGAAGAGTCTCCTGAGGAGACAATAATAAATAATAATTCATTATTCTGGTTTATTTCTACCAAGAAAGTCTCTGCCAAAGACAGACCTTCTTCTTCTTCCTCTCTTTCTACTTACGGTCATTAAACAAATAGAAATAAATATGAACTTAAATTGCTCCGACTTTCACATATTGCTCCTCGTGATAGGGTTTTTTAAGACAAAAACTAACAGAATAAAGAAGAATATTCCCATTTGGCACATACTTTTGTTGCTCTTTCTACTGTGTCTAATAGGCGAATCCTGTATCAAGTTGGGTTTTTGCTTCATCAAGAAATAAATTGGAGTACACATTGCTCGTTAATATCTTGTATGTACATGTGCATAAAGGAAGAGTTGCATAATCCCAGCACTTTTCACCAACTGTTGTTTAATGGTGTCAAGATGTTAGTGGAGTAACCAACCAGATTCGACTTGGCCAAATTAAGTTGCATGCATAACTGGCTATACGTACGTATAATGGTTCCAAGGATAGTCGTTAAGGTGTCTGGAAACTTTCAATTAACTGAGATCCGTGAAAGAATTGGGGGGTTTCTTATATAAAAATCCTTCCCTTGATCTCATACGTGTAACCACCGTCGTTTCATTCCGCAAGCCATTTAGTGGACGTGAAAATCCCAATTAAATAGAGGAGCTTTGAGATTATTATCCTTCCTTTGGTCAAATTGAACTTCTCACAAGAAGTATTTCCAAAGTGCGTATCTGATAAAGGAGGAAACATGGTCGAGTTTTCGGATGGGCATTGGGAGTGGAAAGGATTAGTTTATTATCTCCTTTCGTTCGGAATGCTTTCTCCACTCCTAAATGCTTAATTGTATTTTATATTGTTGCGAATTGCCTTTGGTTTGGTGAGACACGATGTATCGTATCATCATCACCGTCACCAACTCAAATTAAGACTGTGGATTGTGCCATGTCGAGTTGGAATATGGAGAGTCCACGCTGGGAATAAAGTGATTCTCTAAACTTTCTCTTTTTCGATGCTGTCTTTACTGCGAAATAATTGGGTTGTCTTAAGTGTGACGTGAATTAACGATAAGAGATTTATTCGGAACTGGTTACATTTGTTTAGGAACCAAACAAATGTAACGAGTTCCATTCTCAGGCGTTATTTTATGGTGAAAATTGGAAGAATTGTACGCATTTCTTCAAAATTCGCCACTTTCACCCTAAAATAATGCTAGAATATTCCCCTATTTAAGTAAAAATGAGGTTATCGTATACTAACAAGATTTGTCTTTGTAATGTCACGTTGTCAGTCAGTCAGTAAACTTAGTTCTGCGTTATACGTATTTACAAAATAGAGGAAATACTAGGAATTTCTGGGGTTTAATTTAATCCCATCCTTCACAGACTTAAATCCTATTCTGCCTTGATGTTGTTGTCTGTTTGAAAAATGACATTGGCAAAACATGAAAGATGTCTGAGCTTTTAATGCTAAAAAGTCTTTGAAGGAATTGCAAAAAAACATTTATATTCCATTCGTGACTAGTATCTGACTTGTAACGTACGTATTGTAAAACTAGCTTATTTTATGAAGGTAACGAGTCCCATTTATTCAGCTTGTGAGCAATGTGTTCTGAAAATATCTGATGCCTGACGGACTGTGTGGTTGTCCTTGTGTCCCAATATTTATGAATTTTGCAAATAGTATAAGTAATGCGAATAATATTTACATTTCCGCATTATGTGAGGTGTCACACGTCTTTCTCTTCTTATCTTTTCCAGTGCTGACTCTCAATACCAGTCCTCCGTGATCAACACGAATGTCATCGTCGCGAACAATGGCGAAGTGACGTGGCTGAGTCATGGGATTTACAAAAGCTCCTGCGACATAAATGTGGAGTACTTTCCCTTCGATATCCAAGTGAGTGTTTCAAAGGAAGCCAGTTATTAATTTATTCGTAAGTACATAATATGTGTGACTTCTTATCCAGAACTGCACTTTGAAATGGGCTTCATGGTAAGTTGGGGGGATTACTGATTAACCTAAGTTATCTATGTTAAACGCAATAAATACAAAAAAATCAAAAATGGAAAATTTGATTGCAGGACTTATGACGGTTATCAGGTAAGTCAATCTAATACTTATGTCTTATGTACATATTTGGATGCATAATATAAATTTTATTTCATCTCTAACACAAATAAATAGGAGAAAGTGAAATTTCAGATTTCACTTTCTCTTACCTTTTTGTGCATTAATTTACATTCGGCGATTACGTAGTGTAAAAGTCGAAGCATAGTCTGTTCATGAACAAATTGTGAATACTTAAATTGTAATTGATTTTTTTAGTTTCATAAGTTCCAAGGTGTCATTAAAGGCTAATAAAATATTTAAGAACCGTAGTTTATCAATAGTAAAATCAAGACGTCATATAGAATTCTGTAAATTTTTGCTCGTACATATTTATTGAAGTTAATACAAAATAAGTATGAAAGGACATGATACCAGTAATTTGTAATATTTGCTGATTGTACGACGGTCTATCATGTAAATAGGTACCTCATAATATATACATACTAAAAACTCCTATTTCAACGTAATCAAGGCTCTGAAAGTACCTCTGACAATTCCTTGTAGGAATTTTAACACGGTTTTCTTCGTGATTCTAAATACGCCTTTCGTCCCAATGCACAACGGTTTACAAGATTTTCTAAACTTATTCATGTATTTCTTCTCAAATTTTGAACTAAATTCAAAATACTTCCACGATCTTATCGTAGCAACTGCACCCTTCTGAAACGTTGCTGAAAGAGTGAGCACTATTATCCAGGCGATTTGACAAACTGCTGTCCAAACTAGGGCAACCATGAGCACAATCAAAGTCATAGAATGACCATGTCTGACCAACATGTAGTTCAAAATGAGTATAAACTGTGAAAGTAGGCCTTGCATAGGAAGTATCACTGGCCCCACGTGGATGAGCAGATTTTTTATGAAAATTTCAACCGTTCTATAAACTAGGATAATGTTATCCGGTGTTCTTCTCAAGGTGGGAATGGTAGCATAGTTCGTTCTACGAGATCTTAACTCCTGACATAGAATTGGGTAGATAAGCAGCGCTGTTGAAAATACAAGGATTGCAAATCCAGATGTTAAAGCTGTCCCCTGATGTATACACGAATAGACCACTGTTTCATACCGATCCAATTGTTAGTAAAAAATTATTGGCATAATGTAATACGATTTTTACATACATGGCGCATTTCCCCAGTAAATGAGCCAATGTGTACCCCAATCCCCGGGTAGAATGCTGTTCGGATAGATCATGTCCAACGGGAAAACCAAATAGTGGAGGAATACGATGGGGGCGATGCCAAGTAAACTCAAAATGGATAGAATCAACATCCGATCAAAATAGTAGTTCACCTTGTTGTCCGAGTCGTAGTGTGGGATCCATTGTTCTATTAATTGAATTAAACAACAATAATAACTTGTAAACGATTTAGTAAACTACATATATTTACTTTGAAATGTGACGGAATAATCCAGCATTCCGTTAATGAAGGGTAGCACATCTTCGGCATAAATTGACATGAGTAACATGTTCAAGGTTTCCAAAAGGCAGAAGAAAGTCATCCCGACTGCGATGAGAAACTGGTGAATATCGCGTTGTTTGGCTTGTATCGTTCTGACCATGCAGAACAGAGCGAAAGAAGCCAAGATGCAGGTTGCGATACGATTCCATATTTTTTGGAATTTTCGAATGCACAGTCTTTTCGTTTTAAAATTCCATGACCAAGGGATCGAACCTCCAAGGGAAAATAGTAGAACGGAATATTGCAATATAATGTAGAACAATTTACTAAACATGTTTAGACCTAATGTAACTTGGTTAGGCGTCTGGTCGTTGTTCAAGCTACACAGGAAATAAATGACGCGACTTGTTTTGCATTGTCCTTTGAAATGTTAGACCCATAATAAAATTATGGGTCTTCTGTTTATTTAGACTTGAGACAAATTTGCAATTTTCTGTTATTACGTGGATGCATTAAAAAAAGTATCCTGTTATAAATGACTGGAAATTCAACCAATTTAGTTAACAACTATACTTTGTAAACGGCAGTTTTACTGACCATTAAATATATGTCTTGTTTTGTTTACAGTTAGATCTGGTGATTACGACGGAGGAGGGGGACATTAGCAACTACCATGCAAACGGAGAGTTTGACCTCATCGGCTTAAGTGCATTTCGACATGTGCAGATTTATTCGTGTTGTCCAGAGTGAGTGAATTATTTAGTTCGTTTTTTTTTAATTCTTGAAATTTTATAGTTCTCAAACTAATCATCAACAATTTTTCTATGTACGATTGGAAATTGTAAATGTTTTCCTGTTTTTGCAGGCCTTATCCAGACGTCACGTAATTATAATAATTAATAATAATTATAAATATATATAAATATATATAAATATATTTATATATATAAATATATAGAAATATATATTTATATACATATATTCTATAAATACAGGGTGGTTAAAATGTCACGCCACAATGAAAAATTTTTCAATGGGAAAAGTCCCTAAATCTCCATTAGTTACAAGATTTGGGATTGAGGTTTTTATAAATTTTTATCAAAACTGATGACAAAATTCTTAAAATGTTGCATTTTAGAGACAAAATTTCGGTAACTAATGGAAATTTATGGATTTTTCCCATCGAAAAATTTTCCATTGTAGCGTGACATTTTAACCACCCTGTATATTCTATAAATATTTATATTCTATAGTTATACCATAACGATGAAGCGAAGACCAATGTTTTACGTTTTCAACCTGATAATACCCTGTCTGCTTATCAACGGAATAGGTACGAGTAAATACGGTTTGCTTATTAATGGAATAGGTGAATTGCGCTAGACCTGCTTTCTCCGTACAATACTCATGCCGAATAGCATGTAGTTGCGTTTGGCGGATGAACTTTATGCCTTTAGTTTTTCCTCTAATTTTCCCAGAAATATTAGCCATCTTACTCATCTTACTGCATACGAATGATCAGCAATTTTCATATTTTGCAGTAATATTTTTTATAAATACTACTTGGCGGATGAAAAGTTGGGAAACTGCGCAGATAAATCAATTTAGGAAAAAAGTCCATTCGGGGCTTTTATGTACATATGTGGAAATGCATTAGTTATACCTTGAGCAATGCATAAGTGCTCATATCCCATCCACCGACATTTTATCACATGCATAAGATCGTTAAAAGTAGTATCTACACACAGATCCGTGTGTCGCACGTTGATCTGAAGACGAAGGATATAATTTTGTCCAGAAAATTATACTTTACTGGTGAAACCGACTGCGTGTGTACGACAGACATTTTATATTCCGTAGACGGCATACATACATACATAAATATTAATATTTCAGATTAAAAATCAAGTCTCGTTCGCAGTCTGTTACAAAAATTAATAATTCTTTCTCGGTATCTTAAAATAATAGCTAAAGTGAAAGTGAAACTACAAAAGGAACCAGCTTTTCCTGGGAATTTGTCTTTGGTTTATTTACGTGATATGCTGCTCATCATCATCCATGCCAGTTGAAAATATGCTTTGTGACATACGTGTAACCCAAAGAGTGAGTGGAGGATATATTTGGGAGAAAGTCGCTACTGGTGAAAAGACACATTGACATGAATACAAATGAAGGAGATCTATTCAAGTCCACGACCCACCATGTCGCTTTCCATTCAATTCTGATGAACTCGCTCGTATCATTACAACATGATGAGGTTTTGTCTGGAAAAATGAAAAATTGTATGACATTCTTGTACATGATTTTTTTTTCTCGGAAGAAGAGACATCTAATCCTCGAGTCTGACGAACAGCTTGAGTTGTGGATGATTAAGTGTATATAAATTGTCCTTTCAAGGGGTTACATGCTGGGGACTGATCCCTCATTAGGACTGAGGAGACTTAGGTTAAAGACTCATTGATAAACATGGCACAATTTTTTAGCAATTGATGCAGAATAATAATGTAAGCGGGGAACTTTTCAAAATTCGGATGATGGCAGCGTAATTTCACGGATTATTGTTCGTTCTAATGGGAATTGCATAACGTAAAGTTGGACAAATTGTGTCGTCTTTATGGATAGATTTTCGTTTTGGTTAAGGTTCGTGAGTTTTATGGTCAATTACACAAATAGGCCACAAAGGTGAATTTTAGAGGTTTGAGATGCAGGTCCCGTTGAGTGTTGCGTCATGGTTTACTGTAGGTCGTTATGATGAGAAATATTGCTAATTGACATTGATCATCTTTAACCACTCGAGTGAAGATAAGACTTCTAGTCAGTCCAATCAACATGGCAGTTTTATTAACAAAATCGCCTGGTGTGCCAATACGCTGAAATGGAACAGGCTTTGCCAATTTGACCGAAAAAATCTCATTTAATCCTTGGGATTATCAGTATTATCAATCTTTTCAGCGTTCATTCTAGCATCCAAACTGGTTCTAAAAATTAACTTGATTAAGTGGGTTTTAGACTAGTCTTTATTTATAAAATATCCGCTACTAAAAATTTTTTTACATATTGTATGTATATGTAACACAACACCATAGACGATATTAGACTAGATTGAACTTCACTTCACGTATGAAGCTAGTTATCCCATTTTTATTTGAGCGACAGAAATACACCCACAAAGTACATCACTAATTTGTAATATAAGTTGCTCAGCTTTGATCTTTACGGTCCATGTGTTTCAATGCAATATTTTAGTGCAACGAATCAAATTGCTTTCTAAATTGGTTGCATCGAAATAGTTCGCAGACAGACGTGCTGCACACATTTTTCCAATTCGCGACATCCGAACGGTAATTTGAACTAGAATATTGTGAGACCGAGTCTAAATTCTTCAGTTGCAAACCAACCGAGGCCACCAACCAACTATGCAATTCTCATATCATCCTTGGAAGATAAATACATAAACTACGGCGATGATGATGATCACATTCCGCAGAGTAGTTGGTTTGCCTTAACCTAATTTCGTTTTGAAATTCCACCACCACCAGCCTCACTCACCCACCAGGCAGACTAATCCTACGACGACGACGTATGTACGTATTCCAGCTTCCGACTTTCTCCACTGATCATTTCCAACTTGCTGACTTTCTCTCTACGTTAACGCTAACGTTGGTTGGTCTACGTGCTCCAAGATCACACGAACTTTTTGCTTTGATAACACTGAGAGTCGAGCTCTCCCTCATTTACAAATTGTACATCCACATCCTGCCACGCATCCCTTTCTCTGCTCCTGCTAACCCTTTGTCAAATGCTCAAAGTCCTCGTGAGTCCTTTCTCACTCATTCAGATCAAAAAGATGATGATGCTCGTGTTGGTTGGTGGTAATATGTAACGTATGGGGAAAGTTTGGAAAGTCTGTTTGATGGTGATGATGAAATGGGATAATTCTTTCTCCTTGGTGGAACAGTTTATAATTTATTGTCATGATCAAGGGAGCATAATGCGAGTAAAATAATGACAAATTTTTGGTTATGGCAAAGATGCCAGAAGAGTTGAAGAAAATCGAAATTTTACGTTTTCCTATAAATTCAGATATACTTATGTACCTATCTTTTTAGAAGAAATTTTGAAAATGGGCAGCATTTTGTTAGGTGGAGTTACGTAACTTGAATGGGTTCACCTCACCACCCGATCATTCCCACCCATGTACATGAGGAATTCTTATGTTTTATTAAACTGTCACCTCCAGAACACAACATCTTCGGATTCGAAATAGGGCAATGAGATTCCAAGTCTTACGAGATTTTGAATAACCTCTCAAGTGCTGACCTCGTTCACGTGTAGTGAACTAGAATAGCTTGTCAGCATAATTTACGTAACATGCAGATATCCTCCAGTAAACCAAAGCATGCTATTTCTTCACCCGTCAATATGCAAACATAAATTTCCATATCCACCCTCCATTCCAGATAATTACATGCATTCATTTTCACCCAGCTGAAACCTTTCCACACATGAAACGAAACTCATTAAAGTAAAATCATCGATTTTTCTGCTACAAACTTTCTACTCCATATTTAAGAAGCGTACTTTTGTACACAGGACGAGGAGCACCTACGTACCTAATTCTAATTAAGCTCCTGTATACGTCTCCACTCCTCCGGAAGATTGTTATTAGTGATGAACTAGTTGGCACTTTGACAGAAAGTTTTTCACGCGAAAAAATCCCATCTAAATATATTGTACCTCAATCTGATCTGGGTAGGAAAATCCAAATAAAACATGACACATTTAGAATTTAGACACTCAATTTTATCTTCGCCCGATCAATACACGGTGTGCCAAAGTAGGCTGGAAACCAGATTGGAAAATTGTATGAAAAAAACTTTTAACACGGAACGAGATAAGTGAGCTGCATTTTTAACAAAGCGGAAGAATGCCTGATCAATCTGCCTGATCTCTTAAAGAAATTCAGTTGTAAAAAATCCTTGAAGTTCACTGTACCCTCGACAACACAAGTTTCCGCCAAGTTGCATTCCCCTCAGGGGCAGGTGTTCCAATGCCAAACTTTATTGTACTTTAAGGGAAATGAATCATAATAAAATGTGAACCCATACAAACTTTTCCCCTTATCTATTTGTTTCTTGTCATGTAGAGGATAAATTCCTGTCATCGTTCATCTCAAGTCGAGTGAGTATAAAAGATGCTTCGAAAACAGAGTCAATATTCTGTCTGAGACTACACAGTTTCTTTTTTATGATGGGAAAACGATTGTGCTTCATGGTTGGACGGATGTAATATCGTGATTTTGACAATGAACAAAAATATTCCTTCGTCAATTGGATCTCCGGTAGAAATGTAATTTACTTCCTCAGTGAATGTATTTTTTTGTACACAAAAACTGAGCATTTTAGGAATTTGATCTATTTAATACTTTCATCAGACAGGCAAAGTTTATGTCTACCAAATCTGGAATGATTTATACTAAACAAATAGTAACCATTTATGACAAACAGGAATGTCAGATCGAATTTATGCATCCTGTTAATTTGACGTGACCACGAGATAAATCTTGCTTATCGTGAATTCCCTTTTTCAACGTGACTTATAATTTTTGCAGCACTGCTCGTCTTTTTCGTTCCATGCGACAGTGGGGAGAAGGTGACACTTGGAATTTCAGCTCTTTTGTCAATGACCGTCTTTCTCATGACAATTAGGGAGAGTCTTCCTCCCACGGAGAAAACTCCGCTAATTGGTGAGCTTAATTGTACCCGGTTTAGTTTTAGAATTCTAATAATAACGTGTTTCTCTTCCTTCTTTAGCTCTCTACTACGGCGTTTCCATCTGCATAGTCACCTTCGCATCCGCCTTGGCTGTGTTTACATTAAGTGAGTAGCTTTCACCTTCACTTTCACTTTCACTTCTTAAGCCGAAACTAACTACAAAGTTTGAATGGAAATGAATTTTTTTACTGTAGACATTCACCATCGCGGTTTCCGAGGTGTGACCGTTCCGAGATTGTTGCGATTCATCTGTCTTAAAATCCTGGCAAAAGTCCTCCTAATCCAAGGAGACCCGGAGGAAAGTACTGCTACCGTTGAGCAGAAGGAATCTCAGCTCGATGCTTTTCGCGAATTGAGACTCCAACTCAATGTGAGGCTCATCTCTTATCTTTCTCCTTTTATAGATCTCATATCAAAGCAAAACATATTATGCTTTTCCTCTCAGAGAAGAAAAAATCTTATCGTTTCCTGAAATTCTGTAACACAGACATTGTAGGGACATTACTAGGTATGTATATGGGCTGAATACACGGCGAGTGGGCGGCTGACAAAAAGAAAGTGCATTTGTCATAAACAATTATGTCTGAGTTCCTAAAAGCAGGGAAATTTTGCCAAAAAGTTATTGCATTTGCCATGTGTTTTGTACAATTGTGAAATTTGACTAGTGGTTTTATAGTGAATCATTTCTTGGGCAAATTGGTTTCTAATTTCAATAAAAGTATGTATTTTGGACCCAAATTGTACATTCCCTTCAGTCTGGCATAAAAGATCACAAGTTTGGAACATTATAACACAAATGTGGTATTAAATTTCGAGCTAAATATAATCTTTTCTCATGAAAAAGGTTAAAACCTCACACTGTCCTCACAAAGTAAAAGCTTTTTTTAGAACGCCACTGGCATCCTTCTATTTTGTCAGCTTCTAAATATGTTCAGTTGCTCAGTTTCAGAGTGAAATCTGTACTAATCTGAAAGATAGCCTTCATATTCTATGCGTATTCAAACAAACCATTCAAAATTTGGCAAATAATGCTATAAATTATTTCGAAAGGATTTCTGAGGAACGTCTTACCAGTTCTTTGCCGCTATTTAATACGATTGCCGAAATGCAGTTGGCGAGCTTAGGGTGAAACTGTACGATGCTATAAAACCAAAGGACACGGTCATTGAATATTTATCGATGCTGGGGTTGCATCATCCCTGAAATGACGTTCTTATACTTTAGTACGGATTCTCTCTAAGCTGAAAACTAGGTCCATTCCATCTCCATATCTCGGGAAACAAGATTCCCTTGTTATATTTACCACATACTGATATCTCAAGGCAAAACCAAAGACAGCGTGGCAGAAATACGTGATGCATGACCATATCCTCCAGACCAACCTTCCCATCTCTATAAAAGTCAATCTCAATTTTGGAATCAGACATAAAAACCGTAATAACAGCAACAAGAAGAAACTTTGCTATCTTTTTACTATGTTTATTTTTTCGTACCTGTTGTGCAAATAGTAACAGAACAGCGGCCCACCGAACAAAAAATTATTATGACCTTTTACGGCCAATTTCTTAAGAAGAAGCCTTCTCAAAATTTCCCAGCCTTGAGAATTTTAGCAGTTGACAAGAAGAGCTGATGGTTTAGTTGCTGGCTTATGGCTCAGTTGGTCCCCTTCCTGAGTCCAAATTGCAGATTCATGTCACCAGCCTGAACTCATCCACTCTTCACTTTCTCTCCTCTCTCACTCTCTTAAACGATATGGTTGAGGAGCAGCATGTAGTGGTGGTGGCGAGAGTGGAGAAAGTCCCAAAAATCGTATCATCCTCCTCGTAGACCTCGTCTTTTGTGGTGAAATCTACTAACTGTCACCTCACCACATTGAAGTGAAGAATAACGAGTTGAGGATATTATTGAGTTGAATGCTCTTTTTTCGTTCGTTCCCTTACTCAACTTATTTTCATCCGAGAAGAAGCGCTTTCTGAACAAACACTTGAAAACTTTTGTCCAAATCAATAAAATCAATTAGATTTATTGCGCATAAATTTTTATATAATTAAAATTATGACGTTACAAAACTTGATTTCGACAGGGTCTTCACCCAGCAATTAGGCTAGATTCCCGAAGTGCTTCAAGGAAATACGACTACACGGATGTGGTCCAACGATCCCCACGTTTCGAGCCCAAGACGACGAATGTCGTGGGAACTGGTGGTGGAGGTTCGGCTGGTGGAACGGGTACGGGACAGCCAGCCTCGCTCGAAGACATTGACCACAAGTTTAGTCGGATTGCTTCCAAGATTTGTGAAACGATTGAACGTTGCGAGTTGAGAACGGCAGCGCAGACGAAACAGGATGCAAATCAGCTCGAGTGGAAAAAGATTGCGTTGGTAATAATCCAATCCGAATACATAATTCAAATGTCACATGCATATTCATAGATTGGAAAATATGACGGTTTTTTAATTTCTCGCAGGTTTGTGACAGATTTTTGTTTTGGGCTTTTACCATCGTCACTGCCGTTTCTGCGACGCTCATCCTGTTCTCGTCACCGTATGGACCTACATTTTCCATGTTTTACGATATTTAAATGAGATATCAAAACATGATGATACTAATTATGCTCTCGTATACTGTGCTGATGCCATAATATTCTTATGCGTTTTTGTAGACGAGCGTTGTCAAATGTATACTCGTGGGAAATTATTTAATATTGTCATTGTTTACAAAACGCATTTGCATGTATTTGCATATATTTGCAGATTTGTTTTTGCATACGTGTGTAAGTGTGGTATGGTGCTAAATAGGTATCTACACGTAAGTTATACGGTAAGATAGATGACTATATATTGTCACATTTCGTAATTAATTACTGCATACGGTGGTATTCTGTATGTCACTTTGTGATGATCATGAGAGGTTGCGTGACATATTTTGTCTGAATATTAAAAAATTTCACATTCAATATGAAATTTCATATTTCTTAAGTTTGTCATAAATAGCTAATCATCCTCTTGTACATAAAGATGCACAATTTCTGTATTCACAATGTATGTACTTACAACTTGGAAATTTATATTTAAGCCAGAGTAAAATATAATTAGAGCTTAACGACAAATCTATTACGTTACCCTAAATATTTAAGTATGTAAAGTTAAAAAAAATATTAACAACTCTACTCTACTCACTATAACCCAGGGTTCATACCTCTATATGAATCGACACGTTTTACAGTTACGTAAATATGTATGTATATGCCTAAGGATAAGTAAGCTGTATTTAAATATACTTTCATTTTTCCCCACATACCTACTTATTTTTATGTCATACTACATATATTACGTAACATATATACTTAAGCATTTATTGTATAACTGGATCTACTACAGCATACGTAAAATAAAGAACACAAAATTACTTGGATTACGTAAAACCGTACCCAGACTAAACATGATCCCGGCCAGAAATAAATTGTCATGTCCATGTTCATCGTTGCATAACTTTCTCTCAAGCCTACGCAGCAAGAATCTGGAGACATTTAATTGCGTAAAATTCATGGGTTTGATACTATATCTGTACTTCTCGTGCCGGAATCCGGATGCCTGTGAATTCGTTTATATTTATCCATTTAAAGATTTATTTGCAAGATTGCGTAGTATTTATGTTATGTATATACACATTCAAAACAATAAATTTAGGAAAGAAAATCTACCTCGGTTTGAAGGGGAATCTTACATAAACTCTCAGACTGAGAGTCTTTTACGGCATAGGATTGAGAATAAGACGAAATAATTCAAAATCAAATTTACAAAAAAACAGAAGCTCGATGACGCTTTATTTTCGTTGCATTGTCGCATTGTACATACAAAAATAAGTGTTTAAACTAGCATTAAAAGTACAAAATATTGCACACTAATCATTTACAAAATATTATCTAAAAATAGTTACGTAAATGTTATTAATCGTACTTCTTTTACACAGAATTGCACATTACCACGACTTTCATAAATTAATTCGACACCCGTACCAGCTTGCGAAATGAATACTTTAACAGTATTTATACACACTTTGCTCAATCTTCCATCATACTTACATAACCAAATCCAGTTTTCATAAATTAAAAATTAGCCTCATTCATATGTCATCCTGATTTTTTTCTTAAATTTTCTCACATTTTCTACATTCTCGTGATTTCAGCTTCTGAATCAGAGCCGACGTCTTGTTCCATGTCGATATCGCCACCAGAAACGGCCGACGAGACGGGAACAGACCCACTTGACGATATCTTTCTAGCATTCATGGCACAAATGTACTCGTCCGCGATGGACCTGTCCAACCCGGTGTAAGTCCGACTCACGTCCACCTCCGTGACCTCGGTGATCTCATTATTTTTCTCGCTCTCCGTCTTCGCCACGGAAATGACGGATGGGGCTTTCGACGAGAGGATTGATTGCGTATGGAAACTCTTTATGCTCGACCCCATCGCTCCAGGGGGAAGGAGACCCCGATTCCCTTGAGCTCGTCGTCTTTGGCGTCGATTGTGGTGATCTTGTGCCACAGAGAGGGACGCGATTGACGAAACGGGTGTCGCACTCCCAGCCCTGCGACTTCTCGGCGCCATCATAACTCCAGAAGGGGTCGGGGTCGTCCTGTAAAGTGGGACGAGATGGGTGGGTCCTTGATGGGGATGAGGTCCGAAGGAAAACTGGGATGAAGAGATGACCGATGGTGCGTATGGGTGGTGTGGTTGCATCATTGGAATCATGGCTCTTGGATGCATCATTGGATACGGGATTAATTGTGGCCTTGGAGCGGGGTAAAGGATGGGTTGAATTGCGACAAAGGAGGGTTGGGGGTACTTGTGGTTTGGTTTTTGGGGCGAATTTCCCCCACCTAAACCGAGCGGGATAATGTTTGGTCGCTGATTTCCCAACCAGTGGATGAGGTGATCCTTCCTCGCGTGGTATTCTAACCCGTCACGGATCGCAATTTCACTTCCCGACGATCCTTTTGATGATAAGAGATTTCCCTTCGTTTTAAACATGACTCTGACTGCGATTCCGAGGGAGGAGAAGCAGAGGAGAATTTGGAGAACGGAGAGGAGAAGGAGGATCGTGTTGATTAGGATTCCTGAAGAGTTTCTGTACTCGACAAAGTCATCCACGTCATTTTGATAATCCTTTTCCTGCCAGAAAGAGAGAGAGAGATATGAGTTATTGTGGGTACATATATTTCATAACTGTGTTTAATCCTCGTGTAACGTACGACAGCCATTATTGTTTTTGCATCCTGGAGAAGACCAGATATGGAAAATATCGCGAGAAGAATTACGGACGAGAGAGAAAAGACGATGGCGAGGAGGAAAACGTGTATTTGCCATTTTCGACCTCCAAGCCAAGTAGGTTTGGGGACTCCTCTTTTTGTACACATGGCACCAAGCTAATTAAAACGAGATGTTAATTATTATTATGTTAGATTAATTTAATCACCAATCAACTCTGTCTGATTCATTGATTTTCATTACCATTCCAGATATTGCGGAGACAAGTCCAGCCCAAAGACCTGATAAATGAAGGGTTAGTTCAAGGACTGTCAACATTCATAAAAATCGAAAATAATCATGATTGAGCTACGCACCAGTTCCATAGTGGAACAGATAACTTTGATATCTGATGGCTAAGATGCCCGTTAAGACCATGGCACCACCAACGGCAACCTGGAATTCATGTACATACATGTAAATTCACAAAGTTGAGTCGCTTATTATTGCTCATTGTCAGATCAACACTTACTTGACAAAGTCCCACAATAATTGCAATCTTCGAAGGGAGCGTTGCATTTAGGAGTGACGGCAAAAATTGGCTTCCAGTCCTACTTCCGTTCGTCTCTCTGGGACTATTGTTCCCATTGTTGTTCGAGATTCCATTCTCATTTTGATGTTTCTTTGCCGAGTTTTCATAATTTGTTCCTCTTCCATCTCCTCCAGAACTATATTTCTGAGGATTCTGACACTCAAACTCTCCTGCTTCCGATACAGATTTGACCACCTCGGATTGCACTGTTTCCGACATTTTCACAACTTATGTCTACGCAGGTGATTAATCCCAATACGATCTGGACACTCGTCTCAAATTCCCAATTTTATAATTCTACAATTTTGTAGTTGTAGTCTAATCCGTGTCCTGTGCATCACTGCAGTTTTATCCTGATAATGATCCCACCAACTTTCCAGAATGTCCAGCCAGACACATAAACACTCTCCAGCAGAGACAGTCTCACTTTCAAATCCGTAACACGAACCACTTTAGCTCCCCAAGCCCATGAGAATTTCAGGATTTTAACTCTATCCAACCTCAATTATTTGACCACAGGAAACCAAACCCACACAATATAAGTAATCTGAATGGATTTTGAGGTCCAATTTTCCACGACACGAGAAACCAAACCAACCCAAGTTGTAAATTATTACCAACAAAGTAGTTTCACTTTCAGTCGCGTCTCGTCTCGTTTCAATGAAGCAGAGAAGAAGAAGTAGTAAAAATAAATCAAGACTTGTTGCCACCAAAAGATTTCATCCAAGACTGTCTTGTCCACCAACAATCACGCTCCCTTCATACCACAGCTACTCCCATCCTTATTATTGCTCACTTGTCAAGCAAACATTCAAAATTCTAAGAGTTAAATACCACAGTAAGTAAGTGCAGGCATTAAAATATGCAGTCAGTGCTGGTAGATACATACGTAGTGGATGCATATGCATACATAAGTCCACATGTACATAGGGACTGCTTCGATGCATAGGTACACACATAAAATTCACACACATCTCGTCTCGTATCGTAAATACTTTCTTATAATATCAACAATTGGATACTCTCGTAACTAACAAACATCATCGTCCAACGTGTGTGTGTTATCTCTTCTGACAAAGTTACCAATCTTGTAATTACAGCGTGATACTTGGACAGTGTAAGAATTCTCATCATGAATACTGACAAGATTCCACATCCTTTTAGCAACTCGACTTCTTCAACGCACCGACAAACTAACGTGGCATTTACTTCCACCATTGTTGCATGTAATGGATGCAGATTTGATTTACAGATAGCACAATGGAGAGATATGTAGGCAGTTCAGTGTCATAATAATAACTGGCGATGCGCTGCTATGCTATTAATTCATAGATACACACTTGCCTGCGTTCGTAGGAACGAGTGAGTAAAAGTAGGTGGGTATACTTACTTCTTAAACTTTTCTCTAATAAATATACCAGAAAATGCCTCCAATTTACAAGGTATATAATAATAATGAGAAACGGAAAGTAAAACTTTTTGTTGACCACTTTATTGCTGTGGGCATGCAGACGCGCTGTCATCCTCTAAGAGCATCACTCACTTTTCTTTACCTGTATTCGTTCAGTTTCTTATTAACATTATACCATTAGATAAATACCCACAAGAAATTGCACACAATTTTCAACTGTACGTATGCATTTGCCATGATTAAATTGATGGGTAAACGCACCTGAAACTACACGCATATCATCGTAAAAAAACCGGTCATCGTACTACCACACATTGTATTCAAAAAGTGGTAGCATTTCTATGCAAAAAGTCCCACTCCATTTTTTACATGTGTACAGTGCGCTGTTCAATTAATTGTTTAAAAGAGTTGAACGCAAGTAAGTAAATGGTTTTCCGTTCGTCATTCCTATTTATTAGTAATAAATAATTGTTACGATACATAGAATTTGAAGGATGCACACACACAATGGCTGAGAGACGGTTGGGTTTATTACTTTGGCCAAGTCCAATAATGAAGGCTATTTTGTATATAGGCTCATTATTATATTATTACTCTTATTATTATTATGTATGGCAGCAAAGGCAATGAATTGCATGTAAAGAAATGTCATCAATAATGTCACCGTGCGGTGAAAGAGATTTATGCCATGCATACGTGTCATCGAGCGGTTTTGTATGGAGAATCGCAATTTGGTCGAGAGTCGCCTTTATCTCTTATCTGCTCAGAACTTTTCATTCACTAACAAGAAAACGCTCACAATTAGCAGTAGCATGTCAATCCAATATTTAATGATTTATTCGTGAGATGTCAAAATTCAAAGGGAAACATGTATGCACATACATTTGAAAACTATGCGTGTATATGTTTACTTTGACACCTTTTTACTTTTACGATGTTATGTTTGTAAAGTGAAAATTTCTGAATTGAGCAAACATTAAAGTCTTAAAGAAATATAAATTTCGAGCAAAAAATCAGACGGCATTTCTCGAATGTCATTCATACAGCGGATGGATGACGGACCATCACGACTTAAAGATGATGATGACGGTTCATCTAATCCAACATAATCTCTCCTACTAATCCATGGTCAGACTTTATAATCTGCCAGAAGCTATCACATCTCACAATTCTATTTTAGTTGTTGAATGTTAAACAATTTATGCGAGGTAAATGGTCCTGATTGTGGGGTACGTTAAACAAAATATACAATCTTTGGCACGCAGCAACAATGAATACCTAAAGGAACGAAATGTTAATACAGATTCACTTCTGCTTTTACATTCCATTCCACCCCATTGGATAGTAGTAACACTGCTATCTCACCTTAAAGCCAGATGATTTGGCCTCAATTCCAATCCAATATTATAGTATGTATATTATCATGTAAGTACGTATCTGCTCTTCGTTTTCATAAGTTGCTTATGACCTGACACACATTTCCCCATTGAAGCCTCTTCTCTGTCATTGTCCATATTATTCTTCCATTGATCATCAAGTCACATTAAGAGGTGTTTGCACCGTATCGAATTTTACTTTTCATTTTCAAAAGTCGGTAGTCCAACTGTGTGTGAGTGGTATTAGGACAAAATGTGTTACGGGAAAAAGTGTGAGAGAGCTCCTATACAGACAGACAGTAATAATGAATGATCTTGAATTATTAAGTTTCATATTTTTGTCTCAATCTCCCCTTAAATCCTGCGTGTTGATTTACTCAATAATGGCAGTGCAAGAAGATAAGCTCTTAATTGAACGTGGATATGTACGTGCTAACAATGAAAAAAATGTGAACCTGCTTTATTTTATGCATAAGTATTTTGACAAGCTCGGCTTAAACTTTTGTTTTTTGAGATTACTTATGCTTACATACAACAAGTGATGAGATGAGATGAAGAGATGCACGCTATGTGTATGTTGTTATTGGAAGAATGGATTAATCTGTGCACAAAAGAGAAGATGAGATTCAAACAACAAACATTGTCTTTATGCAAGGAAGGAAAATCCATAAAATAACAGAGGGCACGTACCATAAGGAAAACGGCACGATTTATTTATGTTTATGTTTCGGATCTATAAATACTGCAAGATTATTTAGAATGCTGTTTTTTTATTTCTGTGTGCACTTTAGCAATAAGGAAAGAATTGTTGTGAACAAGTATGATAGCAATAATTTTTGTAAAAACGCCCCAAATTATAAGGCACAAGCTGAAGAAATGAAAACCAAGACCAAACCAATTTCTTCGCCCCATTAAACGCTTTAATAGTATTTTTTACATTAATTCGTGTCGGTGTAGGGAAGGATAAAATTCTACTACTGCGGTTTATGCGTTGGTAGATAAATTGTGATAATTTTTTTCAAAGTCGTCCCTTCAACTATCGTTCTGTCACATCATAAGATAAACAATAAATCCTTGTCTTCTAAATTGTGAATTAAAATGTACACATTTTAATAATAATAAATGTCAGCTATTCAACTTTCGATACAATAAATGCTTAAACAAGAGCAGCCGTTTGTCAGAAATGCGTGTGGTGCGGTGGTGGCTAATCTGAAATTTAAATCGCAATTAACAGGCCGTGCTTAAACTTTTACGCAGGTAGAATTGCAATTGGCCCACAAATCATTCCCAAAGAAGTGATCGATAATTGGTAATTGACTCACTTTTTGCCTGCTTTTACTTTTCCTTATGCACAACCCAGGCCACCAGTATAATTACATTGATGATATGTTTGATGGGGAAAATAAATTTAAATTCTCATCAAGATCCAAATCCACTAGCATTCATAGCCCTGCAAAAGTGTACCCACGATGAGACGCGAGAGACTGATGACCGAGTCTTATTTCCTTCCTTATAAAATAATCGAAAGTGCATTTGAATCTTTCCTGTGGGCAAACTCGACTCAATCTAAATTGCAAATTTAACAATTTTTTTCCTCTTGGTAAAAGCAGCCGGCTGGGCTGAGGAGTTGGTTGGTTGTTTGTTGATACATACAAAAATGTGGATTACAAGATGCAATTACCTTGCTGGTTGTTGCTGTAAAGATTTCGCGTGAAAAGTCCAACCAATATTTCGTTCTAGTCACCCACCAACCAACCAACCACTAAAGCCACTCCTAATAAATGTTAATTTATCTACATCGTTGTCCTTTTCTTCATAACATAACTAATCTAGAGTTGAATGAATGCTAATGATTCGACTCTTCTGGGATCATCAATAACTTTTCCTTTAGTGGATGGACGATGGACGATGAGGCAAATTTCACTTTTATGGGATGACTTTGAACTTTGAGGACTTTTGAGATGTTAAACTGTGCTCCTCTGACACGACATGAAATAATGCAGGATGGGTATGTTACGTGGGTCCATTGTTGGTATTATCAAGCCAGGTAATCGCCACAAATCAACCTTGAAAGTAGTTTTTGAAATTCTTTAGGTTAAAAATTAGTTTGCAAATAGTCTGATGCTAGATTTGATGGGGCTGTTTTTAGCTGCATTCCAACTTCTTTTTTATTAATACACGCTACGTATTGGTCGAGGAAAAGACAATACGTGATGAAAAATTGATTGAACTATATTCCACTCGAAACTCGAGCCTATAGTTTCTTCTCTTATTTGTCATTGTCATCTGCAATCTTGCATCTCTGCAAAACTCTCCAACCCATACCACCAACCAACCAATCTCATTCTGCATCAATTAAGGGGTAGGAAGTAGAATATAATTAAGTGCACACGTAGCATGGGACCAGAAGAGCAAGAACTATGCAATATTCCAATGCGGATGATCATCTAGATTAGATTGACACGATTGAATTTAATAATAAAATTTGAGACGGAGATTTAGTCCAACGATGTTACTGCTGGACTGGAGTTTATTCAGTCCTATTGTCAAATCCTTTGTTGTTCAGGCGTCTTAATTTGTCCACAAGGTTGCACAGCTGCACTTATTGCGAGATAATATTACCGACCGACTTCTGGTTTACAATTGGATTTCATACCCACAAACCTATTAACGATTAATTGTTCGATTAATATTTTAATTTTAATTAATTAACAAACTATTCAAGGATCTCGAGAATATACTTCCCTAATTGTTTAGAAATGCACTTATCCAAATATTTCAAGCATTTACGCCCACTGTGACAAAACTTTGGTTAAATCACGTCTTAACCAAACCCACCATGCAGAAAAACCACTAATCTGAATTCACCACTGCATACATACCACAACCACAATGAGATAAGAAAACCGTCAGCATGAAGCCACAAATTTTTCATTGGAAGAAACCCTATCGCAAATC